GACAGCCGAAAACGGCCGGTGACAGCTGAAAACGGCCAGAAAACGGCCGGCGACAGCCGAAAACGGCCACCGACAGCTGGAAACGGCCGGTGACAGCCGAGAACGGCATGTGACACCCGAAAGCAGCCGGTGACAGCCCAACAGCCGGTGACAGCCGAAAACCGCCAGGGACAGCCGAAAACGGCCGGTGGCAGCGAAAAAGGCCAGAGACAGCCGAAAACCGCTGATGACAGCTGAAAACGGCCGGCTCAATAAGAGCAAAATGTCACGAACCTGCAGGTTTGTCATTCGGCGGTGCATGCGGTGCGCATGCGTCATCACATTCTGCCAACAAAATCAATTTGAAGAAACCCTCAAGCAGCTTAAAAAGACAAAGTAGATGGTTACAATCTTCATTGCCGTGCCCGATAACTCATGTTACTACCCTCTAGAGTCAAAACTCAAGCCCTGAAGAGATTGTCACGACAATTTCGTACTTCTGTAGAAGTAAGGACTGTGACGGATCCAGAGGCGGACTCACTCAGCAACCAAAAGAGATATCTGATTGTGAGTTTATATTTGGCGATCCCAAACGGCAATACTTTGAAGTGTCACTGGCTCACGATTTATTTTGTGAACAAGTAATTTTACAAAATTAGTCAAACATACATTTAGACAAGACTACTGTTGCTTTAACTGAATACGTACTTAATGAGTAAAAAGTCAGTAACGGGCTCAGAGTGTGTCCTCAAAGAAAACTGCATGGAAATTTAGTGTGAACGCCTGATCAAAAATCACGCACCTCTAAAAGCTGAAATTCTGAAAACTTAATCTGATAATTGATGCCCTGAGTTCTGCAGAATGTCTGAATAAGTTTTCAGCTTTCACAGGTGCACAAATTTTGATCAGGTTTTTAGACGTTTCTGGCATTCTGACAAGATTTACACGAGTGGCACGTGATTTACAGTATGACCCTTGTTGGCGATACAATTGTATCCTCAAAAATAAACTCAAGTTTGGGATAAGAGCATGGCGGTTACCTGGATGACAGGGTCCTCTTCAGCACACTTCTGGATCTGTTTGGCGACGTCCTGGAGGCCCTTCAGAATGGCAAGGGTGCGGTCGCGTCGTCGGAAGAAGGGGATGTTGGCGCCAATGCACGAGTAGAAGCCGCAGGCCATGTTGGCGGGGTTCGACGCCTCCACCAGGTCAGCCGAGAGTAGCGCCGCCGTCCCAAACGAGGCTGCAGCTATCCCCACGAAGACTTGGGGCACCTACACTGGTACCATTAAAGTGTATCACTGAGCCACTCGCGAAGCGTGCAGTCTTTACGGCGTATTGCGCTTCCTGCTATCTAAATGCGGGAACATCAGAGCCCTGCCTCGAAGCGTATTTGTACGTAGGGCGTAAGGCCTTCAAGCGTAGCTGAAGACTACGACCCCCCTCCCCCCCCCCCAAAAAAAAAAAATAACGGGATCGGTAACCAATTCTTCTTTTGTCTAGTGCTATGATGCGATCTTTACCACACTGCAGACGAATATTGCAAAGACACGTTGTCGCAGTCCTCTCGGGCCGTCTCGCCGCAAAAGCCATATCCAAAAGCCAAGGTCTGTGATCATCGACATAGCACTGGCAAGGCCGACGACTCTCCGGTAATCTCCCAGCAGCGCTAAATGTGTAAACATGCCGTGTTAATGTCAGTGCTGGGACTCCAGACAAAGTCCGCACTGATTGAGTTGATCGGGATCTGGTCTCCCAGAGTACTCTCCCCGTTCCATCAGCAAATTGGCAAAGGAAGTCAACTCGAAGTTTAGGAACACAGTAGCAGATGTCACCTTGAAAAGGCTCTGCGGTGGTAAGAGGTGACCGTAGAAACTTAAGTGAAAACACACGTGCAGTGGAGCGGCAGGGCAGGCTGGAGTCGCAGGCGATCGGCCAGCGAGCGGCGCGGTTCTGTTCTGTAGTTCGCTGCTGCGTGCGGCCGCTGCTTAGTGTCCCACAGCCAACGGCCACGCCAGGGGCACGCTTGCTTCTCATGTCCAGACTGTGGTGATTAATTTTTCAATTTGCGACAAATTCTTCATTATGTGCGCTAAGTCATGATCCACAGCCAGACCTCCTCGAGAATATTAGGTGTGAAGTATTTCTGGGTGACCTTCAGCGCAGTACGGACCCCTCGGGCCCAACACTCTTATTTCACTTTTCCTTGTCATCACTCTTGCAAACTGCTCGCGATGCCGCCCGTCTGACTAATTCCTGGCCGTCTAAGGCGCCACTCCGAAGGCGTGTCAGCCGCAATGCCCCTCCCCTGGCGTGTTTGCGCGCACCATCTCGCACACGCGAGGCACTGCATTGGTTAATTCCGAGGAGACAACCACGTCCGATGTTTGGGGACACAAGATATCTCAAGACAAGCGAGGTTTGAAGGTACTTCTGAATCTAAGGCGAAACGATCTGGGCAAGGCGGCTGTGCAATTTTCTAACCTCAAAACTTTTTAACCTGGGTGAAATGAACTGTTTTACTGCACGTTTTTATGAACAACCTGACCTTAATCTATCCAACACTCAAAACACCTGGTAAAGTAGTCTCCAGCATTGTATTGCAAACTCTCTTACAAACTATTTTCTTCGTATTGCGAAGTATTACTTTGCAACTTGCAAAGAAAATACTTTGCAACGTTAAAAACCAATGCTTCGCAAACGTTGCAAACTTTTTTTCTTCGCAACTTATGAACTATTCCTTTGCAACACGCAGACAAAAGTTTGCAAGGGAGTTCGTAATACAAAGCCGGAGAATACTTCGTAATGCGAAGCACTTTTCTTTTGCAAGCCTTTGTAAACATCTTAAATGTCTGTTTTCCATCGAAACAAATTGATAAGCAGCTGGTCCTCCACGTAGTTTTTAGTTTTATTGATGTACTCTGTATGAAACATAAAACTCCACTCAATGCAGTTCTAGCCTTAGATAGCATAAATGGAAGTTATTTCGTGACTACCAATATTTCGTGAAATCGTATTTTTGCTTGGTGGGATGACGGGTCCGAAATTCGGTAACGATCATGACATTAATTCTCATAACGCCAACTCTGCGGCATTCTTCTGGCCAGCGCGGCAAAACAAAGTGGAGGTTGCCCCCGGCGCTGGAGTCCGCTGGGGTCCAGCCTGGTCTTGTCGCTGCCGGCCGGACTGGCGGGATTTCCCGGTAATCGGTAATGATAGCGCTGGAGCCCCGGGCCGTTTGTCCCGAATCGGCGCGTCCTCTCCCCGCCATGCCAGGCCCCGCCGCCCCGGGCCTTTTTGGGCGAGCCTTCGGGGCTTTCAGGGCCTTCAGGGCCTTTAGGGCCTTTAGGAAGAGGAACGGCGACAGCACCGCCACGCGCCGCCATGTCAGCGAGGAATTTACACGACGTGTCCGATGGCTTTGGTGCGCGTCGTAATGAGAAAATCGCATCGGGAAAGGGGAGAAAAGAGAAGGCTTTCCGAACAGAACAAAATGTAGCAGAAAGAACGATGAAAGAGCGGATAACTGTTTTCACTATGTTACATGCATTTAAGATCCGTTTTTATTTTTAAGTTTGCCGCCGATGATTGGGACTTCCCTTCGATGGATCCATCGAACGTCACTGGTACTACTCGCACTTCAGCGCTCGACGCAGTAGATGCTTGGAATAAAAGAAAACTTTCTTGAAAAAAAAAATACTGTGTAAAGGAGAATCAAAAAAACTATTTGAGAACCGGGTTGCGTTTGGCGCTTTTCGTTCTACTTTCCTTCCGGTTTTTGCATTCGCCACACGCGTGTGCTCCCCACCCCACCGTGGTGCGTCGATTTGGCGCTGCGCTCCCCTCGCGGTGTGAAGCAGGAAGAGGCTCCCTGGGTAACGTGGGGTCAAGCACTGCGTGAGTCGAGTTGACGAGCCACTGACTAGGGCTAAATTCGGCCGGGGCACAAGGTGAGCCCGCTCCTGCACTGACGAAAACAAGTTTCAGGGGAGAGAGAAGCGGGGGGGGGGGGGGGAGGAGGAGGAGAGCAGTGCGCCGCTCAGAAAGGAATCACGTTAAAAGGCTGAATAAATAAGCGGGACTTTTGCACAGTAGTGAGCGCGCCTGCAGCTGGGCTCCCCAAAAATAGGACTGCAGAAGGTAAACGGCTTGCGGAGGGAGACGGGAAATAAAGTGGGAGCGAGAGCTAGGTAAAGTGGCTTGCCAGTTAAGCCCTTGTCCCCCCCCCCTCCCCCAGCCCAATCCCCGTTTCGGTCCGGCCTATCCCCCAACTATCCACTACCTCCCCCTTCTCCTATTAAACTCGTCTCTCTAAAATGGGGGCGGGGGCGACGAGCTAAAACTCCCCCGTCAGCCGAAGGATCAGGAGCGTCCCCCTTCCCCCTCCCCCTTTCCGTGGACCGACTCTATCCCGGGGCTCTAGAAGCCCCCTTGCTCAGTGCTCAGCCGCGGCCTTCTTTATGTCCGGCAGACTCAGATGCAATATCTCAGAATCAAACTGAACGCCTCTCGGCCCCGCCCCGCCCCGCCCCGCCCCGCCCCCCCCCGCTGCTTGGCCACACCCCCGCCCCAGGGCCGCGTTGCCGCGTTCGGAGGCACGCGGCCGCGCCCCGTTCCAGAATCGCCGGTCAGAAAAAAAAACCCTCTCGCGCAATTCGGAGGCGGGCCATGTTGCCGTCGTCGGGTGGCAGCGACGCAAGGGCAGGCCAGGGCAGGCCCGGGCACGGGGAGGATCGTCGGGGATCGGAGCGCGACTCACAACTCTTGGCGGAGCACAAGAAGGTCTTTGTCCAGCGCGCTGCACGGGGATGGGCGGGGAGGTGGCGCCCCCCGGGGACGACGACGAAGGAGGACGACGCAGAGCGCCGCAGTGATTCACGTTACGGCGTGGCGGGACTTCAGGCCGCAGTCCGGGCCGCGGTTCGGCAAGGCTTCTTTGAGCCGCAATCCTGCAAAAGGACATGAGGGGCGCGAGAAAGAACGAGAGGATCGTCGAAAAAGGGTTTATTGACGACCAGGCACTAGTTGGGGTTGTCGTGGAGGCGCGCCGTCCCCAGCGGAGCCGTGTTGTGGTGGTGCAGCGGCCTGCCGCCGCCGTACAGCCCGTACGCGCCGACGCCCAGGCGGTAGGGCAGGTCCGCGTCCGTAACGCCGTCCGGGCGGTACCGAGCCAGGTACCCGAACGGAGGCCCGAAGCCTGGGTAGGCCGGGTAGCCGCAGACCTCGCTCAGCGGCGCGCACCGGCACGGCCCCTGCTGCCCCGCCAGTCCCGCAAGCCCCAGCTCTTGCAGCAGGCGCTCGCGGCGTCGCAGCCAGGCCGCCTCCCAGAAGGGCGCCGTGACGGACGGCCCGGGCGCCAGGCCGACCGGCGGAGGGAGAGGGTACCTGCACCAACAGTTTGAAAGCAAACACTGAGTATCAGGGAGGGCGGCAGACGGGCTCACCTGCAGCAGCCAAAGAATGCACCAGTGTAGAAAGGGTTGCCAGCCTCCAAGCCGGCCTCAGCCTGGGCTCAGCTTCTCGAGAGCGAAGCCATGATACTGCCGAGGTTGGAGACCCTTCCGCCAAGTTGCTACAAATTGCTCACCTGTAGCCGAACACCTCCACCTCGCTGTCCGGCTCGTTGATGGGGACGACGCGGGGGCCTCCGCCTCCAGCCCACGGCGTCGGTCGCGGCCCGGCTGGCGGTGGCGGCAGCGGTGGCGGCAGCGGCAGCGGCACGGCCGTAGGGCCGTCGGTGTCCCTGGCGGGCTGGTGTCTCGAGGCCCGCGTCGTCGCGCCCGCGCCGTCCCGCTGGGCGTCCCTGCCGCGGCGGCCGTCTCGGTGTTGAGGATCCCTCTCCGCGGCGACGGCCTCGTTGGGCCGGAAGTCGCCCGCCGACAAGGGTGCGGCGTATGACGGCGTCAGGGGCCCAGCCAACGAGGAGCCCGTCAACGAAGACGCCGTCAAGAGGCGGCCGTCCCCCGCGATGGGCCGCCAGCCACTCTGCGACACGGCGTGCACGGCATGCACCACGGCCAGGGCCTCGCTCCCCGACGCCTCCTGCTCCCCGGGCAGGGCCCTGTGGGAAGGCGGCATCACACAGGGCAGACAACAACGCGAAAGAAAACAAACTGAAAATAAAACCTTCTAACTCACCCGCCCGACGCGTTCCTCGATCCAGAAGCGGGGTTCGACAGTCCCTGGCACAGCGCGGCCGCACAGGCGGCCAGGACGACGGCGTACTCGTGCATGGTGCGCGGTCAGTCGCGAACTGACCTGGGGAAGAAGCACATCCCGGGGGACCGCTCCGGGGACAATGTTGGACGCGACCCACCCGCACTTCACTTTAACGCACTTCCACTTTCCGTTGCCCCTCCCTCTCTTACACAACCTGCGCTTTCATGCGGGGTGCGTCTGCAGACGTTTGCAGGAATCGAGACGCTGACACCCACGACATTCCCCCCCCCTTTTTTTCCTTGCCACGTCTCCCGCGACGCCAAGTTGTACATCAAAAAGGGTGCCGCCGTGTGCCTTTCGTTGGGCTGCGAACGTCCCTCGGCCAGACGACCAAACCACCGCAACTTTTGGCCGAGCCGTAAACCGTATTACGCCAACAGGGTTATCATTAGAGCCAGATGAACTACGGGCGAAAGCCTCTCCCCCCCCCCCTTTTGGGCGTGCCCATACGCTACAATAATAGCAAACTAATTGTTATGCTTGCATAGAGTCCATGCGAGAGAATTCCAGTTGCAGCTTTTACGTACGGAACATGCTGCACTGCTGCACCCACGGCAAAGCCTATGGCCGAGCAGCCGGCTCCAGGGCCTAATTGGTGGGAGGTGAAAATGAAAATCCAGTGCTCTTGTCCCGGCAGTAGTTTTTTTCACAGGTGTGCCTCAGGCCGGGCGTCTGATGCTCGCTGCTGTCGCTTTCATTGGGGGCCATGCGGGGCTGTACCGCCGTACTGCCGTCCACCGCACTCTCGCTGGAACACGGCGCTTCCCGCCGCCGCTTCCGGCGAGGCGCTGTCGCCGTGCGTGCCGTGCGCGTCCTGGAGCCCTGGAGTCCTGGAGGAAGGCGGTGGGGCAACGGGGTGTGTGCATAGTGGCCGTACAACGGGGGGGCACTCCACGGTGTGTGTGTGTGTGTGTGTGTGTGTGCCGTTGGCAAATACCACTGATGACGATGTGTGTGCCAGAAGGGGGAAGAAACGCCATAATTTTTTCGACTTGTGTGAGCAGTCGTAGGTGCAGGCCGCCCGGTACGCACTCGCACCGTCCGATCCACTAGAATACCGAAAACACCGCCAGCGGCAAAAATAAAGTGAGTGCAAAGCGGTCTCAACTTCTCTTTCTTTTCTCCCCGCGACTTTTTGTTTGGGGCGTGGATCATCACCAGCAGAGCGGCGGGCATAAGTGAATTAGACGTCGCTTTAATAACTGGCGGCAGCTGTTTGCGTGCGCATTCGCCTGCACCTGCATAGTGCTGCTGATGGTATCGTCCAGGTTGGACAAGCAAAGCGAAGCCAAGCGAGGCAAAGCGCGGCGTGTCGAAGCAAAACGAGCGCTATTTTAAGAGCGTGCATCTTTCCTGCTTTTCTTTTTCGTTTTCTTTTCGGTCGCGTCGTGAGCTCCGCTCGCCGCCGCCGCTGCACACTTAGCGCCCTCCCGTAAGAGATGCGCAAGCCGAGCCGATCCGGCCCTGGTTCGTTGGGGCCTGGGCTCGGGAACCCAAAACGCCTGTGTGAGGCTAGGTATGAAAAAAGTAGCGCCCGAAAGCAGACGCCCGCGTTGCCGACACGCGTTTTTTACAAAGACGCCAAACAAATTTAATTTGCTGGTGAAGACGTGCAAATAACGTCAAATGTTAAAATCAAATTTATTTTCTCCGAGAAACGTGCCGCGTAAACAACAATAACTGCAGCTCAGACGGCGGAAACTTTGGGAGTTGAGGTTATTGGTGCACACTGTTGACTTGCGAAGGTTCCTGGCCTTTTTTTCGATCCAAGAGTGCACTGAAACGGAAATAAATTACTTTAGCTCCTGACTGGCCCGGGGTCGTCCACCCGCTTTTTTCCCCGACAAGTTTTAATTGGGCCCCAGCACCGCGACAAAAAAGACCGACTATCTTTTCATACCCTGCCTCGCGCAGGTGCCCAACTCCCCAGCGACCACCAAAGCTCGAGCTTGCCACCTTACAGGAGGGTCGCTATGCCACTGGCTCCGCGGCGTTTCGTCGATCTGTCTCTCTCGCACCCATGCGGGACGGTGCGATCACGGAACGACTCTCTCGGAATCGTTCGGCTATGCATTACCTCGTAAAAGGCGCAGAGCCTATACGCGCTGCTAGTTTCCGTGCTGATTTTTTCGTGGCAACACATCTCATAACTTTCCTCCGTTCCTTTTCGTGCATTGCCTTGTATACGCAGATTCAACTTTCAGTTTCAGAGTTTGCGCACTTAAATGCAGACCCTCTAGGGCAGCGGTTCCCAACCTTGGGGTCGAAAAAATTTCGAAGGGTCGCGGCGAGGTGGTTGGGGTCCCCGGGGCCCTGTTTCCCGGCTGGCAGAATTGTTCAAAACGGTCGAAAATCCCTTTGAAAACTCGTGTTTTAGGCCGACTTTAAGCAGCAACTGCGTCTGATCCGAGGCGGTATTTCGTCCTCCCTCAGCGGGCATTTGGTCTTTGGACCTTCCTTTAGCATGCCTTTGTTACGGAGTGCGATTATCGGCCTTAGTTTGGGAGCAGTATTGTCTCAAAGTTGATGAAAACAGTATAAAATGCCTTTGCATGCCATTTTGATCCACTTTGAGACAATACTGCTCCCAAACTAAGGCCGATTCGCACTCCGTAACAAAGGCATGTCTAAAGGAGTCCGAAGCCAATGCCCGTTGAGGGGCGAATACGCCTGGTGACGCAAGTCTTCAAAGTCGAGCCCAAAACACGTTTTTCAAAGCATTTGCATGGCCGTTTTGATCACTTTGGCAATACTGCTCCCAAACTAAGGCAGATAATCACACTCCGTAACAAAGGCATGCTAAAGGAAGGTCCAAAGACCAAATGCCCGTTGAGGGAGGACGAAATACCGCCTCGGATCAGACGCAGTGGCTGCTTAAAATCGGCCCACAACACGATTTTTCAAAGACATTTGTGGCCGTTTTGATCAACTTTGCGGCAATACTGCTCCCAAACTAAGGTGGATTATCTCACTTTGTATCAAAGGCATGCTAAAGGAGGGGTCGCGTGGGGTCGCGAAATTCTTCCTGGGGGTCGTGGAAATTTTTTGTATCAAATTTGGGGTCGCGAACCGAAAAAGGTGGGGAACCGCTGCTCTAGGGCATGCGTCGATAAAACATTTGATTTATTTGAGTCCTTGACGCAGAAAAAGCTGAAACAAAGAATGTAGTTGGCTCAGAAATCCCATTGCAATGCAACCATGGCATGGATTCTTCCTCTGCGGGGCTGCTGGTGTGAATACCCCGCGCAGCGCGCAGGCCGACTTCCCCCTGCCGGCGATACTCCGCGCGCCGCGAGACCTTCCAACGCGGTGTATCTCCGCGTTGGCGACGCGACTCGCGTGGCTCGCGTGTTGCGTTCATACTCCTCGCGGTGCAGCATGGGGCAGCAGCGTGGGGTCGGAAGGACAGTTTAGTTGCGCTGTCCTGACATTGCCGGCAAATTACGCGGAGCGGATCACTGCCGCGAAGCCGCGTCCCGCTCAGCCCCATGACCACCAGCAGCCAGGCCGGAAACACCGACCCCCTTCTCTCCCCCCCCCCTCTCTCTCTCTATGGCACGAAGTACCGCCGGGCCTGTTCTTCTTGATGGTGCGTATAAACGAAAGCCCCTTGAAAATCCGACGCACACAAACCACAGGACACTCCCGTGGGAACTGATGGAACTTTTCCATCACGTCCTTGGCGCTGTCCAGCTGGTGGTGTGTCATTGAGGCCGCCGTCTAAGCCTCAGCCAGCTGCTGACTAAAATGCTAAAACCCTCAACGCGTCTGGGCGGCCAAGGCTTTTGGCCCTCCTCGCGGCGGTACCCCCTCCCCTCTGCTCCGCGGCTCCGCGGGGCAGGGCCGGCAGGGCGCCGGGCCGGGGGGCGCCGCGCGGGGCGTCGTGGCCGTCGCGGCCGTCGCGGCTTCGGCCGCATGGCGCTCGGTCGCCGACATTCAGTCCACGCCGCGCCGGGCCGAGGGACTTACCGGCCGAGAAGCCGGCGCGCGCGCGTGTGTGTGTGTGTGTCTGGGTGCGTGCGTGTGCGTGCGCGAGCCCCGTGCGAGGCGCTGCGCGTGTGTGTGTGTGTCTGTTGGAGGAGTGCCAGCAGCAGGTTCGACGCCGTGGATGTGTCCTCACACCGACTTGGAGGTATAACGCCACCAGTGCACCACCGGCAACATCATCGAGTGCACGCTCTTGCTGGTCCGTCCGATCGCTCGCCTTGCTGTCCGGCCGGGCTCGCTGTCAGGCAGGGCCCACTCCACCACGACGCGGGCATGCTGATGAGGCAACCGGCCTACGCAGCCTTGAACTTGGGGACACGTGACAGGCCGCGGGAAGGGAACGCACTATTTTCTAATCTCGACAAACTTTTTGTCGGCCAGCGTGTCGCCGCTGCGCTGTATCGTCCAAACGGACGGCCTGGACCGGCGATGCCGCCAATCGGACGGACTGCTGACCTTCGATCGTTCGGGAGACAATGATTGAGCGGGCCGCGAATAGCCGGCCAGAGAGTCACTTTCGTCGCTCTCTCTCGCACCTCGGCGGGGCGCCCCATGAGTGCGAGAGAGACAGAGCGCAGCGAAACTGGCTATTTCGCCTTGGCCGCCACTGGTAGAGAAAAGTACAGATAAAGTACGGAACGCGTGTGGCCCACGAACTTGTCAATGACTTCGCTGGACCGTCCGTTCGTACTTTGCCAACTACGGAGGTTGGCACAGCATAAAAGCAGTCTCGGAACCACGGCGTTCGCGGCCGCGCTCCACGCCCACCTTTTCGGCGGGTCGTCGTTCTGCCGGCCTCGCAAAATCGTCCGATCGTCGCCGTTTTCTGGACGCGGGCTGTGCTGTTTTCATAGGAACTGCACCGTCGGCGGGCACGCTTGGCGGCACACGCTGCGTTGCGTACCGCAGCACCGCGCAGCGCCGCGCAGCGCACGTTGGCAACAATGTCATCCCGAAGGCCACTGACCGATCCGAAGCGAGCGATCCTAGCATCCCAGCGAATATCAAGGCCCGGGGCGACATCACGAGCCGCGCCGGAAAATGGTCACTGTCGCTCACTCCCAAAATGTTGAACCCTTGCCTGAGGAAAGACTCATTTTTCGACCGGTTCTGTTGTATCACTCCACTCGGTAAACAAATTGAGAACGAGCACTCATCTCTGACGGAAAATTTCTATAGAAATAGTTTTTTTGCTTTTACCAGGCAACTATTTTTAGTGGTACTGCGCAAGTATTCGTCAAATTTCGATCCTGAAATGGACCACTTTAATGTTGAAAACGGCGCGGTGCGTCGAAGTCACCCCGCTGGCCCAGTGCTGGCCCCGGCTGGCCCAGTGCCGGGTGCGCGGCGCGAACTCTGTGCGGTAATCGATGCGACTGGCGTAGACTGGCGGGGCGCGCCGTACCAGCCGCCACCCCGGGGCTGGAGCGGCTGGAGCGGGCAGCAGGCGGAAGGGGCACTTGGCCTTCCCAGTGACCCGGGTTCGAGTCCCGGGTTCGAGTCCCGGGTTCGAGTCCCGGCCTAGTGCTGTCAGACTGCCGCCTTTTGCCCTTTTTAGCTTCTCAAGGCAGGTCTCTGTCGACAGGGATGTGCAACTCGGCGCAGTGGTGGGTGGCCTTCAAGGGCGGCGACCTGCCCCCCGGCCGGCTCTGGTCGCTGCTGCTGGTGCTGGGCGCGCACTACTCCTTCGTCGCCTTCAACCATGCCATGTTCGTGTTCCAAGCGTTCACGCCCAAAGTCGCCTGCCAGGTAAGAGCGAGGGTGTGCGGTAACGCTCAGATTGGCCCTTCTCTTCGACTGCCCATTTCCCCCATTGCCCTGTCGCAGGAGGAAGTGTCTAGCGGCACGTTCGTGCTGTCTTGGGACTGCCAGGCCAACTGCTCGGGCCGCTACGTGTTCCCCGGCTGGCAGGACGACAGCACTATCGTCACGGAGGTGAGACCACCAGCCCTCAGCCTCGGCCCGCGGGTTCGAATCCCGGCGTCATCGCTGTCCCTCTTGCCTGCAGTGGTCGCTGGTATGCTCGCGCGCGGCGCTGCGGCCCCTGATGGCCACGCTGTACTTCCTGGGCGTGGCGGTGGGCGCGCTGTCCTGCGGGCTGCTGGCCGACCGCCTGGGCCGGCGTGCCGTCATGCTGGGCTGCCTGCTCGGCCAGGCCGTCCTCGGCGTCGCCGTGTCCTTCGCGCCCAACCTGGTGGCCTTCGCCGTGCTGCGGACCCTCCACGGCGTCTTCGTGCAGGTCAGTGTTCGGGGCGGCACAGTGGATTTGCCAGAAGACCGGTGGAGGCGGCCAAACTTCAATGCTCTCCTAACGAGGAATCCATTGGTGGGGTCATACGTTCGGTTCGAGTCCCGTTTCGCGACTCTGGAGCTCAAAACGCGTCTTGAATTTTATCCGCCCCACCGGTCTTCTGGCTCACTGCGGCGGGCAAAGGAAGGAGCAAAGGAACAACTTGAAGGCAGTCTTTGTTTACGGTGAAGAGAAACAACGCCTGTGGATAGGCAGCCCTTTCGTTTGGACGTTGACAAAAGATTCCCGCGATGCGCCACTGTCGAAAGGGGTGCCAACTGCAGTCAGAAGAAATCGATGTCTAGTGGGCAGGCTGAGGTTGGCAGCCCCTTCGACACTGGCATCGTGGTGGCAGGCTTCTCCACTCTGCGGCAGCTCACGGCTCCTTGGCGTGCTTGGCGAAGGCCTTGACGCCCTCGAACACGTGCCGCACCGTCTTGGCGATCTTGTCCGTGCCGATGTCGAAGCCGTTGGGGCCGCCGCCAGGCAGCTCCAGGCAGTACACGGCCTCGACGCCGGCCTCGCCCTTGGCCCAGTCGTCGCTGCCCCCGGCGGCCGGGTCTGCGGGAAGGGCAAGGACAGCGTTAGCGGCATGGCGGGGCCGTCCGGCGTGCTTCGACTCACGCGCACACTCACACAGCAGCGCGGGCGGCGAGCCCACGCGGTACCGCTTGGAGCCGGCCGCCACCATGGCCAGGTTCGCCTCCTCCCCGATGGCGCGCTGCAAACAAACACCAAAAGTTACGCGAGGCAGTGAGGCGACGGACTTCGACATTCGTCACTCACGAGTCGGTCCGCGTCCGCGGGGAGCTCGTCGGTGAAGCCCCAGGGGTGGAGGATGAACTGTCGGGGAGCACTCGCATTATGTACCAACAGACTCTGCCTCCAAACCATCATCATCCCCTCTACTGACCCGTCCGTAGCTGTGGAGCGACAGGTACATCTTGATGGCCTTGTCCTTGTTCTTCTCGAGGACGAAGTTCCGGAAATGCTGCGTCTCCAGTTCGGAGAAGGCGCGAGGCCCCGCGAAGGTGATGTCGCAGGGGGCGTGGCTGGCGCCGTTCTCTGCCGGAAGCAAAATGGAACAAGAACGCTGCCTGCTGGGTCCGTGCTCGAATGCCTTGTCTATCTCTCCTCACCCGCCCAGTGAAAGCCGAAGTTCCTGTTGAGGTCCACGCCGCGGCACCAGGGGTCGCTGGCGTTGCTGCGGTTCTTGCGCCAAAACCGGTTCTGAAAAAGAGCTTCCAGGTGAAAACAAAGTCCAAGTCATCTATGGATAGACTTTGCCGAACCCCCTAATACAATCATTTCTGCCACTTGTGCCGTGAAAGTGGATGCCACGAGCAAAGTGAGAGAGAAGCTCACGTTGGTGTGCGAGTACTCGTAGCCGTCCGGGTTGAGCAGGGGGAAGATGTACCAGTCCAGGCCGTCCAGCAGGTGGCGCTGGCGCTCGTCCTCCACCAGCTGGTGCACCACGAACAGGGCGGTGGCGGGGCCGATCCACTCGCGCGCGTGGAAGCCGGCGTCGATGAGGATGGCGGGCCGCTTGGAGGCGGCCGAGGCCGAGGCCGCGCCGCGCGACACCAGCACGCCGGTCAGCTCGCGGCCCTCGTGCGTGCGGCCCAGGGACTGCAGCGCCACCACGTCGGGGTGCTCGGCCGCCAGGCGCCGCAGGTACCGCTCCACCTGCGGCAGGGCGGATAGGGCGGCGGCTGCAGCTAGAGAGCAACTCGGCGGCGCTCAATTGATCTAAACACCCGCGGCTCACTCTCTATGTCAATCTATGTCACTATAAAGAAAATTTCAGCGAAAGAGGGCACCCCGGCGAACCGGCCCTCTTCCCCGCTGGCTTGGTGAGCCAGTGGTTCCCCCATCTCATCACAGGAGCAACCTCAGAGTTAAACCGCAGTGGCCCCGTCATTGGTCACGTCATCTGTGATGTGGAGGAGTCCTCTCATAGTAGGCCAGGCTGCCACCTTTCCCAGTAGTCGGGTTTCGTTCCCGGCCCCCTTCCCACTCAGGGGCCATGCTACTGGTACTCAGGAGTCTGCGTCACCCTGCCCAGCAGCGAAACCACTGGGCTATGAGAGGCACACTGTCCGCCGCCCGATTTTGTATACTTGAACCGCCTTCTTGCGATGCAAGCTTGGTCAAAATATTCTTTACGGTGCTGGGTATCGAACCCCGGACCCCGCAGTCGGGACCCGACGCCTCTGCGCTCTCGGCCACCACGGCCCATATGGGTGACGGTGTGCGAAGGGGAGCATTTGAAGCCGCTGGTCCGAACCGTATAGTCAGACAAAAAGAGCGGAAAGCTAGTATTCGATCGCTCGATCCGAGTATAGGATTCAGAGATCTCAACACCTTCGGCCACCGTGGCTCACCGGGTGAGCCGAGTGGCGCAACGGGTTCAAACCGCATTGGGAAAGCCACTCCTAAAATGTAAAGAATTGCTGGGAGTCGAACCCTAGCCCCCGCGCGTGATCATGATTTCCTCGGGGTGCCACAGTGTGAAGCCAGAAGTGGGACTTACGACATAACTTGCTGCAACAGCGGCGGCTGAGCGCGCAGAGGCGTTGACCCGCAGCTTCAGGGGCGGGGGTTCGACTCCCTGCAATCCTTTACATTTTAGGAGTGGCTTTCCCGGTGCGGTTTGGACCCGTTGCGCCACTCGGTTCACCCGGCGAGCCTCGGTGGCCGAAGGTGTTGAGATCTCTGAATCCTGTACTCGGATCGAGCGATCGAATACTACCTGCCCGCTCTTTTTGTCTGACTATACGGTTCGGACCAGCGGCTTCAAATGCTCCCCTTCGCACACCGTCACCCATATGGGCCGTGGTGGCCGAGAGCGCAGAGGCGTCGGGTCCCGACTGCGGGGTCCGGGGTTCGATACCCAGCACCGTAAAGAATATTTTGACCAAGCTTGCATCGCAAGAAGGCGGTTCAAGTATACAAAATCGGGCTGTGGACAGTGTGCCTCTCATAGCCCAGTGGTTTCGCTGCTGGGCAGGGTGACGCAGACTCCTGAGTACCAGTAGCATGGCCCCTGAGTGGGAAGGGGGCCGGGAACGAAACCCGACTACTGGGAAAGGTGGCAGCCTGGCCTACTATGAGAGGACTCCTCCACATCACAGATGACGTGACCAATGACGGGGCCACTGCGGTTTAACTCTGAGGTTGCTCCTGTGATGAGATGGGGGAACCACTGGTCCACCAAGCCAGCGGGGAAGAGGGCCGGTTCGCCGGGGTGCCCTCTTTCGCTGAAATTTTCTTTATAGTGTTCATTTTACTTCTGTTAGGGTGGCGGCCTCGCCGCGGCGGGGTGGCCGACGGCGGCAGACCTACCTCCTCGTGTCGCATAAACCGCTGGTCCGTGAACTCGCCCTCCGACGTCACGTCGCGGGCCTCGGCGTTCATGCGGGCCGCCTCGTCGTCCAGGACTCTGGGGAAAAAGTGCCGAGATGGGACGATGGTGGCGCCGATTGGCCGGACGCTACAAAACACCACTCAGGCGAGCCTGGCTCCGCGCTCCGCCACTGGCTGGGTCTACTCACCGCTGCACGTCGGGCCACTGCACCCTGTGCGGCACGCGGGTCGTGTTGAGCAGGAGCAGGACGTCCTCCGCGGCGTGTGGCGCCACCAGGAGGGCGGCGCGGTCGTCCGAGTCCATGCCCAGCAGGTCCACGCCCAGGTCGCGGCGCCCCGTCGCCAGGCTGCGCACTACGGCCAGCTGGTGGGGCTCGGACACGGCCGCGGACACCAAGCGGTACCTGCAGTCCGAGGACGCCGTCAAGTGCGAGCTCAAAGGCAGAAAGCGCGGCCACCACGCACTCACCCCTGGTAGGACTCGGGGTCCGCGGCCTGCACCAGGGCCACGGCCAGGGCCACGGCCAGCACCACCAGCTCAGCGCAGTGCTGCATCTTGACTGGAGGCCTGGAGCGGCCGGCCGCTGCACCTCCCCGATAGCGCCAGACTGCTTAGTGTTATCACTGGCCGGCGGGCCGTTCGCTGCTGGACCGCCACGCTATCACCCCCGCGACACGCCGACACGCCGTGCCCCAGAGACCACCCCGCGGCCCGCGTTGGCACGTCGCTGGGGCGTGGGGTATCGCCGCGGCAATGCGTGCTACTCAGTGCGTCACCTCTGCGCCATGTGTTGCAGGGCCTGCAGGGCAGCACGTTCACGCTGCTGCTGGAGCTGTTCCCCGGCCGCCTGCGCACCGTCGTGGGCGTGGCGCTGGAGATCTACTGGGCCCTGGGGCTGGCCGTGCTGGCCGGGCTGGCCTACGTGCTGCCGCACTGGAGGGACCTGCAGCTCGCCGTGTCGGCGCCCACCATCGTCACGCTGCTCATGGCCCCCTGGATCCCGGAGTCCCGCCTCTGGCTCGCCTCCAGGTAAGGCCAAGGTCGCTGGGCCGTGGTCGTGGCCCATGAGGTTGACCTCCCTGACGTCCTCCTCGCTGCTGCAGGGGCCACACGCCACCCTTCCGTCGTGGTCTCCCCGGCCACGGCAGTTACCGGGACAAGAAGCACGAGGAGGGTGACGCCAGCCACGCGGTGGACGTGAGTCCCAAGCTGGCCGTCAAGGACACCGCCAAGGACGACGCTAAGGACGGCGCCGAGGACGACGTCAAACAGCTCGTCGTGTGCGAGCCCGTCGCCGGCGCCACCGCCAAGGACTTGGTCACCAGGAGCGGCCTTCTCCTGTACACTCTTTGCATGAATGCGGTGTGGTGAGTACAGACGGCGAGATAAACACCAAGATAAACAGCACGGCATGGCGTTCAGTTTGCGAATTTCCTCTTCCTCTTCCAGGTTCACGGTGCCGCTGTCGTACTACGTGACGACCTTCGGCATGCCCTCGCTGACCGGAGACCGCTTCGCCAACTTCGCGGTGGGCGCGGCGCTGGAGGTGGTGGCGTACTGCCTCACCTTCGTGGCCCTCTCGCGGTTCGGCCGCAGGGCTCCGCTCAGCAGCGTGCTGGCGTCGTCCGCCGTGGCGTGCTTCGCCGTGGCCTTCATCCTGGTGGGCTCGGCCGACGACGGCGGCGTGGCCGCGCTGGTGCTGGTGCTGGGCTGCAAGTCGGCGCTCGTCAGCGCCTTCTGCACCATGTTCCTGTACACCGGCGAGCTGTACCCCACCGCCATCCGGTCCGCGGCCCTGGGGCTGTGCGGCTTCGTCGGCCGCGTAGGCAACCTGCTGTCCCCGCAGGTGGTGCACCTCGGCGCCGACGGCCGGAAGTGGGCGCCCTTCGTGTTCATCGGCGGCCTGCTGCTGGCCACCGCCATGTGCACCATGCTGCTGCCGGAGACCCTGGGCCGCGAGCTGCCGGCCACCCTGGAGGACGCGCGCGCGTTGCGGCGGAAGAAGCGACGTGCCTCCACGTCAGCGACCTCGGGCCCCGAGGAGCAGCCCCTCAACGCCAACGGGGTGGTGAGTGACGCCTGGCCGCCAGGCTGCTCCCAGCGCTGCCTACAAGGCCACCACACTAACCGAACCTTTCGCTTCACAGTTGAACATGGAAGACTACAAGGTGCCGGAGTGGAAGTCCGACATCCCCCAACTGGACCCCGCCAAGGTGCAGACTGCCAAGAAGAGAGGCTCTATGTCCGCGCTGGAGCTCGGCCAGGACATCCTGCAGGAGCTCAACAGGACACCGTGCGCGGAGAGGGCGGAGCGGGCGGCCAAGGCCCGCTCCATGTTCCTGGAGACCAACCTGGACGACCTCTCAGAGGGCCAGCCGCAGTACAAAAGCGCCGTGGCGTCCGCTGTCTGAACATCAGTATTTTGAGAAAGCTTGGCGTGGTCTATGAGACTGAATCAGACGTATTTTGTTTTTTGCTAATTGGCAGTTTAGTATTGTGCGAGTGGTGGAAACGGAGAGTCATCGGTCAATTCTATGTCTGGTGACGAATCGTGTGTATTTTGTCAGAAAGAAATCGTTATTTATTTTTCATAAATCTTAAAAATAAAAGACAATGTCGTTTTTCTAATGTTTAGTCGATTTTTTGGCTGCCCGGGACACATTTGGGGCTCGAGCAAAAAGCAGATTTGCTCGAGCCCCAAATGTGTCACGGGTGTTGACGTGTATGCTGCCCGAGCTTTCAGTTGATGAACGGCCTTATGCAGGAGATGGACGAGGACGAGGACGGGGCCGACGGCGTGGGTGTGGCGGCGGCCCGGCCCAGCGTCGTGGGTGCACTGAGCCACTCGTCCGGCGGCGGCCAAGTCAGCCTGCCGTGCCGGCGGAACCGCGGGTTCGGCGGCTCCGAGTCTACCGGTGGATCGGCGACCTCGGCGACCTCTGCGACTTCAGCGTCCTCGTCCTCGTCCTCGGAGACGGCCCTCATCTCCGCCAGGGCGATCTCCACGCCGCGCCTCGCCTGGCGGCCCGCGTGGCGCGCGCACCGCCTGGAGGCCACCCAGCACGCGCTGCTGGAGAGGCACTGGCAGGGGCGCAGGCAGCGGCGTAGCCAGGGCCGGTCGGCCGCGGGCCCTGCGGGGTCGGCCTCGCCGGCCTCGCAGCGGCAGGTGCAGCCCTCCAGCCGCTTGGCCGCCAGTTCGCTCCACAGCGCCAGCGCTGCGAACGCGTGCAGCGTGCAGTGCATCGACCGAGAGCTATCTATCAACACGCACGGCTGGCGCGGGCAGAGATTCGACCGGCTGCTTTCCATGCACGATGCGTCGCGTTAACCGGGAAGTTACTGTCCACGATGGACTGCCCATCATATGTGACCCAGGGAGTCCTAATGAAAACATGTCCACAAAATGAACGATTTTTGTCAGAATTTGTTCCAATTTTACTACTTTTTTTTCTCCTTGGGTCAGTTTTGATTCCCTTCGCCCTCCGCGGGCTACAGTCTGTTCCCAGTGCATCACCAACAACGCTGTATGCGCCAAAGCAGCCGGTCTGCCGCAGCCCCCAGCCTGCACCGCCCACTGACCGGCAAACGCGTAGCCGGCGAGCAGCGCGTAGAACGCGCCCTGCAGCATCTTGATGGAGATGGGCTTGAGCTTCTCCTCGGTGCTGCTCGAGCTGCGCCCCTTCCTGCTCTCCGTCTCCGAGCCCTCGGCGGGGCCCTCCGCTCCGTCCAGGGCCGGCGCCGGTACAGGCGTCGTGGTGGGCGCGGGCGTCGTCGTGGTGTCCGTCGCGGCCGTGGGGCCCTGGGTGACGATTGACGTACACGTTAGTGGCCCTCGCGTGCCGTGGACAAAGGCCGGCTCGGCGATACCCCCCGTGGCGGCCCGGGTGAGCTAGCTACGCGCGGAGTAGCGACGGCGCCCCCAGAAACGCCTGCGAAGTTGAGGGTAGGCCGCCAGCCCCGGCAGGCTGTTCGGCGGGCTTGCCTACATCACAGGCGTTTCGAGGACACCGCCGCTCTACCTCATCCATGTACTCGTCCTCGTAGTCCGCCTCGTCCTCCCCTGAGCGGCCCGGCCCCGGGTAGTCGTAGTACTCCTCCTCGTCCTCCTCCACGTCGTCGGCGCGTCCACCCGAGCCGCTGCCGTCGCCGAGCTCGCCGCCGCCCTTCTCCGCCACGCCCTTCTTCGGCGTCCTGTCCGGCAGCGTGGGGTCCGGGTCGTGCAGCCTGTCGCCCAGCTTTTCGTACTCCTCCTCCGTCATCTTGGTCAGGATTCCCGCCTCGAAGAGCTGCATGAGTCTGCATTGGATGACCGTTAGCCCGTCATCCAGCTGGAGGACACTCATCGGCCGACCGCCGCGGTTCGTTCACCCACATGTTGTTGACGCTCGCGATGTAGGGGCAGCCGACCTGCAGCGCGATGGCCGAATAGCGCGTGAACAGCTTCTCGCTGAGGTGGAAGCGGTGAGCGCCGAAGCGCCTCGTGTCGAAGTAGAGCGTCTCCCTGCCGCCCAGCATGGCCAGGTTGGGCTCGCTGCCGACGCGCACCATGCCGTCCTCGCCGCTCTCGACGCGGCTGTCCTCGCGCTGCCGCCGCATCAGCCGCCACAGCCGCTCGTACACCCCCGTGCCATTCTGGAAGCCGCAGAGGGAGACGTCGAGCCGCGAGCCACCCCGACCTCGAACCCCAACCCCGACCCGCGCGGAGGCATTACGACGGCGACGGCAGTAAAGCTGGCATTTCATCGTGGCGTGCGGCACGCGCGGCCGCCCCGCCGACGTGTCAATGCCCCGCGGGCTGCCTCCGAGCACCGTCGCTCTGTCTCTCTCGCTCTGCAGGGGCGTTCCGTGGGGTGCGAGGGAGACAGAACGACGCAGCCCCCCGCATGGAATCGCCGTTATGATCTAATAGGGCGCCCTGGCGTGTCTAGCCCCGCCGCTCGCCGCTCGCTGCCCACGTTCCGAGGGGCGATTGCCGGTTCCGGTTCGTCGACCAACGGGCAGCATCGCGATGAGCTCCCCGAGACTGTTGACTTGGCCGGAGGGCGGCTCACCTCCAGGATGTTGTACGAGGAGGAGTGTTTCTCCACCAGCAGCTGGTAGCCCCTCGTCTGCATGGCGTCCGCCAGCTGCTCCAGGTTGCTGATGGGCCGCTCTGGAGGCACAGTCAGTCTCCCCTCAGGCAGGGCTGCGGCCGGGACTGCCAACCCCAAGGCAGAGTGATTCCACACATCGCTGCCTTCGCTCTGTCTCTCTCGCACTCTTTGGGGCTGAACGCTTCGGTGCGAGAGAGACAGAGCGACGGAGGGCTTTGTGAAATCAGTCTACTGGTGCATTTCCCGTAGGCGCAGTCCCGGGCGCAGCCCTGCGCGTACACCAGGGTCCGAGAGTCTGGCTGTCGAACGTCGCGGCGCTGACCTCTGCCCGGCCGGGCCAGCATGGAGGTCAAGTTGGCCGAGTACATGTCCCCGATGACGTAGGTGGCGGCGAAGGAGAGCAGGATGGTGAGCAGGCGCACGCGGAGGCCGTCCTCGGGGCCGCGGACGCCTGGGGGATGACCCGGGAAAGTTTGAATCGCGCGCTGTCGCGGGGACTTGAACCCGCGTCCTCGTTTCGCCCTCCACGCCGGTTCCGGTTCCGGCCGGCACTCACTCTGCTTGAAGAAGAGCGCGATGCTGAACCAGACGGCGGTCCAGAAGAGCTTCTTATCGGAGACAGTCCGGCGGCCCCGGCGCGCCGCCCACGCCCTGCCGCGCCACAGGCGGGGCGCCTCGAGCACGCCGAACAGCATGGGCCCCGACAGCAGCACCGTCAGCACCAGCACGGGCCACACCTCGGACTGGAAGGGCCGCACTAGCGCCAGCGCCTCGTTCAGCCTGCTGGGGGTCTTGGTGACGAAGGCCCCCGAGTCGGCCAGCGTCAGGAAGGAGAACTCGACGGCCTGGCTGCGCTCGTACGTGATAGTGATGTCCCCCAAGGCTAGGTCCGCCTTCTGCAAGCAACCGTGTTTGCAGGCTTGCTGGAAAATGGGTCCTGTTCACTCATTCAGAAACTCGTTTGCGTCTCTGTCCCTCTCGCATCCACGCGGAACACCCCATGAGTGCAAGAGAGACGGCGACGAAAACGACTCTCTGCATTGGCGGGGAGTGGAAAGGTACCCGCTCGCTGACGAGGCCCAGGATTCCGGGGAAGGTCTTGTTGCCCAGCGTCTCCACGAAGGCCGAGCCCTGGCTGCGCTCCGGCGGGTCGAAGTACTGGAACCTGCAAGGGGTGCGGGGCGCGCCGTGGGCGGTGAGGAGCCGAAGCAGTGCGAAGCAGCCAACGTATCCTGCACCCACAGCGCCGCAGCGTAACCCACTTGAAGTGCAGCTTCTCCGCCAGCAGCTGCAGCAGCTGGTGGTCGCGCCCGCCCTCCACCAGGAACGTCTTGTTGGTGTAGGTCACGAAGTTCCACGGCGGCTTCTGCAAGTGGCGTGGAACACGCTTTGAGTGTGGGCGGTGGCGGTAGCAGCGGGGCCTCGTTACGAGGGCCGCGTAGGGCCACACTCACGTGCAGCACGGGCACCTCCAGCGTGCGGCCGCGCAGGTCCGTGTAGACGCGCGAGGCGGGCGGCAGCACGGGGAAGCGGAAGAGAGTGCCGCTCCACCAGTTGACGAGCCGCAGCGCGCCCGAGCCCTCCGACGTGGCCTGGGTGTAGTGCACGCGGTACCTGCACAGGCTTGGCCTCTCAGCGTCTCCGTCTCTCTCGCACACGGAACGTTCCCTCGAGTGCGAGAGAGACAGAGAGGCGACGGTCCGCCTTATACTTGCGTCCCTGCCCGCGGGTTGGAGATGACTGCCACCCGCATGGCCTCCAGCAGCTGGTCCAGGAACTTGGGGCTGGGCGGCCACAGCTCCACGTAGAACATGTACAGCAGGTTGCGCTGGATCAAGTTCTTGCTCCGAATCTTCGCGGGAAATGGGAGAACTGGTATTATTGCTTCGATCCGTTGGCCGGGGTGTGGGTAACAGAATTTTCGACAGTAAGTACAAAATTGTGAGTGGGTCCGCACCGCGCCCAGGAGGAGCTCCGCTGAGGCCCGCGAGCAAAAGATGACGCTCGTCAGGCTCTCGTACTCGGCCATGGTGTGGCGCACGTGCTCCGTGTACTGCAACACGCCCAGGCCGTGCCGGCCGCGTCAGCATGGGGCGCCGCCTTCGCTCCAACTCACTGCCGCTAGCGCCGTACCGCGAGGCGTACCGCGCTCCGCGTGCCGTGGTACCGTACCTCGTCCAGGCGGGGCTGGCTGTCGATGCTGTAGGTCTTGGTGCCGATGTGCGCCAGGTGCAGCGACACCGTCAGCAGCGCCCGGAAGCGCGCGTCTGGGGCGGGCGGGCGTGGAGAGCGATGGAGAGTGAGTGAGTGACTGAGTGAGTCAATGAAAGAGGGACTGAGGACTCACCGACTGAGCGGTCAAACACGAGAGTGACACGGTCCACGGGCAGCCCCGCCACGATGTCCTTGGTGGCGAGCGTGAGGTTGGTGACGGTGCGGTGCTCCGCGTCCAGCTCCAGGCGTCGGGGGAGGCGGTCGAAGTGGCTGGACCAGGCCGCGGCCAGCGCCACCGAGGCCGCGAAGGAGGCCCACCAGCACAGCGGCCCGCACTCAGTGCCCCGCATTCTCTTTCCCCGCTCGCGAGACGTGACTGACGGAAGGAGCGAAGGATGCCCCGGAGTGCTGGAGTCTCTGGAAGTCCTGCCCCGCCCCGCCCCGCCCCGCCCCCGCCCCGCCCCGCCCCACCCCACCCCGCCAAGTGGTCTTTGCAGCCCCTCAAAGTTGCATGAGCCGTCAACGTCAAGCGCGTTCGGTGTGGCTGGTGTGGCCGGTGTGGCCGGTGTGCCCGTGGCAGCGCCGGGCCGTGCGTGCGTGCGCAGGTTTGGGAGCAACGGAAATGACGGGGCGATACGGAACGAAACAAATCATTTACTTTTGGATTTTGCTGTGCACTGTGCAGAACTCTACTCGACTCTACTCCTCCCTCCGTTCGGCCAGGATCTTCTTGAGCGCGGCGCGCTGCGTCTTGCCCGTCACCGTCCTGGGGATGCTGTCCAGGAAGATGATGCCTCCGCGCAAGTGCTTGGGCTCGGACAGGCGCTCTGGTGGACAGCAACAACGACATTGGGTATAACGACTCCTTAGGATAAAACTTATTTCCACATAATGGTGAAACTCACGCGCCACGAAGTCCTGCAGCTCCTGCGCCTCCACCTTCTTGCTCCTGACGACGAACGCCATGGGGTGTTCGCCGTCCATGAGGTTGGGTATGCCCATGACGCAGGCGTCCCTGACGGCGGGGTGCGTCACCAGCAAGGCCTCCACCTCGGTAGGCGCGACCTATAAGAGGAAAAGAACGTCTCACCGCATTGCATGACCACTGACCGTCGGGCAGCCCTTCAATGATGAATGCTAACGAGACAAGGCATCGATTCCGCGTCGCATCGGGTGACGTGGCCCCGTGTCGGGCAGTCCCTACCTGGTGGGACTTGTACTTGATCATCTCCTTGAGGCGGTCCACGTAGAAGAAGAAGCCGTCCGAGTCGAAGTACACCAGGTCGCCCGTCTTGAACCAGCCCTCCTCGTCGTAGCACTCCGCCGTGGCCTCGGGATTGCCGATGTAGCCGATCATGTTGCAGGGCCCCCTGGCGCGCATCTCGCCTACGCGGCCCGGCTCCCGGATCACCTCGTTCGTGTCCAGGTCCACCAGCTGCGGCCATCACCACCGTCACCATCACCACCGTCACCATCACCACCACTTTCGTCATCACCGCCACCATCATCACCACCAACATCACCAAGCAACAATCACCGCCACTCACCCGCACGGACACCTTGTCCTCGATGACGCCCAGCGACCCCGGCTTGTTCTGGCCGGGGCTGGCCGTGACCAGGATGCCCATCTCGGTGGAGCCGTAGCCCTGCACCACCAAGCAGCCCAGCTTGCGAGACACCTCCTCCTGCAGCTCCGCGGACAGCGGGCCGCCGCCGCTCAGGATGCACTTGATGCTGGAGAAGTTGAAGAGGCGGCGCGCGGGGTGGTGGACGAGCCCCAGCAGCACCGAGGGCGCCGTGGGCCAGACGTTCACCTTGTACGTCTGCAGGCAGGACAGCACGGTCTTGGGGACGGGGTTCGCCATGGACACCCTGCGCGCGCCGACCTGCGTGGCCTTGAGCAGCAGCACCACGCCGGAGATCCACGAGATGGGGGCCAGCACGAGCACGGTGAGCACGTCCCCGACGCCCCTGGAGGGGAAACAGGAATCCGAAGGAATCAGACTCGACCCGACAGTGTCTGGAAGCAGTGCGCGGTGCGACTTACTCGAGGTCGGTGGGCAAGCCGCTCACGTTCATGATCATGGTGGTGAGGCCGTGGTTGGGGATCTGCACGCCCTTGGGCAGCCCCGTGGTGCCCGACGAGTACAGGATGAAGGCGACGTGGCTTTTCCTGCGCGGATGAGGGCGTTTGCTTTACAGTGCAGCACAGCGACCCGCGACGCGACCCGCGACGTACTCACCGATCGGGGATCTCCGCCGGCGAGTAGGCGTCCGGGTCGGTGTCGAAGCCCCTTTCCGACAAGGCCGCGTAGCTCGTCACTTCGTCGTCGGCCACGGTCTGGAGCGTGAAGACCCTCACGTCGGCGGGGAAGCCGTCCAGGGCCTCTTGCGTGCGCGGCAGCAGCTCGGCCTCCACGAAGATGGCCTTGGGCATGCAGAGCAGCAGCTGGTGCTTGAGCTCGGCTGGAAAGGCGGACCACGCGGAGCAGTGAGTCGCCGTTCGCGCTGCACCGCGCGGACCAACCTGCGGCCTTGACGGCCTACCTGGCCCGTGGGTCGGCACCATGGTGGCCACGGTGATGCCGGCCAGGACGCAGCCCAGCACGCCGCCGTACAGCTCGTGGTAGTTCTTGGAGAAGAAGGCGATGGTGTCGCCGGGGCCGAGGCCGTCCTCGGCCAGTGCCGACGCCACCTGCACGGCCTCGGACAAGAGCGTCTGGAAGGACCACACGTCCCCCGTGCTTGCGTCCACCTGAGGCAAGCGCGGCAAGGGAAGTGATGACGGCCACCTCCACGGCCTCCACGTCGTCGCGCTCGGCGTACCTGCGCGACGCGCTGCGCCGCCGCGTGCTCCCGCAGGTGCTGCAGCAGGAACTCGCCGAGGGAGACGTCCGCCTCGGGGCCGTCCGCGCCCCGGATGACGCCGTCGTCGTCCATCAGGCCGTCAGCCACCGCGGCGGCCTCCGGCTCGGCCTCGGCCGGGGGGCGGTCGGCCACGGAGACGGCGGACACGACGCGCATGTCGCCGCAGCTGCACGCCAACCTGTGAGAACGAGGCCGTTGTTTACCTTGACGGCCGCCTAGGTGTCCGTCGTGGTGCCACCCTTGGCGCCAACGGTGGAGGCGGCCACCTGGTGCGATCTCGCTATTAATTAACGGTGGATTGCCCCGCGGTCAATAGCGGCTTCGATTGCGTCGTTAGGCCGACAAGCGCCGCCCTCGTGATGGAGCGGTGTTCGTGTCGCCGCGGACTCGTTCCGCGCCTCGCGCCTCGCGCTCAAGGACACCTACCCCATGCTGCCGGTCAGTGGGCCGCGTTCGTCGCGCTGCTCTCGGGATGGCCGTGGACGCGACGGCCGCGTGCAGGCGCGCCTCCTGCAGCCGCCATGGTGGGTCCAAAGCCAGCCACCGCCAGCGACTCAAAGCCCTTGCAGAAAGAAAAACGCCTCACTCTCAATATTCCAACCGAGATGCAGTGACAGTTCTCGGAGCACTTCGCTTGGAGATAATTATTCCGTCGAATTGCACCGCAAGCGTTTCAATTTACTTCTTCTTGATCATGATTTCACGGCTAACTTTTGACCGGGGATTTGACTGATGGCGAATGGCCTGGCCTGTCGACGGGTACTAACGAAAGCAAAACTGACTGTGGTCTGGCGGCGGTTTGTCGAGGGGCGGCACGAGACGCGTATCCACGGCGGGCCGACGGCGGGCCGACCGGGCAGGGCGCAAGGGACGGCGAGCACTAGGCAGGGGCTGTGGCGGTCGGTGGCGGTCGTCTGGCCGCGCCGCACGACACTGCAATGGTCAGTCCCCGGCAGTCAGGGGCTGGCCTGTGCTGGCCGCCACGACAGCCACTTTGACTGCAGCCCCACCCCACCCCACCCCAACCCCCGTGGCGCTCCAAGCCCCGAACCCCGCGATAGGGGTGGGGTATCCGTGATGAGATCATCCCCCCACCCCCACCCTTTTCATAGTTCCGGGGTTTGCGGCTTGTGGCGTTAAACTATTGTCACCTTTTTGTATTTTTTGGCGGGTGGGGTGGGGGTACTCAGACTAAGGTCCATATGACCTTAACTCAGACGGGCTGCCGTCGCGTGCTTGCGAAGAACGTTCATTATTTGGCGCTAGATCGTAACCACAGTCATCACGTGATCGGAGATGCGCGGCGCGGGGGAATTCAGAATCGGACCGGAAATAGATTTCAACAGCGAAAATAGGACCGCTTGAGTGGACAGACGTAGGTCACGCCCATAGACAGAGCAGTGCACTCTTCTACATAAGTACTTGGCCACACCACTCCGAATCGAGACAAGACAAATCGACGAGCAACTTTTGTTCTGCAGTGCAGGCGGTAGCCGGCCGGCATCGTCTCGTGGCACCGCGATCCTTTTTCGCTTTTCAGTGGGCGGAAGGATGATCAAAATCAGAATAAAATGTTTTGGATCCAACAATTACGTCATTTTTCATCCCTTCTATCTAAAATGAGTCGGCAGTGTTTTTCCCTATTTGGAGCGTGTATTCTTGACAAAACGCTGCGCACGTGCCCCCTCGCGACCCCCTCGCCTCAAAATAAAACCTAATGATGAACGGACCGTGGCTAATGAAAGCTCCAATCAACAATAGTGAAAGGGCGAGGAGGGGTGCGGCGGGGTGCGGCGGGTTGCGGCGGGGTGCGGCGGGGTGTGGCGGGGCGCAGGGCGAGCACACAGGCCAGTCAGGTGAGGAGGCGGGGAGTGGCCTTCAAATTGAATAATCGAAATCCACTATAGGGATCATTTGCTCTACAGCAAACATGCCCTGGCCTGCCCGCCACCCCCACCCTTCCCAATCGACAGTCTAAAAACGTACGTAATCCCGAAGCCAAAATCAATTCTAGCCTCGAAGTGTGGAAAGTGCGGGGAACGCAAAAAAAAAAAACGAAAATAAAAATCGATGGTTGTGTACGATTGATCATTTATTTGCTCAGCATGATTTCATAATGATACCATCAAATTAACAAATTATAAATTACAATAACAATAAATATCAGTTCACTAATAACAGTCTTTTTTTTTTCTGAGCACACACCAACGGCAAAACCAAGTTGGCGAGTGACGGCATCCATAGTACGGAATGCTGCGACGCCCTGGCCATCACGCCACCAGGTCCAGCACCCTCAGCCTGGCGATCTTCTTGACCTCCTCGATGCCGGTCGCGAGTTCCTTGTCCGGGGTGTTGATGAGGCGCCGCGTCAGCCCCTCCAGGATGGCGGTGGCCTTGTTCTCGCGCGCGCAGATCACGAAGGGGAAGCCGAACTTGTCCTTGTACCTGCAGACAGAGAGACAGGGCGTTCAGGGGCAGGCCACTGGCGCTGACTCGGAGCCTGCACCCTTAAAACAAAGGCACAAAACCGAGGCCCTTAGGGGCGTAACAAGTCCTTCACACCATCTCGGGGCGTAATCATTGCCGTTTCAAGGGCGTAACTTTTTACACCCTCAAAGGGCATGGTTTCTAATGCCTCTGTTTTACCAGTGTGGCCAACGCAGACTTACGCCGAGTTCATCCTCTTCATGTCGTACTTCTGCTGCTCCGTGAGCTGGTCTAGCCCGGCGCTGCGCTGCTCCATCGTGGACTCGGCCGTCAGCAGGCCCTGCTCGGCCATGGAGCCCGCCAGGTCGGGGTGCCGCCGCAGGATGTCCACCTTGTCTGCAACGGAAGGACGGGGCCGTCAGTAGACTGATCACGCCGTCGGTCTCTCCCTCGCACCGGTAGGCAGCGCCTCACGAGTGCGAGGCCGCGAGCACCGCGTCGGCCCCGTGGCCCTCGCCGGCAGGGTAGGCAACCCAACCGTCGCCACCGCCAGGCCGCGCTCCGCGCCGGGCTTTGCAGGCGCTGCGCAACTCACCGCTGTCGCTGAGGCCGTCCACGACGGAGTAGAGCTCGGCGAGGAGGTGCTGCACGTCGCGGAGGGGCCGCCGCCGCGCCACCACGGACGCGATGGAGGGCGCGTGCTCCACCACGTTGCAGAAGAGCCGCATGAACTCGGACGGCTCGAGGAGGTTGACCGCCGTGATGGTCTGCATCGTCTGCAGTACGCGGCGCGCCGTGCCGACGAACGTGAAGGCGGGAAGCAGCAACACAGCACTGCAGCTCTGGAACAGTTTGTCAAGAGTGAGGGTCCTGGACTGCTTCAATGCAAAAGTCGCAAAAACAACACACGAACAGGCCGGGCCGGGTCGGGCCGAACCGGGCCATCCGATCCACCACGCGGCTGCAACCAACATTCTCAAGGACAACGGACTCGTCGTCACCGGGAAGGTCGTAGGGGCCGGCAGGGCGGTACACTGTACACTCCGTGCTCGATGAGGCGATGCAGAAGTCAGCCGAAATACCTCACGAAGGGCTGTGAGCCTCGAGGGCTGCGTTCGAAAGCATCACTCCGCCATTTGCCGTCGCTGTGCCGCCGCAGTGCCGCCGCCGGCTTGGCGGGCTGTTCGAACGCAGCCCTGGTGCCTTTGGAGGATGGACACTCAGTACACACCTTGAGCCGATGGAGGGCCGTACGCGCCGCGAGGTAGGAGGGCGAGGGCTGTGTTGTCCGTGCCGGGGGCAGAGCGGCTCGAGTCAGTCCCTCGCGCGGCCGGACCGACTGGCTGACTGACTGACTGACTGACTGACGCCTCCGCCTTGTCTTGTTTTCACTCTCGCCGGCAATCGCGTCGTCACAGTGGCGTGGCGTGGCGTGGCGTCACGGTGGCGTGGCGTGGCGTGGCGTGGGGGAGCTCCACGTCACACCGTGCAGCCTGCAGCCGCGCGGGAAGGACCCGCTGGGGCGGGGGCGCGTTTTCGTCCAACCTCCGTTCCCTTCCCGCGCCGCTTTGCGACCCTGCGGACTCGGCTGGCGATTGTGATCGAATTAGATCGCATTAGCCCTCGAGTGCGCCGTCGTCGGGCCGTTTAGCGAGGACCCTGGCCAGGTTGGCGTGCACCGAAAGCCACACGAAGCGGCCGGCCGCAGGCACAGGTCGCAGCGTTCCTGGAGGGCGTGGCGGAGTCGGAGGCCGGCCTGGCCTGTGGGCCTGGCCGCAGGCAAGCCGCAGGGCTCGTTGACGGCGCCACTAATTCTTCGACGAAATACCATGGAATCGATATCGAACCGACTTCCATGCCGCGGGCCACGGGGCCGCTATCTGTTGCCGCCCAGTCCGGTAGTGGGCTGATTCCCTACAGTCTTCTTCGCTCTGTCGGTCGCGCACCGAGGCGGGGCGCCCCGTCAGTGCGACAGAGACTGGAGCGACGAAAGTGCGCTCCGTTCGGATTCGGAATGAGTGGGCCGATGTCACGGGCAGCGACCGGCGGTGGGTAATTGTCCCGACGTCAGAAATGTTTATCGCGGAGGGAAGGGGGGACGCCTCTCGGCCATCAGCTGCTTATCGGGGAAGGAATACGCGTAGCGCGCTGCCGAAGGTTATCACTCCCGAATCGGGCGTGGCAGTCGTCCACAAACAAAGAGGAAGAACAATGTCAACGGGAGGAACAACTAATTGTTCTCGCCTTCGCGGCTCCGCCCGGAAAGGATTCCACGGTCGCTCCCTCTCCTTGTCGTGCACTCTTGGGACCGATGACCGCCCCTCGCTCGCACTCACACACTCCTGATAGCACCACCTCTTCCCAGCCGAGCCTTGACTCTGAGACTCTCGCGACGGGAGGCTGCAGTCGTCTGCTACAGGTGCCGGGTGGGAAGAAAATGAAAAACTTGTGTGCGTTGCATTTGGGTATCTTTTGTTTTATTCAGTTCCTTGGCACGAAAACAGACCACCAACCAAGTACTATCACAGATTGCCGAGTCGCATTTCAGTTAACTCACATTCACAAATGTGCTACAACGCACAGTTCTAAAAAAAAATAAGTTACGCTTTTTGCATATCACAAAAATATTACAAGCTCAACATAAATAATTGAAAAATTAGAAACAAGTGGTTTGGCAAGGAGGAAAAGGACACTCCGAACTCGATCATGGCAGTTCTTGAATTGCAGTTCATATTCACCGGGATTATGGTTTGGAGAATTTTCACAATTAACGTAGTCTACGCGGCGACGACCTCGAGCAGGCGCAGCCGCGCGATCTTCTTGACTTCCTTGCGGCCGTTCTCCAGCTCCACGGCCTTGTCGTTGTGCAGGTGGCTCTTGAGCTTGGAGGCCAGCTCGGCGGCCTTGGCCTCGCGCGCGCAAACCACGAACGGGAAGCCGAAGCTCTCGCGGTACCTGAGGCAAGGAAAGGAAAACCACATCAGAAAACCCCGGACCGTGTTTCAGAGCCCGACGAACCCTCCTACGGTTTGGCAGAAGGAACTCACTGGGTGTAAAGGGGGGTCAGCTCAGACTTCTTGTCCTCCGTCAGGGCGTCCAGGCCGACACAGCACTTGTGCTCCTTGGTGAGCTTGTCCTTGGGGATGAGGGCCAACTCGTTGAAGCGCTTCAGGAAGCTCTCGATATCTGTCGAAGAAGAACAATGTCATTGATCTGTCCGAGAGTGACTGTTAGGCACGGCGGCACCGCACAGTGGGTCAGAAGACCGGTGGAGGCGGCCAAAGCTCTAGAAGCGATTTGAGCTCCAGAGTCGCTAAACAGGATTCGAACCAAACGTGTGACCCCACCAATGGACTCCTCGTTCAGAGAGCAATCCCTTGGTGGGGTCACGCGTTCGGTTCGAGTCCCATTCAGCGACTCTTGAGCTCAAAACGCGTCTGGAACTTTGGCCGCCCCCACCTGTCTTCTGGCCCTCTGTGCACCGAAGGCGACCGACGGCTCACTCACAGGGCGCGGGCAGGGCGTCCAGTGCCTGGTTCAGCACGTCCACCAGGTGCTGCGCGCTGCGGAAGGGCCGCAGCTGCGCGATGGCGGCGCCCAAGGAGGGCGTGAAGTTGAGCAGGTTGCCCAGCACCTTGGCGCAGCTGGCCCACTCCAGCGTGTTCAGCACGGCCAGCGAGACGGGCAGCTTGGGCAGGTACACGGGCACGGCGGGGGTCTCGTCGGCCACCTCCTCGGTCTTGGCGGCCGCCCGAGTCTGCTGCCTCTTGTCGGCGGGTTTGTCGTCAGCGCCCTGCTTCTTGTCGGCAGGTTTCTTGTCGGCGGGTTTCTTGTCAGCCGGCTTTTTGTCGGCAGGCTTCTTGTCGGCGGGCTTCTTGTCAGCAGGCTTCTTCTCGGCGGCAGGCTTGGCGTCGCCGGCGGCGGGCTTCTTGGCGGCCGCCTTGGGCTTGGCGGCGGCCTTGGGAGCAGAGCCCTCAGTGGCGGTGGGCATCTGCAGGGTAACCAAACCTTAGCACAGTTTAGGTGCGGCTAAAGCCCTACATTGCGTCGAAGGGAATGCTGGCCTCTGGGTGCGGTTGCGCTAGGAAGGCGCTGGCTGCTGGCCTCCCCCCACACTCGCGCGTCCAAGAGGTTGCCTACTGTCGGGCGCTATTTGGGTCGACTGTCGACTCTCGGTCGCTGGCCGCGCGCTCGCTGAGCGGCCGACCCAGGGCAGGCGCACCAGGGCGACAGTGACAGACCGATTTGCCAATCTCTCCGGCCCGGCCTGTGGGCCTGCCCTACTCGGCCGAGAAGCTCCACTCACGACACTGTACTATTTGCGGCCTCGGCGTGAATCTGCTCGCGACTGGCTTCCATTTGGTTCGGGGTTCGGGATTCGGCCCGACCGGCCGACCGCCGCGAAACGGATGGCGAAAAGCAGAAGGGAGGGGGCAGGGCAGGGCAGGCGCGTGCGGCGTAGCGACACCGCGAGACGCGGCAACACGTGGCGCCAGTGCAATTTGCAGCATCGCCTGTCATCGCATCGGCAGCACTTCAACCATATGTTCCCGTTCGACCGTTTCCCCAACTCTGGCGTTGCGGAGGGCAAACCGTTTCGTCGGAGTGAACGCGGCGGGACGAGGGCGGCTGCTGTCGCTCGGCGCGCATATGCACTTACACGGCTGGTGCAGACATGTCGGCCGGGTTGCCTACCTGTCAAAGGGTCCATTCAAAATTGAGGGCAACAAACAATCGAGGGAGCTGAGACCAACAATGACTTTTCTAGAGCTTCGTTTCTAAGGAAGGTTATGAGACGACAAGTTACAGTTCAAAATTTGACTCTTCAATTTTGTACCCCCATCCGCACCTACCCCCTCCTTTTCCTCCATGTTTCATATGTGCCCGCGGGATATCGCCGGGCCTGGGAACCACTTGAGGTCCTTCCATTCATTCACAAGGGGACCAATGAAGGGTCAGACGGTCCTGTCGCAGGCCGGAGTGCAGACAGGGACAAAGGGCTTCAAGGGGCACTGCAAGTAACTGCAAGGGTGTGCGAGGGGGAGAAAGGGGCGGGGGTGGGGAGCACAGTTGCCACGATTTGGGCTCGTTACCTTTATCGGTGGCCGTGTTGGGCCGGGTGTCGTCTGCTGCTGGCGCGCACACAAGTCGGACTGGGCAGAGAGAACCTCGAACGTGTCGTGTCTCCTTGCCGTCAGCTGTCAGCCAGCTGTGTAGGTCTGTACGAGACCCCGACCCCCCTCCCCTCCCCATCTGGGTCCCTGCATTATCACAGCTCTATACATGCTTGCCTCTCATCACTCTCATCATTTAGCGACTGAGTGAGCACCCACCACTTCAATTGGCAGATCACTGACTCGGAGACCGCGAATGCCCCGTTTTGCCCGTCCCATCCCACACGACCGTTTTGTGCATTTCTTTTACATCAGCGTACTCGACATTGTGGACGTTGTTGATCGTGTTCGTTTTCCCCTCGACCTGAATACCTTGAGGTGATGTTATATCCTATCCGTGTATCAAAAATGAAATTCAGAAAGGGAACAAAATAATTGTGTTTTCAATTTAATTATGGTTCTTTTTTATTCAACTAACAAATGAGTTTGACAACAGTCACATAAAAAGAGAAAATAAGTACAAACATCACTGTGAATTGAAAGGGTCAATATTAGTTCACCTTAATGAATATATGCTCGAAGACGCCTGGAAAGGACCTTTGTATCAGTTCACTCTTATGAATATTTGCTCGCTCGGACCTTGAAGGACCTATAATCAGTTCATTTTCATATGAGTACATGCTCAGTAAGGACCTTGATGAACACTTAGTCAAAACAACATCAAAACTAAAACTACAGTTCTATTTACAAACACAGTTGGTAGTCTCAAAAAATATTTTTAGAATATTTTTTGATGACTTATATCAACTTTGTGAAATAAACAATTAGCAAATTAAAATAATCATTTCGTTCCCAAAGACATGCAAGACATGTAAAGCAAAAAATTCATATAATATATTTGTTGACAAAGACATGCATCACACACGAATAAGCACAATGCCATCAGAATTAAAGAAATGACAATCAAATAGGTAGAAGAAGTTGAAATGTATAGTAACACATGTGTAAAAATACTTCTGTAACAAATATTAGCAACTTGCAAACACAGTTCAAGAAGAAAAACAATCTTATGGTCCTCAAAAAGACTGATTTATGATTATTCTTGAAGAATATGCTTGCAAAAGGAAACATTGAAACTAAAACTACAGTTACATACAACAAGGTTGATAGTCCCAAAAATATTTTACAATATTTTTGAAGGCTCTGTAGTGCATCATATTTACTTTCAAAATGGAGTGATTTGCAATTCAAATAATTATTTTCTTCACAGACATGCAAGATAGAAATACAAAGATGCACATCAAACAATTTAGCGATGCAATGATAGTCCGATAGGCGATAGAAGTTACAAAGAGAAAATCCTTCTGAAGCAACGGTAACATTAAAAGGGAAAAACAATGAAAACTTAATTTTCCATGAGTGGAAATGTATGCAGTATAGTTAAAGCATTTGAGTTTAGACTGCAGTATTACAGAACCTTTAAGTCTTGGTAATTTAGTTATTGTAAACATTGTTATTAAAATACATTAAAAATATCACAAATTGGAGGATAGCTTCCACCAAAAAATGGTTTGAACTATGGCACTTAAAGTTACCCTGGAAGCCACAAATAGTATGACTTGAAATTAGCTAATCTGAGGAACAGCAAGATTTTCAAAATACTTCATTGACTTCACTGCTGAATCAACTGTAATGTTGTACATAGGATGAATTGGTGCCTGAATAGTGGAGAAAGTAGAATCTATGAGTTGAACCTTAAACACAGCACTGTTAGCCCTCCCTCCCCTTTTCAACATCTCTTTGTTTCAACTAAGGGTCACTTATTTTCAAAATAACTGGCTTTTTTTTTTTTCTATAAATGTGAGATATTGTTGGTCAGTGACTCGTCCAAGGGGGGAACTACAGACATTACGCTACATGGTCTGTGTCACAATGTCTTACACCCTGCAAGCGTACACTTCTCAAACCTTACAGTGAACTCTATTACATTTTGGAGTACATTATTTGCTATGTAAAAAGAAAAAGCTTACTTTGGGTGACTTTGAGCATGCTAAATTGATTATTCCAAAACAATAAGTTTAAACTAAAGGTGCACAAAATATGAATAATTAGAAACTTGCCAGACAACAAGGAAGTAACTACTTGCTCTTTGTTATTTCCTCTCTGACGAATATTGATTCACATTTATAGGAAAAAGTCCAATTGTGAGAAAATAAATACCCCAGTAACTCAAATAAAACAAAACAAAAACAGAATGAGGGGAAAAAGAAAGAAAGCTCAGTACCCACCAATCAAAACGGTGGTTATGAAAATGAATACTCACCAGTAGGTTAGATTTGGATCCAAGTACACATTTTTTGACAAGGGAGGTGTGTTGAGCAATAGATAGTCCACTTAGTGCATAACATGTATGGTAAGCGTCTCTAGGTCTGAAAAAGAAGATAGGAAGGTTTGTCATTTGAGAAACAGCAACTATTATTGTTATTATAAACAGCACTTCCTGACACTTACTTTCCTGGCTTATCAATGAGTCCACCAGATGCTAACTGGCAACACATAAGTACGTATTCTTGTAAAGCTTCTTGATTGAATAACCATTTGTCAGCACTGACAACAGTTTTATCTAGAAATGGTTTTACACAAATGAATCAGTATCTAAATCTATAAGGTAATATTAGATAAAACAATATCATTTTTGACTTACTTTCTCTAAATAAAATATTATGTAGAAAAAGAAAGGCTCCGCCTTGCCAAAATGAATAACATGCATCGACCAACTTATTTGTTCTGCCTTGAAACCCACCCTCTAATCTCATTTGTCTATTAACAATCCATCTCTGAAAATCGGTAAATAGGATGGTTACTGCAAAGACTTCATAAGTTTCACATATATGAAGTAATTCTGAAATTCTCAATCTGAAAAATTACCGTGAAAGCATTTATGTCACACAAGTGGTCTTTACCAAGCATGAACAATGTTGCAAGACCACAAAATGAATAGCCACCGTGTGCCTCCATTCCTGGACATGCAGAAAATCCTCCTTCATATGACTGACATCTGTGAACAGAACCCAAAGTGAAAACAAGTCAAAATAATCCAATTCCACTGGAAACACTCAAGAGTTCGACTTGCCTAACTATCCACTCTGCGGTGCCTTCAAACAGGCTGGGGGTATAGATATTGGTGAGTTTTGCCACAGAGAGTGCACAGTATGCGCCCCTCACATCGACCTCACCATTTTGATGCATTATGAATGAGCCATCAGGTTGTCTCACTGACCAAAAAAATTGCTGCAGTTTTTCCCTGTAATAAAAATTATGAAAAAACCATTTTTTTTTTTTTTTAATTATCAAAATAAAACAATCTTGAGATTTACCTATTGATAACGTTGAATGCCTCCTTGGTTCCAATGGTACATAAGGCATTTACAGCTGCGTACGTGCACGCCAAATGAGGCATTTGGCCTGGACCACCACCAAACCCTCCATTTGGCGACTGGCACCTAAGGCAACCGATTACATAAATAAATGTGAGTTGTCAAGATGCCATTAGTAACAGACAGCAGGCTGGCTCCTTTTTTTAAAAAATTGAATCAGCATATTGAGATGTCATAACCCCACTCCCACTCTCGTCGACCAAATCCACTAGGTGGGTAAAGAGTGGAGTTGTGACATCACAATTCCTCGATACGATTTTTTGTATTAGAGTCATAGAATTAAGGTGACTTTGATAAACCATTCAATTTTACTTTGCAAGGAAACCAGCAAGAGATGAATAATCCTCTGACATCAACGATTCTTCAAGCAGAGCCAGGGCATGAACATTCCAATACACCAACCAAGGTCTGCTGCTATCAAGGCACTGAAAATCAATGGAGGTTTCAAAAGAAAATCTAAAACAGATTTCTGATACTGCTTCTAAAATAATTAAAAAGACAGCATACCTGAAATCCACCAGGCAGATGGGTCAAAGATTTTTTCAAAAAGCTGATATGCTTTTGTCGTAATAGGACAGGGCATTCTTCATCAACTTCAGCTCGTTTATCATAAATGTCATATTGGGTTAAAACACTCCTCTCAACTTGCTCCTGGAAATCAATGGAAGTAGCTTTAGGAGATGACAAGCAAACAGACATGCAACAGAGATCAAAGGAGGAATTCATCTAAAAGTTTTGTTTGAACCGGTGAAACAAATCTGACCCACAATAAAGGAAAACAAAAAATGTCAGAAAATCCTAACCCCTTAAAAAGAGCATGTCCCATTTGAAGACTTTGCATTTGTGGGCTTTTACATGAATGCACGAACCGTGACAGAAATGTTAAAAAGACTCACTTGTTCCTCGCTAGAAGCGGTAGAGTGTCCTTCATTATCAAACCGTTCTGCTCTTATTTGTGCAAGAGTTCTACGATTTTCAGCTCCAATTTCAGCCATAATTTCCGATGTTTACCTTCTCTCTCTCTCTTTCTCCCTCCTCTCTTTCCTTCCCTGTCCTGCGCACTGTCGCAACGCGCACTGGCGCACTGCAGTGGTACAGTGTGTGGCCGCGAGGTGGCGGTAGGTACGCGACGCGCCAAGAGCCGAACCGATGCGCATCTCATCCCCGGTTTTGGAGGGCCGTTCGCGAGGATGTTGAAATTGAAATTGTTTATTGTTTATTGTGACGGCGACCAGACTGGAGTGAACACGTCATGGCTTCAGCCCGGAGGAAGAAAAAGCCAATTTCGTGTCTACACGTCATAAACTTGGGGACCATTATGATGTCAAAATGACTCAAAGTGTCAGCAAGTCACCTGTGGTCTTCCATGGGATTGGCCCGTTGTTCGTTGTATGACTTTACTCGAGAGCTGAGCTTTCTCACTCAGGCATCATCCGCTAAAATGCTAAACAGGAGGCAGCCTGCAGCCTCTGCGACACTGGATTCGAAGTGACTCCACGTGACGCTGGACTCTGGTCGCGTGGTGCGTGTTGGAGCAGCTGGAGCAGCTGGAGCGGGAGACGCTTGCCCTGACCCCGGATGGAGGATAGAGCGCCGTAAATTGGTTCGGCCTTTTTGTGGCTATTTGGAGAATCGTGGGTTGTCGAGGTCAACATGTAGCCGCCGTTTGGTTCGGAGAAGAAGCCTTTTAGTAAAATAAGAAACCAATGCCCACAAAACATTGTTTTTCAAATATTTATTATTTTTTAATGCATTTTCTCTTTTTCTTTATGTACAGTTTACAGTTTTTACACTATTTGCTAGGCACAAAATATTTGTATATAGTGGTCACGGAGGTAGACTCACAGAGTCTGTAATTGGTTCCATAGTAGGGTTACTGCAGTTACTGCCTCTGGGGGCCGGCGCGGGCGATCAGCTCCAGGGACTTGAGGATGGCCTCGGGGATCGGGGGAGGGGTGGGCAGCGCGCTGCCGCGGGGCTGGTAGCCGTTCTCGTCGGCGATGTAGGAGATCTGGACGGGGGTGCCGTCGTCGGAGGTCCAGGCGAACTGGCCCTGCACGGACTGGATGGGGCCGTCGCGGCCGGCGGGCTTCTGGTCGCCAACGGCCTGGGCCTGGATGCCGTTGCCGGTCTCGTAGCTGCAGGCCGAACAATGAGTGGGGTGAGCATCAATCAGACTGGCTTCTTGGGACCGAGCCGTGGGCACAAACCAGGAAAAGTACTTACGCGTACTGGAACCTGCCGTCGGGCTGGATCTGGGACTCCAGCCGGAGGATGGGGATGGGGGCGCGGGCCTGCTGGAACTGCTGGGCAGAAGCCACAGCCACCAGCACAGCAGCAAAGACCTGCAAAGACCGACACTCACTTCAGCAAAACTGTCTCTCTATGGTGTGCCCCCATGGGAGGGCCGACGTAGATGTCGTTCCCTTACCGCGATCTTCATCATGGTGTTGGCTTGGTTGGACGAGCTGAGAGTGCTGCGGTGCGACTGGTGCCGAATCTTGGCCGGAATTCTCCTTATATACTGGGCGGCCTGGGCGGCCGGCCGGCCAGCCCGCGGCGGGTGGATGGGATGTACGGGATGATCGGATCTTCTCCCACCAGGCCATGCCGCCATGCAGGCCTCGAGAAATAAAACACAAAGAAAGGCGGTCCGCGAGCGGGCCACCACACAACGCCCCCACCGGCCGGGCCGGCGGGGTGCCTGGCGGACCCCAGCGGACACGGCGACACGGCGACCAGGGCCGTCTCGTCGATGCCGCCGACAAGATGACACCATGGCTCCAGGGTATGCACACACTGCCGCTGGCGTCCGGCAGGCCTCTCGCTCGGCTCCGACGTGGCGGTCCACCGAACGGACCAAAACAGCGGCCAACGAGCAAGTCACGCCAACGAGTCTTGGCGATAGTTTGCCGGGCTCCTATCCGACTTTGACTCTGTGATGTACGGCAGGAACTTACAACACATTGAGTTCAGTGGTTCAATGGTTCGGCAGTTCTGCACGGTGATAGCCCGAGCCAAAATTTGGGCTCGAACATTCGTTTCTTTGCTTTGCGTGTTTCGGCCGGACTTTTCCACGCGTCTTGGTCTTGGGAAAGCGTGGCTTTGCCTGGTTTTGCATTATGGCCACCGAAAGGCTTGCCGAAAGGTCAGCGGCGATCCCATCCTCCTAGCGGACTCGATCAAAATGCTGGAATCAAGAGCGTCTGGAAGAAAGTCGTAACGCGCCGCGGATTCAAGGGTGCCCCTCGCCCCCCCCCCCCTCTCCCCCTCGTCACTGGAGGCGCGGCGGGCCCCGCGCAGTCTGGTCGTCTGGTCTGTCGCCTCTGTCGCCTCTGCCGTGAGTTGCGCGCCTGCCGGCCAGTCCGCCGAGCCGCTTCTTCTTGCAGGAAGTCTCCAACTGTAGGCCGCTGGTGTCGCACCCAGAGCTTGGTCTGCATATCAACATGGGCCCACCCGCATGTCCTGGAACATACCGCGTATTGCCCTGGAAACTGGCCTCTTGATGCCAGCAAGGCGTTCCCATAGCGTTCACATTGGGGGCAAGATGCTTTGCATTGCAGTACCAAAGCGAATCCCGTAAATGCGCTCCTTTCACCGGGACGACAAGAATATTGAAATGAAAAAGCGAGATATAACTGTCGGTTTGGAAGGGTGGTCGCTGTAGATCGGTGCAGGGCTGTGCAGGGCTGTGCAGGACGAGGACGCCTCACGAAAGGGAAGGGGAAGTACCAGTGTACCAGGTCAGCCACCGGCAGTCCGGCAGCGCGCCCTGCAGCCGCGTGGTGGCCGGCCGGCAACTCGTTGGACAGGCTCCGTCGCACGTCGGCCTTGTTCAAAATAATGTGAATGTGACACAGTGTTCGTGCCACACACACACACACACACCACACACACACACACACACACACACACACCAGGCGGCATGGCCAGGGTGGTCCACGAGGTCGTCTGCCGCGTCGCGACCTTCAACCCGCAGGAACATCTCCCCCCCCCCTCCCTTTTGCCGCGACGGAAAAACTAGATGCTCTCTTCAGGGGCCGATCTGGCCGGTATGTCCCGGGTGAGGGTAGGCAGCCCCAGCCAGTGCCTCCTTACATTGTTACTCCAACGGCAGGACGGGTTGCACTGTGATTGTCCCGATCGTTTGTGGTGCAGTCCGTCGAGACATCAGCCTGGCGTCGCACCGCTCTGCGATCGCAGGCCCCGAAAACAGCGTGCTGACTGTCTTGCTGGGGTTACGCGTTCGGTTCGAGTCCCATTTTTACCGACTCTAGAACTCAAAACGTGTCTAGAATTTTGGCCGCCTCCGACGGTCTTCTGGCCCACTGCGCGCGGCGTCCCGTATGAGTGCGCGGGAGAGACAGAGCGACGAAAACGACTCTCGGAATCAATCTGCGCTGCGCAGTCCGCTGTCGCACTATCCCCACACACTATCCACGCTTAGCGCCAGACGGCTGCTGTCCGACCGGGCTATCTTTTGCGATCGCAACGGGCTGACTCTGCTGGGCCTAGAGGGGTAGGCCTTTGCCATCTCGTCGCGGTGGAGCTTGCCGTCGGGCCAGGGCTGTGGGTGGTGTCCATGACCTACCCTCCACCGCAAGGTGGGCCCGAAGCGCGATGCCACGGTGGCGAGAAAAAAACTTGGATTGGTTGAAACGGTACGGGTCTTGCCATCAATTAACAGTAACTCTGTTTGTTGCTCCTGCGTGGCTCCACGGAGACGTCACACACTGGATTTGCCAGAAGGCCGGCGCAGGCCGGCCAAATGGAGACGCGCTTTGAGCTCCAGAGTCGCCGGGACTCGAACCGATCGTGTGACGCCATCAATGGATCCCTCGTTCGGAGCGCAATCCATTGGTGGGGTCACACGTTCGGTTTGAGTCCTATTTAACGACTCTGGAGCTCAAAACGCGTCCGGGATTTCAGCCGCCTCCACCGGTTTTCTGGCCCACTGTGCGTCAACCCACCGTGAAGGCGGCGAGGCTGCCTGGAAGGTAGGCAAGAAGTCGCACCTTGCCTAACTAGGCAACTTTTGCGTCATCGCCCCCTGAACCCACCTCTGGATCCGCCCTTGCTCCTCCCTCTCAAAAATGCATCACACTGTTATTCGCACGTAGCTTCTCACATTTTTTGTGCATGTCAAACTGTGCGTACTAATTTGTGCCCAGAAATGACAGCGCATATTCGTGCGAAATTTCGAACCACAATTGGACATAGAAATTTAGTGTGTGGGAGAGCATCCGACCTGCCATTTCTTCACTTAGCTTCGAATGAGAGCTGTGATATTGAAAACGTAGTGGTCTGCTGGCAGCAGGGCCGCGCATCAGCAGCGCCCCCCGAGTCTCGGCAAACCTCGAGCGTCCGACGCGCGTTGGGCTGCCTACCCGTCGGGAGGGTGAGGTCCACCCGTGGATCACTGGATACCAACAGCGTGCCTCGTGCCTCTCTCGGCCGACGCGGACAAAGTGCCGGAGTCCCAGCCACACTTCCGGCTGGCTGGTATGTCTGGCTTTGGCTGTAGTTCTTTTCGATGAAGAATCGGGCCTCCCGTCGGTGCAACTCGGCTCGTCGTGCAGTCTAGGAGCCGCTTCCCTGGTCGCTACCCCTCGCCAGCCGCAGTGCGCCTGCGCAGGGTGGCGCCAGGGCGGGGCGCGTGGGGTAGCGGAGCGCGTTGGCGCCAAGCTTCGCGTGAAATCAATACGGTGGCGCTGCGTTCGGCGTTCGCGATGCCACCTCCGGCCACCTCCGGCGCCTCTTGCCGCCCTGGTCGCGGGGAAAGCTCAGACGACCACGCAACACGGCCCGAACTCGCCGAGTGTGTCAACAAGGCGCCGCTCGGCACGCCGGTGTGTGACGAAGACAGACGACTCTTTCTCTCTCTTTCCACCCCCGCGAGTCATGACCGCCCGGGGTGCGAGGGGTGGGGAAGGCGCCCCACCGCCCCGCGGACTGCGGGGCGCGACGCCGGAGCGCTGGGCGCCGACGGCTGCTGCCTCTCACGGCCACCCACGAAACTCACCCCGCGGTAGCGGCGCTGCGCGGACCGAGACTGCCAAGACCAGTGGACCGAGCACCTTGGTTCGCTCCCCAAAGAGACACCACTTCCTGGACATTTCTGGTCCCAAGTCGTCACTGCTCGGTGCAGTGGGCAAAAGTGTTTTTAGCAGATGATACCTTTACTTTAAAACATTCACAACGTTAGTGAATGAGTGAGTACTGTTCGTATCAGGGTACCATCGGCATCATGAACTTCCACTTCGGCGAGCCGAAGATGTGACAGGCGATCCTGGACCAGACGAGTATCATCTGCTTCCATGAACGTTCCTAGAATGGACGTTCTGTTTGCAACTTTTTGGACTAAGTCGACTTTGGTTGGAAAACACTGTTGTAAATGTATGGCTTGAGGACTTGAAAATTTACACACATCACAAGAGCTAAGGACTATCAGCGCAACCATTCTGACTGTTTTTCAGAATCTTTCAACAGTTTTTCAGTTGCCAGTTTCAGGCTAGAGGAATTAAGTTTTTCTTTCTCTCAGTGTAGGCTGCGTGGCTGAGAGCGTGGCAAGGCTTAATATTGGTATTAGGTGCAGCGATCTGCATGGCACTGTACGGGCACATGCGCGCCATCCTCAAGGTGGAAGGCTCGCCGTCAAGCAGATGCCCCGTAGATGCCCCGTAGTGCTCGTCAAGCCGTCGTCAAGCACGCGACCGGTCCGGGACGGCTAGCGTGGAGAACCGCTGTGTAACTGAAGCGCGCACCGTCTCAGTTTCGGACGGCAAAATACGGCGAGGTAGAAGTGCCTAGACAGAGTCCTCTGGCCGTCGGTAACATCTGTGGAGTGCATACGTGCAGTGGTACCAGACTCACGATGAAGATGCGGGCGACGTAGCGCAGTGCCTGCAGCGCCTACGTCGGCTGGTCCAACGGACCGCTGGCTCGAGGTTGGTCGAGGACTCAGCGCATTTTCTTCGGCGTGGACGCACCGCGAAGTCACCACCATGCTGGAGTACGCGGTCGGCGTCCTGGTGGCGCTGCTCGCCGCCGTGTACATGTTCTTCCTCCACCGCTTCAACTACTGGCAGCGCCGCGGGGTGCCGTTCGTCGCCCCCCGGCTGCCGTGCGGCAACGTCACCGACGTCATCCTGGGCAGGAGGCCCATGCTCGCCGTCGTGGACGACATCTACAAGGAGCACCGCGACAAGCGCTTCATCGGCACGTACTTCTTGTTCACGCCGGTGCTGCAGCTCCAGGACGTGGACATCATCCGACAGGTGTACATCAAGGAGTTCCAGGACTTTAGCGGGCGCGGCACGTACTGGAACCCGGAGAACGACCCGCTGTCCGGACACCTTTTCATCCTCGGCGGGCAGGCCTGGAAGAGCATGCGCGCCAAGCTGGTGCCCGCCTTCAGCCCGGGCAAGGTCAAGTACATGTTCGGCACGGTGAGCGAGTGCGCCGGCTTCCTGCGCGAGCATGTCGAGTCCTCCCTGGCCAAGGGCGGCGGCGCCTACACGGAGGACATCCGCGAGCTGCTGGCACGCTTCTCCACCGACGTCATCTCCTCCGCGGCCTTCGGCATCGAGAGTAACTCCATGAAGAACCCGCACTCGGAGTTTCGGCGCATGGGCCAGCGCGCCTTCGAGCCCTGCATGGACGTCAACATGCGCACTCTGCTCGAGTTCTTCGCGCGCGACATCATGAAGATGTTTAGCATCCGGTCCGTGCCCAACGACGTGCACGAGTTCTTCACGCGCATCGTGGCCGACCTGGTGGAGCACCGTGAGAAGAACAACGTGGAGCGCGCCGACCTGCTCAACATCCTCATTAGGCTCAAGAACGACGGCTTCGTGCCGGGCGACGACGAGGCATCCGCGGAGACCAGAGGTAGGCGGCGGCGGCAGCAAATTAAGGCAGAAACCCTGCGTGCGAATAAGATGGGCAGTAAAATTAGCACAGTTTAACACTTTGCAGGGGTCGACAGGGACGACCAGAAGCTGACCGGCAAGGAGATCGCCGCCCAGGTGTTCGTCTTCTTCATCGCGGGCTTCGAGACGACCTCGTCCACCACGGCCTTCACGCTGTACGAGCTGGCCAAGCACCCCGATATCCAGGACAAGGTGCTGCAGGAACTGGATACCGTGCTCAAGGCGCACGGCGGCAAGGTCACCTACGACGCCCTCCAGGAAATGACCTTCATGGAGATGGTGGTCCAAGGTGGTTTCGGTTAAGCCCTCTCTCTCAACACTTCAACCACGTTTGCACCATGCCAATAGATGGGGGCTCTGTGAGCTACCCCACACTTGGACACTGCAAACTCCACACTTGGTTTGTGAGTGCACCCACTAAACTCGCCTTGCACTTTGCAGAGACGCTGCGACACTACCCGGCCGTGCCGTTCATCACCCGCGAGGCCATGGTGACGCGCCCGCTGCCCCTGACGGACACCATGGTGGAGAAGGGCACGCGCCTGCTCATCCCTGTCTGGTCCATCCACAAGGACCCGGAGCTCTGGGAGGACCCGCTGCGCTACGACCCGATGCGCTTCTTGGAGGAGGCCAAGAGAGCCCGGCGCCCCGGCATCTACATGCCGTTTGGAGACGGGCCTCGCATCTGCATCGGTAGGACCAACGCAGCGATACCCCTCCGGCCCCCGGTGTTTTGGTTTCGTTTTTAAAGTGCTTTGGCGTTGCAGGCATGCGCATGGGCTTGGTGCAGGTCAAGACGGCCCTGGCCACCGTGCTGTCCCTCGCCAGGGTGACGCTTGCGCCCAGCACGCCCAAGGAGGTCCGCATCTCGGCGCGCACGGTGGTCATCGCCCCCGAGCACGACATCCACCTCGTCCTGACGGCGCGCTGAGCAGTGTGCCCTCCTCGCGTTTCAGAGCACAATTTAGTCGCCTCAAATTTTCTGAAGGAAAACACATCAAAGACATTCCAATTGTTTTGCCGCACAGCACAGCCCCGCGGCGGCAGCGTGGTTCCCCCGGCCCAGCATGGCATCCGCGCAGGCCGGCGGGCGGCGCTCAGGTGCGCCTTGCAAGCAGGCAAACCATCGCGCACCAGTGGACTATAGTGCCGACATGTTGGCACGTCGTAAGCGGCATGGAGGCGGATGCAAAGTTTGGATTTGTATGTTTATAGTGATGGTTTAACGTCAAAATAATTATTAAAATCATAATTGAGAGAGAAAGAGTCAGCTGGAGACGCCTGGAAGTGTGGCCAACCCTTTTTTTGCTACTCGCTAGAGGCGAAGGATTTATGAAAATAATGGAGTAAAAGGAAGACCTAGTTATGTGTGGATTCGTGCCTGTTTTTGGTGAACGAGTTCTCGTCGCAGCCAACTTGTTAACGAAGCCATTAAACATTTGAAATGGACCAACATGCAAAGCAACGCAAAGCAACCAACCTTTTGAACACAGGGGTTCAGCGGTCTCAAAGTCCCTGCCACTGCCAGGAAAAGAGGACTTCCCTGTCAGGATGGCTACTAACCATTGAACACCATCTTCAGGTCTTCAGCTGCTGTCCGAGAATGCCCGGCGAGAGAGCCACAAAGCGATACACATGAATCTGTTGATGTGACAAAATTACGTCGATTCAACGTCAATCGGCGGCCCATTGCTCGCTGGGATTGATGGGCGTGAGTTTGGGGGGAAGGAGGGGGCAGGGCCCGCGCTGGCGGGGTAGAGTGGGGCGGGGCGTGGCTCCCCCGGGGCCCGGCGGCGCGGGGCGGCGCGGGGCTCGGTGGGCCCTACCGAGTACTGCGTGCTTGCGGCCCGCCGGCCCGCCTCACGTTCAGTTTCAGTTTGCGTTGGCGTCAAGTCGGTTGCGAGTCGAAGTGAGTCGCGTCGCGTCACGCGGCGCCCCAGTCCTGCGGCGTCGCGCAGCACCGCGTGTGCGACACGAGGACCACGTCGACGGCCGCGTCGAGGACCGCGTCGTGGACCGCGTCGAGGACCGCGTCGAGGACCGCGTCGAGGACCGCGTCGAGGACCGCGTCGAGGAACCGCGTCGAGGACTGCGTCGAGGACCACGTCGAGGACCGCGTTGAGGACCGCGTCAAGGAATACGACAAGGACCGCGTCGACGGCGTGTCATAAGGATCACGTCAAGGGATACGCCAAGGACCGCGCCGAGGACAGCCAGTGGATCGGCATGGAGGTACAGGACCGCGTCGACAAGTGGACCAGGCCGCGGGACTTCCCCGAGCGGGTCTCCGACGCCAAGCTCGTCGTGATGATGGTTTTGGGGGAAAGTGATGGAGGAAGCTCGCCCGGCGGCGCCTCGCGACGCGGCAGAGCCTCGCTGCGCGGATGTGTCGCGCGGGCGGGCGCCCCGGGACGGAAACCTCCGTTGTTCCCCTCCGTGATCGCCCAGGAGGGGACGGCGTGCGGTAGGTGTTCGGCTCGCCCCAAACAGGCAGCCTGGAAGCAGCTGGAGCAGCCCTGGAACGCGCTGACGGGCTGCTGGCAGGTAGCACGGTCGTTGCGGCGAGCCGTCGCACATCATAAAGCCGTCTAAGTCGGGACCGCCCTGCCCAGACTCGGTTGTCAGTCCGGGGGACGCAGGCGGAACCAGAGCAACCGGAGAGAGAGAGAGGTGTGGGTGAGTCGGGCTGCTGCTCGTAACTGCTCGCACTTTGTTGACATGTGTCGCGTGCGTTTAAGTCTCCTGCCAGCCACTTCGCAGGCGTCAGTGTCCACGACGACCACGACCGTGGAGCAGGGCGTCCTGAGGTCGTGGGCGTGTCACGGCGGTAGGAGGCTCGTCGAACACCATAAGCACGCCGTTGTCGTCGTCGCCGGTTCTGCTCCCCTCCCCCCCCCCTTGCCCCGCCCCATCTGCTATTACGAAACGGAACTGAACGAGGGCGATGGGCCACTTCCAGCGGCTTCCAGCTTCCAGAGCGGCGGCCTCCGGCGAACCTGGCGGACAACACACCTCGCGCGGCGCGCGGCCGGAAACGGCATGGCGCGCCGCGGCCCGGGACGGTACGGTGCGGCGCGCCACGCGAGCCGGAGGAGCCGGAGGAGCCTATTATCGCGGATAGGAGAGGGATTCCAGAGTAGCACCGCCACACTCGCCGACGCGGTGCCGCTGCTGGAGCGAGAGGGCTGACTGCGGCCACGCGGAACCGAATCGCATCCTGGACGTTTGGCGCGTGCCGACTCCATCTTCGATGAATTGGATTGAACCGCCAATTATTGGCTTCCTTACACGGGGGATAAGGGAGGGGCTCTTGATAGGCAGAGAGCTGTTTTCACATTTTTCCTTCCGAATGCGATGGTGATATTTTAGATACAGTAGTAAAATAACATTGCTATTAACGTTTGTTTCTTAATTTTTGCCAGTTTGAGACAAAAATGACAAGGTATTGTGAAACGCAGAAAAGTGTTCCGTGGCCGTCCGGCCAGGGCGCCAGGGTCCCCTGTGAGCACACCCAGCCGGCAGGTTCAGGCCAGCGCTGTGCTATTTGCCGATGGCCACACTGCGGGCACTCGACGGTGGGAAGACTCCCGGCCGGCGGCGGCGGCCCGGCGTCCCTTTTTCGCCCCTTGACCGCGCACTGCACCGAGTCCCGGGGAACGCCAAGTAGATCCCCGGCGTTGCGTCACGCGTGTGCTATTCAAGACAGTCCCAGTCGAGGCCGCGGAGGGCCCCACCGCCGCGGCGGCAGCTTCCGAGGCTTGCAGGAACGGGAAAAAACGTAATTGGAGTGCGTAAGATCATCGCGCGATTGCTTGCGTGTGGCGTGGTGGTGCGAGGCGGGGGCGTGCCGGCGTGCGTGGCGTGGAAGTGCGCGCTGGTCACGGAGGTCACGAGTCACGGGTCACGCGTGGTCACGACGAGGAGCGTAACGGAGGCTGGTCGGAACAGGCGGCCTGCTCGCGTGGGTGCGGCCCCACACTGTGGGACCTCACGCCCGGGGAGAGAGGAGCTTGACGCACCACTCCAGGTGCTCCCGGTGCCCTGCTTGGACCTTGCGACACAGACGCCCCTGGCGGCAACCCCCAATCGGTCCAAGCCCTGCCCTCAGCGTGCTTTGTGTCGCGTGACTGCAACAATGGCACCGAAATGGCCGAAAGGAGAGGCCGTCCCCCATTTGCATGGCTTCCGAGCAGTGCGACACTGTGCGCGGCAGGCTGCTTCCTCGGGGGCCTCCTCGCTCTGTCTCTCTCGCACGCCTGCGGGACGAGCATGAGTGCGAGAGAGACAGAGCGACGAAGCCTGAATGGAAGTTCGGCAGCGCGTATTGGCCGGCTTTGCCTTCGCGGGAAACAATGTTGACCCGACGGCAAAAAGCTGGACGGCGACTCGGCGGCTCGGCGACGACCCCAATAATCATGCCGGCTGTTTAGCGGCGAGGCGCTCCGAGGAGGCCGCAGTGGGAGACGGAGGCGACGGCGTTGTGAGTGAAAGTGCACGGCGCGGCGTGGTGCGGCGCGGCGTGGCGTGGATGTGGCGGGTGGGGCCAGTGGGGCCGGCCGGGCCCGCGTCGGCCCCGCCACTTCGCACACACCACGTGCTCCCCCTCCCCTCGGACCGGCCGGGACGGGCTGCCCCGTACGGCCGTGACGTCACGGTGACACAACGCACCACATATTGGCATGTCCTGCCTTCCACCGGTAAGCCTGCGCGTCCCGGCCCGGCACGCCAAGGCGCCGCCCCGCGCACGCCGCGCACGCGTCCACGACACGGACGCGGGGGCGCTGGCAGGCCTTGACTGGCCTCGGCGCGGCGGCAGGGGCGCCGCGTGCCACCGTGCAGGACGAGAAGGCCGCCGTCAAGGCGGTGAGACGCGTATCGCTCCGCGTGTGTGGACGGGGCCGCCGCCGCCGCCGCCCGACGGCCGCGGGATAGGCCACCATCCTACACCGGTGCGTTGCGGGCCGGGCTGGTGGCCTACCTGCCAGGCGCTCCAGCAAGCCGATTCCGAACCGATCAGTTGTGTCTCTCTCGCACCCGTGGGGCGTCCTGCACGCGCATGAAAGAGACGAAGCCCACTTCGGCATTAATCTTGCTGGGCGCTACGTGCGGCCTGGGCCTGCCGGGTCTGCCGGGCCGGCCTCTGAACTAAATCGCGCCTGGCCCATCGTCGTGAGTCCTTCACTACAGTTGCCAATCAATTGCGGCGAGGTCCTGCATGGAGGACTCCCTCCGCGGCCCGCCCCTGCAGACTGATTCCGGGAACCGTTTTCACCGCTGTCTCTCTCGCGCCTACACGGGGCGCTCCATGCGTGCGAGAGAGACAGAGCGACGAAAACGACTCTCGGAATGAGTGAGCCGCACGTCGGGTTGCGATGCACGCGGCGATGATGGGGCGGTGAGGCAAGGAGGTCCAGCGCTGCCCGGCGCTGCCGCTGCCCTCTCGCTGCCGCGCTCCACCGGGACATGCAGGGTGTCCGCGTTTTGCAACGGCGTCTCGCGTGGCGGTCTTGGACGCCTGATGCCTTGTAAGTGGACGCTGCCGCGACGCCGTCGACGCGGACGTGTTGTTGGCGGCGGGGTTCTTTCCTCGGCACTGTCCGGCAGGGTCGCCGATCAGTCCCAGTGCAGCAGCACACTGATTCTGAGAGTCGTTTTCGTCGCTCTGTCATACGGCACGCCCCATGAGTGCGAGAGAGACAATCAGTCTGTAGATGCCGTCCGGCGCGTCATCCCGGAACAAGGAACCAGCGACGCGTCGCGGAGGGTGAGTGCGAGCACCGCTACCTCGCACCTGCCGCCCTGCGACGACGCGAGGCGACGCCGCCAACGAGACGACAAGCTGTAGAGCAGTTTCTCGCTGCGGGAGTGTCAATTAAGAGTGAGACAAAGCGCTTCCTCACTTCGGCCGGCAGCGGGCACGCCGAGGGCAACGGCGGCAGTGCGGGAGAGTTTGTGGAGTGCGGCAATTGGGTCTCGGGTCACTTGAGGGGGGTTATTGACAACCATGGCCTTCTCACCAAAGTGTTACTTTTTCTCTGGCTAGCCTGACTCTGGCTTGCAGGCGGCCCCCCTTCGGCGCTATGCCGCTCAGAGAAATTAGGTTTTGTTTTTCAATGAGCCCCGCCGCCGATGGCCCGATGCCCCGGTGGCCCGGTGGGCGCGCGGGGTCGCGACGCGCCACTCATCCCTTTGACGGAAGGGACTTCCACGACCCGCGCCTTTGTGCGCCGATTTAGCGTCGCGTGCGTGCAGTGCTGGCACCATGCTGGCACCATGCTGGCACAGCACGGCGCGCTGTCAAGGCGCAGCAAGGCGCAGCACGGGCCGAGCCGAGAGCCAAAGCATGCAGGCATCCTTTCACTAGCATTCACCAGCGCCAGCCTCGGTCTGACGTCTGCGTTGTTCAACTCGACACATTGCCCCATTTGCGCACCGCCGTGCAGTGCATCGCATCACCGCCACGCGACCGCCCACCCCATCAGCCACCCCGACCGGGGAGGCGGTGCAGTGCCGAGGCATCGTCACTCTGTCGCAGTCGCACTCATGGAGCCAGATAGAGCGCCCCGCGGCGGTGCGAGAGAGATAGAGACTCTTCGGAGGGATTGCCATGCAGGCCTGCCGGGCAGGCATCCCTCGTCCGCGGCGCGTGGCGCGCGGCGTGGCACTTTCTTCCTCTGCAGGGCGTGGTGGGCCGTGGCACCGCGGTGGCACACTGCACGTCTACGTCCGCACGTCGCGGGGGCCGCCAGGGGCCGCCAGGCGGCGCGGCGTCGCACAGGCAAAGCCTCCAGCAAAGCCGCAGACGAAATTCGGGGACCACTCCGAGAGGGGCGGGGCGGGGCGGGGTGGGGCGGGGCGGGTGCGGCTTTCTTCGGTCTTCCTGCGACCGCGGATCTCCGCAGTTGTCTTTATCCATTATCCGCTGGTCTCCGTGCAGGCCGGTGTCCCGTCTGCACACGTCAGCAGAGGACACACCGCTCGCGGGCCTCCCTTCGTCTCCCTCGCTCGCCTCTACTGATGCCCCTTGAGTGCAAGGGAGACAGCGTCTGTTTGGAATCAGACTGCCGTCAGTTGTGAAAATGTGCTACCAAGTATTTAGTGCATGTCAGAGACAAGCCGTTTGGTTTGTTATTCTCCGTTGCGCTAGTTCGCAGATGACGAAGTATTTTCTTCGAAAGCTGCAGCGTATTCGCAAATTGCAAAAGTCCAGCACGACTTTGTTTGTTCGTGGGGGATGGAAAGTGGGCGCGTGAAGGGGCCTAGGGCCAGGGACGCTAATTTTGGCGAAGCGCGGGTCGAAATCGCAAGCGAATCGGGCATGGCTGTGCGGCACTGCGACGCCGCGGCGACGCTGACAGTGAGCCGCGAGCTTCTGACCCCAAACGGAACGACGACCTAGGCGGCGCGGCGCGGCACGACACGACTCCGCGACCCACAGTGACATCGCGCCCCTCCCCTCAGACCCCCGCGGCCCCGCCACGCATCTCCCGGGGGACGTCTCCATTCTGTCGAGGCACAGGAGAAAACTGTTGACAGTCGGAATAGAATTAGTCGAGGCAAAAGGGCGTGCCGGTCGCAGCGGGCGGCTCCGTGATTGGCCCTTTATCTCTTCGGCGGACCGCAGGCGTCGAACATTCAGCTTGAACATTGTTCCGAGCTGTGGCAGGCCAATGGCAGGCCGCCGCGCGTCGCAGGGCTCCTCGCCAGTGAAAGAACGCGCGGGGCGCCACGCTGCACAGTGGGCCAGAAGACCGGTGGAGACGGGCAAAACTCCAGACGCGCTTTGATCTCCAGAGTCACTAAATGGGACTCGAACCGAACGTGTGACCCCACCAATGGATTGCTCGTTCGGAGAGCAATCCATTGGTGGGGTCACACGTTCGGTTCGAGTCCCATTTAGCGACTCTGGAGCTCAAAACGCGTCCGGGATTTTGGCCGCCTCCACCGGCCTTCTGGCCCACTGTGCGCTAGTCCTGCAGTGCCGTCGTCGTTCTGTCCCTCTCGCACTCATGGGGCGTCCCTGGAGATGCGAGTGAGACAAGGCGACGGAGCGCGCTGTTCGGCATGAGCCTCCTGGACGCCCCACCGAGGCCGGCGCCCAGCCCACGTCGCCCTGGCGTCGCCTGCCCATGCCCTTGTTGCCCTTGTTGGCGGCCGTCGCCAACCACTTTCCTGCCATAAGGTATTGTCCGGCCGGCCGGCCGAATACCCGAATTCAATTTCGCTTTCACGCTTTCAGGCTCTCGGGCTTTGAGGGGCTTTGAGGCGCCGGTCGCACCGCGCAGCACCGCGCAGCACCGCGCAGCCCGCCCTCGGCTGCAGCCATCACACAAATCATCGCCAATCGCGGCGAGCAGACGCGACGCCAGCCGCCTCATTCCGCACTCGTCGCTCTGTCTCACTCGCACCTGCGCGGGACGCTCCACGAGTGCGAGAGAGACAGAGCGACGCGGGATAATCCTGGAAAGCTATCCACCCGCCAGCAACACGCATAACGCACGGGTCGCACACATGCAGCGTTCGTGAGTGAGCCGACCGCCGTGCCGCCTTGTAGGCCTTGTAGTGTCCCTGCCCCTCTTCGCTTTTTTGCCCTCGTTGGAGAAAGTGTCGGCCTTCCCTATTAGAGACATCGATCCATCCAACTCGCGATTGTTTTGTGAATGGCATGGGCGCCATCGGGGACACTCTCCCCACACATGCAAACCATTCTCGCACTTCAAACCTTTTTTTTTCCGTTTCGTTGTTGTTTTTTTTTTCAATGCCCGAAAGCTTTCTCGACGCGCACCTGTCGGTCCCCTTGTGCCGCCCAACGCTCGTTGAGTTGAGGCGAGCTTTTTTTTTATTCCTACCTTTTCCGGTGACATTTGACCGTGCATGCGAGAAAATACGAGGCAGACGCTGAGGTACCGTCACGTGTGCCGCCCCGCCCCACCCTGCCCCACCCAACCCCGCCACCGACTTGGCGACGGCGTCGCATACACTAACCAAAGCGATGCCGCGTTTCCTCGAAACGAAAGTGTTGTCCAAACATTCTGGCGACTCTTGCAACTCGCCTGCAGGCCGGTTCCCAGCAGCGCCTTGGTCGCTCTGTCTCCCTCGCACTCGTGGGGCGTCCCGCGTCCCGCGCGGGTGCGAGAGAGACAGAGGTCGCACATGCACTTGGTCCTTAGCAGCGGAACCGGAAGGAGGCCGTTGAAGCCAAGTGAGTGAACCCACGCGAATTCCGTTTCTCTTGCCGAGGCCGAAGCCGGGGCCGGAAGTTGCCGACAGAAATCCTTTGCGCCCCGTGTTTTGTGCCGAATCCAAACTTCCAAACTTTTGGAGATCACGCTTGGACCAGAAATGTTGTCGTTCGTTTTCAAACAAATCGAATGGGCTCGAGTCGGACATTTCAGGCAGAGTTATACTCAATACGATGACAGCACGAATCAAATTTATGGCTGAGGGGCGAAATGCCTCCGAAGCAATTGCGAGTCGAATGCCGATTCCGAGCGGCAGCCGGAAAAAACCATATCTTGAAACAAGAAAACACCTCTTGGAGGAAGGTAAAGCTACTAGGGATAAAGATAAGTTTCAAGAGACGGCTTTTCAGGGTGTTAGCCGGGGCGGCCGCCGAAGCCAGCAGCAGCTAAGTCATCACGGTGCTGCGGCATGCACGCTGCGTGCTGTGTGTTAAACAATCGAGGACATAACCGGGAGAAGAAACCGAGACTTGGCGTGCTCGGGACACGCGCGCGCCGCACGCTACGCGCGCCAGCCAAGCGCGCGGCGGGGCGAAATTAATGAAATTCTCGAGCAAAACGCTACGTCACTGCAGCGGCAACGAGCAGCCCGCGAGCAACGAGCGGCAGGGCCGACGCGGAAACAACCCTTCAGAAACCATCAAAAATCGCGATTTTCAAGTGCACCCTAAGCGTGTCTGTGCAATTCTGTTCGAAACGAGACATCGTGTGAAAAAAAGTGTCAAAATAGCGATTTTGGATGTCTACCTAGGAAAATGTTGATTAGATCGCGTGGGGCGAAGTGGAAAAATGGGGCAGGCGGGCGGGCGGTGCGGTGTGGATTATGGAGAACCGCTTCATTTGGCTCCGTTCCAGCTCCAGCGTCCAGGCCGTCCAGGCGTCCAGGCCGGCCGTGACGCAACACTCGTAACCGAACCGCCGCGCGGCCCCACTGGGCCCCACGCGCATGCTCACCGGTGCGGCCAGGTTCATGCACCTGGACGCCGGCTCCAGCGACGCCGGTCGCGAACCGAACCGGTTGTTGTGTTGTTGTTGATGGTGGGTGATGATGTTGTTGGGTCGTGTCACTGCCCCACTGAATCGGCGAGCGGGTGGCTCAGCCGAATCAAGATGCCGCGTGCAGTGTGCCACCGGCCTCAAGGGTGGACTGTGGCCAGCACACTCTCGAGAGTCGTTTTCGTCGCTCTGTCTTTCTCACACCTGTAGGGGATGCCCCATGAGTGAGAGAGAACGACAGAGCGACGAAAACGACTCTCAGAATCTGTCTGCTGTGCGCGGCCGCCTGTATGACGCACAGGCGCCCGGCGCGTCTCGTGCTCGGCCTGGGCCTGGGTGACGCAGGGTCGCGAGTGTCATTTACAGTATACGTGTATACACTGCTTTCGCTGGCTCGGCCCGCCCGGTCGGCGTGGCCCGACGGCCCGCGAACGCAAACCCGCTTGGGATTGCTCCCACACCACTGCTCCTCGTGTTGCAGGCCCTGCCCCTGGTGCTGGCCATGGCGCTGGTGCTGGCGGCGGCCGAGCCCCAGGTGCTCGTCCTGTCCAGCGACAAGATGCCCGTCATCACGCCGCTGCACCCCGTGACGCCGGCCAACGCCGCGCCGGTCAACGCCGCGCCCCCCGTGCTGCCGAACCTGCACGCCCTCCGCAGCCTGCAGGCCCTCCAGGCGCAGGCGCTGCGCAACCTGCACGGCATGCAGAACCTCCAGGCCCTCCAGAGCCTGCAGGGCGCCGTGGAGAGGGCCAAGCGCTCGGGCAACATCCTGCAGCTGCTGGGGGGCGCCAGCGGCAGCAGCGGCGGCGCCAGTGCCGGGGGCGGTGCGGGGGCGGCCCCTGGCGGCGGCCTTCTTGGCGGCGGTGGCCTTCTCGGCGGCGGCGCGGGCGGTGCCGGCGGCGGCGGGGGCATCCTGGCCTCCATCTTGTCCAGCTCCAGCAGCAACCCGGGCGCCGCGGGTGGGGTCGCCGTCAACGGCAAGGGGCCGTCGTATGGGAACTACATCGGCACGGGGGCAGGGCTGCCAATGGTGAGTTAGAAATGCTTGAACAGCACCCGGATTACTTTCAACTGGCCGCCGGTCTCTGACCTGCCTCCCTCCGCCCCCTTCCAGGTCTACGGCCAGAGGAGCTTCGACCTGCAGTCCTTCAAGCGGTCCCTGATGGGCGTGCTGATGCAGGCGGTGCGCGCCATCACCGGCGGGGTCATCGCCCTCAAGGGCCAGCTGGTGCGGGTCAAAGGTCAGCTCATCTCCGCCAAGGGTAACATCATCTCTGCATCCGGGGAGGCGCTTAGCCAGTTCGGCCGCAACATCGCTTCCAACGCGCTCAGCCCAAAGCCGCCAGAGCCGCCAGGTCAGAGTCAGCTCAACGCCGCCAGCGGCACCAGCACACCAGCCAGTGGGCTGCCTGTCGGCGGACGCGTCCGCTAGAGACAGCAGGGCGATTCCGCACAGTGCGGCCGTCGTTCTATCTCTCTCGCACTCATGGGACGTCCTGTACAGGTGCGAGAGAGACAGCGACGGCCACACTGCGCGGAATCATCCTGCAGGTGAGACAGGCAGCCCACCCGCACGTCGTGTGCCTATCTGTTCACCAAAATTGACGACCACTGGTGAAAATTTTAACTGTATGTAACACCTCTAATTTTCAACCACTTATGAAAATGTTACCTGTATGTAACACCTCTGATTTTCGTTCCGAAGCACCGGAAGCACCCCTTCCTGTCTAGCCAAGCTAGACCTGCGCCAAGGGTCTAGGTCGGTCTAGGCCGTCTAGGCCTAGCCGCACCCCGATGAGTCACAGACCGGAGCGCAGCGAAGCCGCTCTGGGTATAAGCCGCTCCGGCGGCGAAACAACGATAATTTCTGAATTAAACATGTAGTGGCGCGGATTGCATGCCGCCTGTTTGAATGGCCTCGCCTCGAAGTGCAGCAGCTGAGCCACGCCACGCCACGCCCGGCTTAGCGAGGAAATGCATGGCGTCCTGTACAATATTCGAGCTATGCAATCACGTGCTGTGCAGGAGCCAGCCAGTCCGGAATGATAACCGCGAGCGATAACGCAGAGAGTGAGAGTGCTTATGGTGTTGTGGCACACGCAAATGGGATCGAGTTCCTCGCACCTCTTCTGGAGAGAAATTGTATTCTGCTGTGTAAATATTATCCTCTCTAAAACGAGTGCTGCCTGTTGCATGAGAGGCAGGAAGTAGTGCAAAAAGTGCGCGCTAGATAAGCTTGCCGCTCATTGGCCCTCGCGGACGCGCGAGCGAATGCGCCATCATGCGTGTCTGCCTGCGTGTCGTCGGCGACGTAACGCGAGGCCTCCTGCCTGGAGCACTCCGTGGAGACGGCCAGCCGCGGCCAGCAGGGAGAGCCCATGACAAAAACTCCAACTTGAGTAGCCATCTTTCTTGAAGGCCTTCACGTGTCATAACGCTCCTCGTTTACGACTTTTCTGTATGGAACCGTAAAGTGAAACGTTGGAATTTTTGTTAGGTTGGCAATCCCTGTCCGCGCACACAGCTTCTTGAGGACGTGTAAGGTGCACCCCCTCATCAGCCCCTCTGGTTGCAGCCCCTCCGAGGCCCGTGTACGGCCCGCCCGGCTACATGAGCATGCTGCCCCGGCCCGTGTACGGCCCCCCGATGTACGCCCCCCACGGCTCGCTGGGCCACCTCGGCACGCCGCTCGGCGCCATGGCCACCCTGGGGCAGCTGCCGCTGCCGCGCCCCATGTACGGGGTGCCCCCGGGCGTGGCGCCGCCCCACCCGCCCGTCTTCAACATCTACAGCAACGCCATCAACCAGGACCTGCCGCGGTACCAGGGGGTCGCGCCGCCCCCAGCACCGCCCCCACCGCCGCCGCCGAGGGTGCAGATCCAGCCCTCCATCGAGGCTTACAGCAGCCACAGCGTCAGCGGAGGCCTCGACAGCTACGGCCCCCCGGCCTCCGGCTCGCCGTTCTCGTTCTCCGGGGGGTCCTTCTCCGCAGGGGCGCCCTTCTCCCCCGGGAACGCGTACTCCAGCGCCAGCACCCAGGCGCAGACCAGCGTCCCCGCGCCGTCCAGCGGGGCACCTAATCCCCAGTCCAAGCCATCGCAGCCCTCGAGCGGCTACGACGACTACGGCCCTCCCCCTCCCCCCGCGCCATCGCCCCCCGCCAGCCCCGGGACGTTCGACTTGAACAGCCTCAACTCGGCAGAGCAGAGCGCGTCGTTCGGAGCGCCGGAGTCTGGCCAGCAGCCGGACAGCTACTTCAAGAGGAACGCCAACCAGAACCAGATCCAGAACCAGGAGCAGGGGCGCGACGCCGCCAACGCCGGCACGCCTCGAAACGCACGTGAGTAAGCAAGGGAGTTCCTGCCTAGGTCGGGAACAGAGTGCAACCTCTCCCCTGTGTGTGCAGCGCATGCGGGAATGCGGGGCGGACTTCAGGGAAAATCCTCTGTATTTGCGCTGAGGCACAAGAGAAGGCCAACACGGCCAACACCTCAAAAATACTAGTTTCTCCTCCTTGTGTCGGATGGGTAGCCTATCCAGCCGGCGGCTTTGTTCGCACTGACGGACACCTGGGAGGTAGGCATCCCATTTGACACCTCAGCTTTTACTAAACATGAACCATCATACATTTTTCAGGGCAACTACAGTGACAGGAGGCCTCAACAGGACTTTAGTGTTTGTTGGGACTTTCATAAATCCCGAACCAACTCTCTCCAGCACTATGATTTATGCCAAGAGAATTTGATGAAAATTTTTCACATTAATTAAGACCATTCATAAAGAAAATTTCTTGTGTTCAATAATTTGAGATTCTTTTAGTATCTTAAAGTTCTTCCTCCTAAAGCGTGTTTCTGAGTTCATCAATTCTAACCAGTCTGTGTGTTTTGTTTTTATTTAGTTCAAGGAGCACATGCTGGATTGCTCCTATTGAAGCCGGCACAAAATGTTGCACCTTCATCGAATCAAGATGAGTCTGCAAAGGGCTCTCTCTCCGAATCACAAAATCAGCAACTCAAGGAACCTCAAGCCCCATACTTTGACTTGTCACAAGCCCTTGGAATTGGTCCAGGCTATGCAGCACCACCAGAATATGGAGCCAGATTAGGAGACAGCAGTGACACTAACAGTGACACCAATAATAAAAATGAGAGAACTTTCTCATTACTGTTTGGCTCAAAAAAGCCAGCCCCACTTCGTCCTCATCCTGTTACAAAAGCCTTACCTCCACAGGTATTCCAAAATCAAAACAAGTGGCTTTTAAAAGTTTGTAAATGAACCATTACTTTTACTGTGATTTTGACCTATTGCAGGTTGTTGCAGCAGCTTCAGCAAAACTAGCAGCACAACTCGACTTAGCAGGACGTGCCCCACCTCGGACGGCTGTAGCTGTCTCTGGCCCACAAGGGCAGTTCATAATGTATCACTAGCAGTCATACAGAACTTTAATTTAATTAGGAAGATTATAATTGAAAGAACTTTAGAATAGTTCTTATGTGATCAAATTTGAGACTCATCCCATGAGGAATATTTATTTGAACAGAGATGTTTCCTTGTAAAATATGCTGATACCAAGTGCTATCGAGTTACATTCCATAGAATGTACAGAGCTGACTGTCAAGTAATGGTACTAACTTGTCATGAAAGCAGTTGATCGGACTACAAAAAGAAGCAAAAGTAGCACAGGGGAACAGGCTGTCATCTGATAATTGTTTAGGCTGAAGCCTGGAGGCAGTAATGAGGAGTCTACACAGACTCATATTTATGTGTCGTACACCCATGATGTAAATAAGAAAAAGAGGATCAAAAGCCTGTTAATGTAAATACGTGCAGATATTTCCAATAAAATTTACAAACACAGAATGTATTGTTATTGACCACCAAATTCAATGGTTGACTATAAATTGTTATAAGGGAATAAGTAAATAACAAAGTAGAGATTTAGTTTATACAAATACTTCTTTATTCCTGACTCACATCAATATTCAAAGTTTGCAATTTCTTGAAGGTGGGAACAGGAACCCAGGTGACGAGGGTGTAAAGCTTGTTGGGAGAGTCCTCATCCTCGTTTCTCCTCCGGGCAAGACGAACTCGGATTCTGAAGGGAACGTTCCTAAAGAGAAAAAAAAAAAAAAAAAAAAAACCATTAGTGACACAGAAATACAACACAATTCTCCCATAAAGGAGAATCAGATGCAAGAATCCATTAAAAGTGGCTAGCTAAAATTAATCCCACAAAAGACAAATCATAATTTTAAAAAATTTAATTTGTTTTTTGGGATAACATATACAAACAAAAGATTGATCTCATCCATAATCACTGGATTTTCTATAGCAACAACCAATCCTTTAAAGAATTTTTGAACGAAAGCACCATGAAAAGACTTGTCAAGCTGACACATTTTGTGGGTATAAAATGTAAGTTTCTTCCGGTATTAAAGAAAGACTGACAGGTGGTAAGTTTCCAAATAGATTTTCTACCCCAATTTCAGATCTGAAGATGCAGAGCCTTGAGCCACTGCTGAAGGGAAGAACTAAATTGGCAAAATGATGATTTGATAGTAAAAGGATGGGCAATAAGGAGAACACATTCAGTGCAGCATGATTCCAATTCAGTTTGAATTCCAAACCATGCAGCCAGAAAAGTGAGGGATGCTGTGAGTTTATGAAAGTGAAGCATAGGGTCAGAATACATCAAGCAGAGCCAGTCTTGCACTTTAGGAAACCCTCTTGGGTGCAAATTTATGCCATCTAGTTATTTCCAAACACAAGGAACTCCAGTCATCAGGAGACGAAATTGATAACAAATTTACGGAGTGGATATGAAAGAATGCATCTAATTGAAATAACATAAGTAGAGAAAGAAAACAATGACAAAAAATTGCCATTGCAATAACCAAAATCAATCGGCAATAAAGTTAGTGGTAACTAACTGTCAATGAGCACAGTCCGAGAGACACTTCACACAAGGCATTAACTCGCAGTCATGACAGTTCAGCATACATGACGGAAGAGAAGCAAGTAACCGCACACATTTGCGGTTGGTTCAATGGAGGTGACAGGAGGCGATACTTACTTGATACCCCTGGACCAGAGCTGCTTGTTCAAGTGGGTGTCCACCCTCACGTCCTCGGTGCCCATCTCCTTGGCGGCGAACTTGCGGATCTCCTTGATGGCGCGGGGAGCGCGCCTCTTGGCTCCGACTCCATAGAGCCTCTTGTGGAGGTTGATGGAGTACTCGCGGGTCACCACCTCGTTGATAGCGGACTTCTTCTCCCTCTTCTGCTTGACCATTGTGAACTGCAGACAAAGAACGCATCCGTTAGCAACTGGCAAGAAGTCGAGTGTCACCTAACCTGTCTGGGCAAGGAGGCACTGCACAGTGCAGCGAAAACCCATCCGGCGAACCAAAAGAAAGGAGGCAAGTACAGCACAGCAAGTTGCGCCGGCTTTTTAGGGGCAACCGAAAGACAGATCTCGCAGCGGGGCGCGAACGGGACACTAGCCGAGAGGAATACACCGAAACCAACTAGGAAACAGGCCAAGCTTCAGAAACGAGAATCAGCCGAGGTAAACATAACCTTATAGTTTGGTTGCCGGACAGCGGGCTAACGAAAATTTGGACTGGTAACGTACGAATGTTAAAAATGTATTTAAGAAAGATAAAAATTCGTTGCAAGTATGAGTCTTTTAAGCAGTGGGTAGGTTATGATGCATAAACGTAATCCAACAACATAGTGTCCCACGTTGAACACAGAGATCTACACACGTACTTGGAATGAAAGTCCCAGAAAATATTGAGAGCAGTGGTTACTTTGCTCGAACGTGTGTACGTACAAATAAGTAAAATGATCGGAAAAGTGCCAAATTGGAACAAAATACAAGGGATTGAATCGGATAAAATTAGGAGAGTTCTTACCCGGTTTGCACCACCACGGTGTCCTGGCCGAAAGAAACACAAAATGGACGCTGTTTCCGTATCCGCAACAAGCCAACGAGGCAGCTATGAGAAATTTTCTGATCACATCTCTCGCTTGGCTGTCGTCTGCTAGTCTCGCGTAGATTCTTTAAAACTCACCGACCGCATGTTGAGGCGGCCACATAAGTTTTGAAATCTTTATTTTAAACTCAAATCATTATTTTTGTTTTGTTTTCAGCTTGCCCTGGCGTTTGGTGTTCGTGCTTTCGGTGCCAATGATTTCTGTACAGTAGCGCAAACCGATTTGTTTTGTTTTCCGAGTTTCTTAAAATAGCTAGTCATCAGTGAAAAATACGGTTGGTAATTTTATGGCACTTTAACTTTATTATTTTGACGCACTTAATCGCGTTCCATCTGCGTGCATTTTATTTTTCTTGTACATTTTCGTTAAGGAGCTGCGACCATTTGCCGCCAGATGGCGCGGCGAGCGTCCGCTAGCCGCAGACTCGCTTCGCGCGCTTTTGTATCGTATTTCAAACGCTGAAACAGTCGACACTGGTGTCATGCAATGTAAAGCGCAAACAAGGTGGAATAGTTCGGCGGCTCGAGAAAACTCGAAACGAGAGTAGGAAAGGAATAATTATTTCGTCCAAACACTGGCGTCGCCGTGCTTTTAAACGAGTTGATCTTGACTCATTAATATTGCTATTGACCCAGAGGGCCAGAGGCCGTGCGGAAACACGCGAATTTTTCAGGGCAGCTTTTTCGTTTAACCAATAAATAAATACACCCGACGGACCAAAAATGGTGAAGAAAAAAAGCAAATCGTAATATTTTCTCCCGAATTTCTTGATAATTTTGAGCAAAAAAAAAAAAACGTAATTGGCAGAGGGCAAATGGAAAATTGACGCGATTCCTCCGTTTTCACGTGGCGCAGATGAGCGAGGAGCCAGGAGAGCCGTGAACGCCTGGAGCGGGAGAGGCCTGCAAGGTGCCTGCTCGTCGCGGGGAGGGGGTTTCGCCTTTTGTGTACAGTGCGTTGGACTCTGTGCATGACATCAGTTCAGTCTCCCTCCAGACCGCGGAGGAAGCGTGGCGCGAGGGGGTAAACACTTCACGAAATCGTGTACAGACTACTCGGTATTACGCTGTATTACGGGTGTATTACACGTGTATTACGGCCCTAGAATGCCAACATTTGGCACATTTGACCCAAAAATGGTATAACGATCACGTGTATTACGCGTAATACACGGTTTTTGTGTACAGGGTATTACGCGAGTGGTTACCCCCTCGGCGTGGCGTGTGAGGCGGACGCGGCCGCCGGACTGAACACTCACAACATTGTGATTCCACCGCCAAGTTACTGAATGCAGTGTAGTGTTTTGCTGCAGTGCTTTGCGTGCGGTGATCGGACGACCGGTACCTGACAAGACCAGCACACACCTGGAAAAAAGGGTCCAAATTGCTCCGTGACCGACGAGCAGGCGTGGCAGAGACTGGCGGGAAAGGTAAGCGACATGAAAGCTGATGAAAGCCAAGATAACCAGCGCCCGCCAGGTAGGCCACCCACCCGCCCTGCAACGATGTTGTGCGGAGGTGGGCGGCGCGCGGCGTTGGCCTTCCCGTGATGGGCATTCACATTGAAGTCATAATAAGCATTCGGGGGAAAGAAGAACAATCGAGGTGTGCTATTTAACTCGTTTATTTACTGAACTTGAGTTGAGCGAGTTGAAGTATAAGAACTTGAAGTTGAGTAGTGAGACTCACATCCCGCAGAGTAAAACATCAAGATGAGAAATATGGCTAATAAGCTGTCAGTGTAGGTCCGTCGGGGGGAGTGCCAATGGGCCTGCTGTTGCTCTCGCTGTTGCTAGTGCCGCAGCCAGAGCACGGCGGCCAGCACGGCGGCCAGCAGGCGCAGGTTGGGCAGGGCCAGGGCGCTGCTGGAGGGCCGGCCGGGGGCGTCCGAGTCGCGGGGGAAGGTGAGCTTGGGGACACGCCGCGTCTCGCCGATGTGCTGGAAGAACCAGGCCGAGTCCTTGAGCGAGCGGTTCAGCGTGCCGTTCTCGTAGTCCACGTGCACCAGGCCGAAGCGGCGCCTGCAACACAGCCTGGGGTGAGCTGGGCACAGGCGGGGTAAGAAAGCTTTACAGTACAAGAATCTAAAAAGTGCTCTGATTTGCATCAAAAAGAAAAATTCTGGGTCCAAAGCTTGAAGGGCAGGCACTCGAGAAGGGCCGAGAGTTCGAGAGCCGAACATTCAGCCACTCCTGGCCACTTGAGACAAAAGAAATGCAAGTCATATCCCTCCCAGGCGTATTCACACGTTATGCGTGACGATGACAAGGACTGTGTAATAAGGCGTGAAAATGCGTAATAGTACTGATGTGCAGTTCTAAGGTAATAACAAAAGGTAATAACTAATTAGCCGTAAACACAAATGAAACCTGTGGAGTATCCCTCTCGGCCTCATCAACATGTCGTGTTTTGTAAGGTTTAGAAAAAGAACGGTTTTGCCCCTCCCCTCAAAGTGAGTTTGACACCATAAAAATCATTCTATAATAACCCTCTTATCGAAAGATCCAATTCTGCCATCACCATGATGTGATTTACAACCCCGTGATGAAATTTAGGCAACCCCGTGCCTCATCACTTCATACCTTCAGTGTGAAAAGTTTCACAAGCGCATCTTAGTTTTCAGAAAAAATCAATCTAAGATAGAACGAACGGTATCAGTAAAGCCTGGGTGTAATCTCAGCGCAAAAAAGGCTCTCGAGGGCTTGCTTGATGGAGTGGACGATAGCTTCATGACGTTATGGGTTATTTTTACCGCGACAAACACTGGAAATACAACTTTAGGCACAAATGTCGCACGGATGAATAGATTCGTTGATCCAATGAAGATTTTCAGTGATTTGAGGAATAGCAAGAGACTTGTTTCATAAAGCTATCATCTGATGTTTCCACATTTATTTTTCTGCCACCACGTAGGACATTGTTTGATGGTCAAAAGAGTGCGAGTAATGAAAATCATCTTTACGCTGATGCACTGGAAAAGCTGCTGCGCGGCTGGGACAACGTGCACCGCGCGCGGAACGGCAGCAGTTGGGAGGCCTGCTTGGGCCTGCCTGGCGCAAAGGCCCAACGGCCCAAACCACAGACAGACGTGGAATTGGCAGTCTGGATATAGCCTTCCGGGCCCGGCGCCGTCCTGAAAGGCCCATGTGTGTACACTGTACACTGCCATGCGCGCCTGCAGGCCACGGCAGGCCGGCCAGCAGAGGGCGCTGCTTTTTCGCTTGGAGCTTTGGAGCCTGCTCCGACCCGTTTCGCCGTTTGTTTCGCAGAGTGGCAGAGTGGACCGCTGTCGGCGCGGCGCTGTGCTGCGCTGTGCAAACACTCGCGGCCGCGTCCGCCGCGTCCGCCGCGCGCCGTGTTGACTCCGCGGGCTCATTCCCCACAGCGCCTCGTCGCTCTGTCTCTCTCGCGCCCCTGCGGGACGGCCCATGAGTGCGAGCGAGACGGAGCGGCGAAAGCCCTGTCCGGAACCAGCCCACTGGTGGCGGCCGGGTCGCAGGCTCTCGGCGCACGGCCCCGCCACAGCCGCCACGGCCACTGCAGGCGCGAGGATGCCCGCGTCATGGGACTCCGGCTGGTGTGGCTGCTGGCGGCGGGGGCGGCCTTGGGGGCGGCCTTCGGGGCGGCGGCCACCACCACCACCCCGGCGCCCATCGTCGTGGACCCGGCCACGGGCTGCTCCTGCACACTGCACGAGCCCTCCGTCCTCATTTGCTTCGACATGCTGGCCTGCGCTCGCTTCCCCGCCAACGTGACGGTAAGTCCAACAGCTGGCCTCCAGCGCGGCGTCGAACTGCCGCCGCTAAACCAAAACGCACTCGTGCTCCAGGTACCGTCGACCCGGGGCGTCGCCGGCCAAGACACGGCCACCATGTACGTGAGGGGCACGCGCATCGCGGTGCTGGCCGTGGGTGACCTGGCGGGCCTGACGCACCTCACGGAGATGGGCTTCGACAACAGCAAGGCCCTGACGCTGGTGGAGCCGCGCGCCTTCCAGGACATGCGCCACCTCGTCAACCTGAGCATGTCGTTCAACCCGAGGCTCACGCACCTCGACGCCGACGCGCTGCTGGGGCTGGTGGCCCTCCGCGAGCTCGTCCTGGTCCGCAACGGCTTTGTGACCCTGTCCGCCGACGTGACCCCCTCGCTGCGGCCCGCCGTGCTGCCCCAGCTGCGCGTCCTCGTCCTCGACCAGAACGTCCTCGGCGAGGTGGCGGCCGACGCCTTCCTGCCCATGGACGGCGCGCCGCTGCAGCAGCTGAGTCTGACTCGCTGCGACGTGGCCACCGTGCACCGGGGCTGGCTGGCGCCGCTGCGGCAGCTGGCCGTGCTGCGGCTGGCCGACAACGCGCTGAGCCTGGCCGCGCTGGCCGACAGCCTGGACCTCCTGCCCCGCGGTGGCCAGCGCGTGGCGCTGCGCACGCTGGACCTGGGCGCCGTCGGGATCAACATCGGGCTGCACGGCGTGGCGCTGCCGGCCTCGGCCTTCACCTCCACGACGGACTTGGGCGCGGCGTCCACCGTAGATCACGTGTCCGAGGCCCCCACCGTTGAGTCCAAGGCACGCCCTGACGCTCACATGGAGCTGCTCCGAGCCATCGCCAGGTACCTGTCCAGCGGCTGTCTGCGTCACCGCCACCGCGTGCCTCTCTCTGACATTGTGACACACTGCACCGACACTGTTTCTCGGCCCGCAGGTCAAGGGTGGAGGAATTGGTCCTTCGGCAAAACAGGGTGGAGCGCCTCTGGCCGTCGCTGTTCCCCAGGATGCCGCGCCTGCGGCGACTCGACCTGAGCCGCGTCGAGCTGTCCGAGGGGCTGCCCGGGGCGCTGGACGCCCACGTACTGCCCTCGCTGCAGGCCCTGGACCTGAGCTTCAACCGGCTGCGGGCGCTGCGTCCCGGCTTCGTCTCGGACGAACTGCTGTCCCTGGACCTGGGCAACAGCCTGGCCACGTACTTCGACGTGGGCGACAGCTCCTTCCGCGGCCTGCACCGGCTGCGCGAGCTGCGCCTGTCGTACAGCCGCGTGGTGCGCCTCACCAACGCCACCTTCGTGGGCCTGGACAGCCTCGAGGTGGGTCGCCTCGCCAGTCAAAGTTGAGTTTGCGCGTTCTGGACTTTAAGCCGATAAGCCTTTTCTCTCCGCCCCGTTCCGCCCCCAGGTGCTGGAGCTGCGCAACGCCACCATCTTCCAGCTGGACGACGGCGTGTTCGCGACGCTGCCGCGCCTGCAGCGCCTGGACCTGCACCGCAACGAGTTCCCCAAGCACGCCCTGCTGCGCGCCGACATGTTCCTGGGCCTCGGCCGCCTGCGCGTGCTGCTGCTGGGTGCCTCTGGTGAGCTGCCGCGGCTGCCGCATTGTCATTCAAACGAATGCGACATGATACTCGTCAGAACGTGAATTTTGTCACGTTCTTTTGAATGTGACGTCACATTCACCCGTCAGGTGCTTCGCCGCCCTGTCCCTCTGACACTGTGAGTGCGAGAGAGACAGGGCGGCGTTTCTCCGGGATGAGCCTGCTGTGCTTTGACGGCCGATGGCGGCCGATGGCGGCCGATGGCCTCGGAGCGGGGGAGTGACGGTGCTGTCGCTGCAGGGGTGCGCAGCCTGGGCACGGACGTGTTCCGCCACCTGCCGGCGCTGGAGGAGCTCGAGCTGCAGGACAACGCCCTGACGACGCTGGACGGGTGCGCGGCCTTCCGCCCGCTGCGCGCCCTGCGCCTCCTCGACGTGTCGCACAACCGTTTCGGCTCGTGGCAGAGCGCGCGCCTGTTCGACCGCAACGAGGCCCTGCGCGAGGTGCGGGCGGCGGGCAACACGCTCACCTACCTCAGCGAGGCCATGCTGCGGGACCTGGGCGGGCTGCGCGTCGTGGACCTGGCCGACAACACCTTCCACTGCGGCTGCGACCTGTTCCGGCCGGCCAGCGCGCTGCTCGACAAGGACAACGGCCTGCTCGAGGTAAGAGCGTCGGACCGCGCAGCACGGCGCCGCGCGCGTCCTTCAACATCAAACAGTCTGCTCTCCTGATCCCCTAGTACAAGTGCCTGTCGCCGGACCGGTGGCGCGGACGCAGCCTGGGCGAGTACGTGCGCTGGGCGGCCGACAGCGGCGACTGCACGCTGACCTCCGCCGCCACGAAGGCGCCGGCGACGCTGCTCGTGGTGCTGCTGCCCGTGATGCTGGTGCTGCTGCTGGCGCTGGCCGTCGTCGCCACGATGGCCTACCGCCATCGGCACCAGCTTCGCCTGCACTGGGACGCGGCCAGGCGGAGGAAGGCCGCGGACGGCGTGGGCAACTACCAGTACGACGCCTTCGTGTCGTACAGCAGCGAGGACCAGGTACTGTACCGTGACGCCCCCCTTGCCGCAGGGCCTACAGTTGGCCAGAAGCGGCCAGAAGACTGGTGGAGGCAGCCAAAACTATTGACGCGTTTCGAGCTCCAGAGTCGCTAAAAAGAACTAGAACTGAGCGTGTGACCTCACTAATGGATTCCTCGTTCGGAGAGCAACCCATAGGTGGGGCGAGGGGGGAACAGCTTCCCACATTCATTGTACAAAATTTGACCACATTCCCACATTCAGGTGGGGAAAACGCCTGTAAGTAGGCAACATGTGTGACAAAAACGCCAGAAATCTTGCACATTCTTGCACATTCACACAATCATTGTACACAAAATTTTACAGTGGGTCACCCCTCGAGGTGGGGTCACACGGTCGGTTCGTGTCCCATTTAGCGACTCTGGAGCTCAAAACGCGTCTAGAATTTTTGCCGCTTCCACCGGTCGTCTGGCACACTGTGGGGCGGCCAACGGGGTACTGACGGTTTCTTCCTGCAGGTGTTCGTGCACAAGCTGGTGGCCGAGCTGGAGGGCGGCGAGCCCCGCCTGCGGCTGTGCGTGTACGAGCGCGACTTCGCGGTGGGCGCGGCCATCACGGAGGAGGTGCTGCAGGCCGTGGCGCAGAGCAGGCGCGTGCTGCTGGTGGTGAGCCAGGCCTTCGCGCGCTCGCACTGGTGCGCCTGGGAGACGCACATCGCGCACCACCAGCGCCTGCACTGCGGCCGCGAGGACGCTCTGCTCGTGGTGCGCCTGGGCGCCGTGGACGAGGCCCTGCTCACGCCCACGCTGCGCTACCTCCTGCAGACCCGCATCTACCTGGAGTGGCGGCACGGCGACGACCGGGACGACCGGACGCACCAGGCCTTCTGGAGGAAGCTGCGCGCCGCCCTGGCGCCCTCGCCGTCGCGCAGTGCTGCCGGTGCCGCGGTCACGTGACCGGCGCACTCGCTCCGCACTTACCACCTGTCTCTCTCACACTCAGAGCGCGCCCCGAATAGGTGCGAGAGAGAGACGGCGACGAAACGCTGAGTGAGGAATCCAGTCGGCAGCGTGCTAATTGGCGGGACAAAGCTCGGACTGAGTGAGTCGTGGTGCCGAACAGGAAAGAGCGACGAACAGACACATTCGATAACAACGATTTAATTTAAATATATTATTATATACATTAGATACACGTCATTTTTATCACTCACATCTTCATTATATGTAAATTGTTCATAATTAAATACTCTGTGATTTATAATACTCTGATTTGACTGACAAAACAATAACAATTATAACATTCTCAATAACGATTTTCTTTGGCATTTAGGACACTTTAGTGAGATGTTTCCCAACACCTCACCTCACGCTTACTTAACTATTATTGAGCTACGAATGCCATTCTCGGCACACATCACATCACTTTCCTTCTCGGAATATAACTGCGATCCCCGCGGCCCCGCAGTCATGAATAAATCGTCATCAGGATCATCTGAAATGTGAGGGACGAACGTGTTAAAAATCACAGCCGTGTCGAAATTTCAAGTGCAAGCATGCAGCGAACAAATGCGAACCTCTTCAAGTGACAGCGGGTTTCCCTTCATTTTCGTGTCCAGACTGTGGTACCTCTCTGTAACCAAAAAGAAGCGTTGCAATGTCACCTCTAGATACACGGACTGTCAGACAGTCAGGCAGGCAGACAGGCAGGCAGGCAGGCAGTCCAAATCCACTCGACGGCCTGGCCGCTGCTGGCGGCAGATGGGTTGCCTGCCTGCGGGCTGCAGGCGGTGCCAGGGATTGTCTAGCTGGTCTTAGTCTACCGTCCACACTGTGAAACCAAGTGAGGAGAACTCCACACTAGAAATGCGGAGGTGTGGACTTCGCAGTCTTTGGAAGTGCACAGTTAGTTTTCAGTGCTTTGACAGAGTGTACTGACCGTGGGCGAGGTGCAGGCGGACCATGGCCATGACGAAGCCCTCGGCGCTGATGAGCTGCCTGCGGGCGAACCTCAGAACGAGGCACTCCAGCACCTTGTTGGAGACGGTGGAGCCCGCCTCCCACAGCAGCGGCCTGAGGTTGTACGACGAGGTGCGGGTGCTGTGCTGCTCGAACTTCTGGAACGCCAGCTGGCAGCGGAGCAGGCACAAGAATGAGATTCTTCATTCCGAAAAAAGGGACAAATTCAACTTCATCTTCTCTAGGGGTGTGCTTACTTTCCAGAAGTGGAGCATGTGCATGAGCACCGGGATGTCGCCGAGACTGATCCTGCCGCTGATGTTGTAGTCCCTCAGCATGATGAGGCTCTTGCACAGCTCCAGGCTGGGCTTCTCGGCGAGGTACGCTGCAACGGCAACACGTCAATGCCACACCTCGTGCTGCACGAAAGGAAAGGGCTCACCACGCGAACTCACCTCTCCAGTGTGACTTGAGTATTTTCTGCAGCAGCGCGACGTCCACTTCAGGCGGGTATTTGACTAGAAGTTTTCCAATGAGCGACCGCCCGTCCGGCTGCAACAGAAGGACTGGTAAGTCTCACCGCAGGCTGACTCAGCCGCTGAGCGCGCATCTACTCCCCACATCACTCACCAGCAAGATGGGCTCCTCTAAAAACTCGGCGGAAATGTTCCGAAAGACCATGTTGTCCTCGTTCACCTCCCTGACAACAGAGTAAAATGAGGCATGTTGAAACCGATTTGCAGCGAGTTACCACCCATGCAGGCACCGCCCCATAGATGCGCTGTGATTCCTTTCCAAGTTTAAGGTGCTCACCAGATGTTGGAGTGCTCGTCCGTGAGCATGCGCAGGAGGAACTTGCCCTCCTGGCCGGGCCGATCCGTCTGGGGCACCACGATGTAGTCCCCGGGCGGCAGCGTGAAGAACGTGGCCACCTCCCGGGCCACCGAGTGGTTCGTCACGTCCAACGGCCGCTGGAACAATTTTGCTTTAAATGTCGGCCTCTGTTTGAAGCTTCGATTCCACTCACCGCGGCAAGGCCTACCTGCTCCATGACGAACTGCGGGCTGAGCCTCGTCATGGCGTGCGGCACCTCGTACACGGCGAAGCCGATGGCGAACAGGCGCTTCTTCTTCTTGGTCTCGGGGGCGGCGGGCGTGGGCTCGTAGAACTGCGTCACCGACACCACCACGTGGCACTTGTTGGAGGCGGAGCGCGGGATCTGGATGTGGAACTGGGGGTTCATGGCGGTGGTGTCGGTGTAGGCGGGGCCGCCGCCCGCGTTGTAGCCGGCGCGCCACCGCCGCCTGGCCAGCACGGCGCGCCAGGGCTGCTTCGAGTGCAGCGCCGGCTCGCTCATCCAGTCGTCGGGGCCCACGTGCACCAGGTCCAGGTGCGTGAAGTGGCGCGCGAAGTCGTCGAAGGACATCCTGCAAGCACGGCCAAGCCAGGTTAGTACACTGGGGAGGGCAGCGTCAACATCAGAGCCCTGTCACTCCCGCCAAGAGGAGCCTGGCCGAAACGCCTGCGGAACGCAGCGTAGGCAACCCATCGCACGGCACCGCGCTGCGGTTGGCCTAGCGGTCGGTTCGCGGGCGGCGCAGAGCGAGGCGAGCAGGTCCGTCCGCGTGGCCGTGTCACACTGTCGCCGTCGCTGCGCCACCAAGCGCCAAATAACACCGCTCTCCTAATTGCGCGCGGAACGACACGAAGATGAAATAGTCTTTTTTGCGACGGCGGTGCCGGAACGGTGGGAACTGTGGACGGGAAGCGCGGCCATTACCGACCAAGACAACAACGTGCCATGCAGACGCGGCGCGCACGGGGCCTTTATCATTCGCAGTGCAGGCGACCCGACCCGCAGAGCGATTGCGCAAAGTGTCACTGGTCTGTCTCTCTCGCTCTCGTGGTTCGTCCCGTGGCGGCAGCTGAGGGCCGAGCGACGAAACGTCGTTCCGAATCAGCCGTCTCTTGCCCGGCGTGCCTCTGTGCGTGCGGACCGTGCGGACAGCCTCCCGGCCCAGCGTGCCCATGCCGGCCGTCCTAAGCAGACCGTCACGACTGGGGGAGGCGAGAGGAACCGGGTGAGGGGGACTTCCGTGGACTTCCTTATGAGGACCTCCCCACGCTCCGTCCTTCTAACCCAAGGCAAGACTGAAGAAAGCGAGCCATACAGCAAGCAGCTAAGAGAAGCCTATTAAAGGAGGACCTCAGCAGCAGGACCTTCCTCTTCGACTCAGCACAGGGGTGGCGCAGACTCGTTTCACACGGACGCTATTCGGAGAAAAACACTATTTTTACCACTGATGTAACGTGTCAATGGCCCTCTAGTCTCGATGTCGATAAGATAGAAAAGTGCACGATATGCCAAGCTATACACTCTCATCCCAGGAACGTGACACCACGTTGAAATGAATGTGACAGAATGTCGCGTTCCTTTGAACATTGTGTCACATTGATGCTTTTCTCCCCTAGATTGTGATTCCGGAACTGATGTTAAAGCCAAAGACTGCTGCTTAGCTACGACTGTGTGAAAAAAGCCTACCCGACTTTGACGAAATTAACACAGTCTACGCGAAGCAAGTTTTTGATTTGCTTGCTCAGAAACTGAACTTGTCAAAATTCTTTTTTGTTGTTCGGAAACTCAATAAAGCACTTGTGTAGGATGGGACGCATTTATTCAAATCTCCGTCAGATGATGGGGGAGCATTTCGTAAGTAACACCAAAACTTTACTAACATTTGGTGGTATTTACAACAAATGTCTGATCGTATAGGGATCACTAAAAAAAAAGAGAAATCTTCACTTTGACTTTGGATTACACTAAGTGAAATTTGTATTCTGCTTAAGCGCAAAAATTTACTAAAAAGTCACTGCCTGCATGACTTCTCACCTTTTTTCTCTTAATTCGGGGTATTAGTAGATTGGGTCTGGGTGAGACCTGATTATCGTGACCACGAAGCTTGATCAAGGACCTGTTTCTCGCCTTCAAGACTCGATACCCCCTATCTATAACCGCTTCCCCGATACCTGGATGGGAATAACCACTTAGCTGTACCCACCTAGGGGAAAACCGCGCATCTGCGGCCACCGGGGATAACCGCTTAGCTGGCAGTTGGCTTCCGACAACCGCTCACGCCCGTCAAATACGGGACATGAATTGACGCTTTGCAAATGCTGCATGTAATTTGGAGCAAAACTAACTAAACATGCTACTAAATAAGAAACTGCTACTCTACATTCTGAGACAACGATTTGGTTTCTATGGGGACTGTGACGACCACTATGAACGGATAACTGGCGGCCACAACCTAACCAACGCCCGGCCGGCCGGCGGATGAGCGCTTCTCCGGAACCACCTGCCAGCTAAGCGGTTATCCGCGGGGTCGCTGGAGATGCGCGGTTGTCCCCAAGGTAGGTACAGCTAAGTGGCTATTCACAGCCTGGCATCTGGGTAGCGGTTATAGATAGGGGGTGTCGCTGTGATAGTGTGACACGAGATAAGGCCATGGAGTCACTTAAATAAAGGTTGCTTGACTTTGAACGCTCAGTCACCTGCTGGCTGTCAAACTGTTGTCAACGGATAATTTCAACACAGCTGTAACTTCACAGCAAGCCATCAGACAACTCCTAGTGCGTAAAACAGAGGCTTGCTCATTCTTAAAGCAGATTTCTTGTATTGCGAATAACATTTATTTTCTTTGTCGATGGATAAAACATCAATATTGTTTTTAAAGTAATTGGAATCAGGCTCATTATTGAAAACTTTGGCGTCAGTGCCATGGGGTGTTACCATTTGCCTGTTCTGTCTGAAGCCCTCACCATGGTCCTCACCCTCTACGGCACCGAGGTCAGCCCACCGGTTCGCGCAGTGCGCATGGCGTGCAAGGCAACGGGCATCGAGTACGACTTCCAAGTAGTCGACGTAATAGCCGGAGAGCTAAAAAAGCCAGAGTTTTTGAAGGTAAGTGCCCCAAGCTGGACACTCTTGACAAATAAGTCATCATCGGTCTCCTGTATTTTAGTAGGTTGGATACTTTGCGTCCAGCAACAACCTTAGAAAAATATTTGTTTTGAACCACGACGAAATTACTGTAAACACGAGTTAAACAGCATGGTATACGGGAGAAAGGATGAGCACATATGCCAGGTCCAAAGCAGGTCTCACACTCTCATCCCGGGAATATGACATCACGTTGAAATGGATGTGACAAAAAGTCACGTTATTTAGAGCATTTAGCACATTTTGTATGGACAAGGATAAGCCAAAAGTCAGCTCATTCACGTGGAAACGAATGTGACGCAATGCTCAAAAGAACGTGACACTTTGTCACATTCGTTTCAACGTGATGTCACGTTCCTGGGATGAGAGTGAAAGCGCTACAGTAATTACCTACACTGCGTTTGTTCTAGGTGAACCCTCACCACACTGTTCCGTTCATAAGGGACGGTGAATATGTTCTTTGGGACAGGTAAATGACAGTGCCTGGTGTCTCCGTTTTGCGTTTTTGTCTCCGTTGTCCGTGTTTCTGAACCTAAATTCGTTGTGCCTAGCCACGCCATCGTGACGTACCTGGGTGACTAGTCCGGAAACGAAAGCTGATACCCAAAGGACATCAAGCAGAGGGCCACCATACATCAACGCCTTCACTTCGATAACGTGATGCTGTTCACAAGAATGAAAAACATTCTAGTGCGTAGCTTGCTGCGTCTTCATTAACACAACTCTAACAATCCTGATAATAACGACCTTTTTGTTTCCTAGGCGCCAATTTTTTTTGAAAATGTAAGGGAGATACCACCAGAAAAAGTGAAGGGCTTGCAGGAGTCCCTGGACTTAATGGAGCCCATCATCCACGAGGGGGGCTGGCTTGCAGGAAGTCACCCGACCATTGCTGACTGCTGCTGCGTGGCCAGCGTGTCAACCGTAGTAGTGAGTGTTGCATTATCCATTTAATTTGTTTTTTTTTTTATTTATAAAAGCCATTTAGCACGTTACCTATTCTTTCCTTTAGGCTATATTTCCGGAGGTTAGGTTGCCAGCCAAGGTGGCTGCCTGGCTCAAACGATGCCAATCAGAACTTCCAGGATACGACGAGATCAACACTGACAACATCAAGAAATTGGCTGAAGCTGTTCTTGCAACACTTGGCAAGAAATGAGCGAGATATTTCGTTTCCATTTGCCCTCCTGCTTTTCTGTATTTTGTCATCAATAAAGAGTCCGTTCAAAATTATCGTAAAGCGTGCAGAATGCCTGGTTTGCTAAAAAGAGCTCAAAAAATCTTTTCTAGTAATCTGCTAGACACCCTTGGCCAGGGTCCAGTTCCTGTCCCGATAAGACGGAGATAATGCGTCACGACGCAAGATACGGGTATTGGGGATATTCAGAAACGTGACTGTCGGCCGGTCTCCTTAGTCAACTGCTGGTCGTCGACCAGGTGCACACGTATCAAGTAAAATGCGGCATAGTGAAAAAGAAACATAATCTAAGATTAATTTTGGACAAACGAACGTGGCTTCCATATATTTACTACTGTCGTGTTGTGAGTGATGTTCTATCTCCTTCCACCTCAAGGAGGATTGTAACTTCGCTATTAGAGTGCTTTGCAGTAGACTGATAACTAAAAGTCAGCGCTAAGATAGTTTAGTTGCAGTCTACATGGCAGCAAGAAGTCACTCACAATTTCACGTGCTTTGATTTAAGCTCTCACCATGGTCCTCACTCTGTACGGCGTGGAGCCCAGCCCACAGGTCCGTGCGGTACGCATGGCATGCAAGGCCATGGAAATCAAGTACGTCTTTAAAGCCGTTGATATAGTGAGCGGTGACCTAAAGACGCCGGAAATGATGAAGGTTAGAACTCCACACTGTGGCGAAAAGGAACGGAAAATTCTGTTAATTTTTTTGCCAGGATTCTCCGTAGCCCTCTTATCAATATTCTCCGTAGGCTCTTACAGTATTCTCAGTAGGGCCGTACAGTATTCTCCGTAGAACCGTAAAGTCTTCTCCGTAGGACCTGGAAGACTGTATAGTCCTACGGAGAACACTATAAGGTCCTACGGAGAATACTGTGCCGTCCTAAGGAGAATACTGTAAGAGCCTACGGAGAATATTGACAAGAGGGCTACGGAGAATCCTGGCAAAAAAATTAACAGAATTTTCCGTACCTTTTTGCCACAATGCAGTTTGATCTTTTGGACAAATAATGCATAATGACGTACCTTATTCTAACAACGGATCTTAAATCGAGTTTTTTAACACTAAAAATGATAAAAATAGCTTGTTTGCATCGAAAATAACCCATAGACAATAACATTCAATACAGACAATAACTCATTTTGATTTTACAGATGAATCCAGAAGGCAACGTTCCATTTATCGTGGATGAAGATTACGTTCTTTGCGACAGGTAATAGGACAAGTCGTTTAGTGTGTATAAGGCCACTTCACCGATCTCCCGTGGTTTTGAAATAAAAATGCTTGTTTACAGCCACGCCATCGTCACGTACCTTGCTGATAAGTTTGGTAACGACAGGTGGTACCCAAAGGATATTAAGCAGAGGAAAAACATCCAGCAACTACTTCAATTCAACAACACGATGCTTAACATGAGGCTCAAAGACATAATGGTGGGTGTGTGGGTATGGGTAACCCTGGTGTGTCCTCAGAAGCACACAAACGAAACAGTCCAGTATGTCGAAAATGGCCACTTATTTCTAGGCACCTTTGGTACATGAAAACGTTCTCGTGATACCACCAGAGAAGATGCGTGGGCTGCAGGAGAGTTTGACCTTAATGGAGTCCCTCATCCACGACGAAGGCTGGCTTGCCGGCAGTCACCCCACCATCGCAGACTGCTGCTGTGCTGCGAACGTCTCCTGTTGCGTAGTGAGTGCCACTTTAGTATGGGCCTATTTTTAACTTCATGTTTTTTCCTGATGTCATGACACTTATTAAATTTAATCCCCAAGGGTATATTTCCGGAACTGAAAATGCCTCCAAAGGTTGCTTCCTGGCTGTGGCGATGCGCAAAGGAACTCCCAGGCTACGACGAGCTCAGCACCTTCAACATCAAAGAAATACTTGCCGAAGTTGCTCAAAGAATGGGTTAAAAATATGGGTGGCTGAATTTTAATTTTTTGGCTCGTGTACAAATGGTCGTTGACACAGTGTGCGGAGGGCTAATTGTGATTTGTAAATTGAGTATTAAATAAATGTTTACTTTTATGAGATTTTGACATACATATATATTTCTTGACAGATTTTTTCCTAGAATTGAATTAAATGTTTCAATTTTAGGATTTTCATACCCTTTTCTTACATGCATGCTTGTGTAGCATGCTAGGATACCCGATTCAAAACCCGATTCAAAATCAAAACCAGTTCCATCGATTCCTACCGACTAACAAGGTAGGTTTACGCCAGACCGCGTCTTGTCGTAACAGACTTCGCGATGTCTCGCTGCCTGTTCCTCCAATCCGCGCCTGGCGTACCTGCCTTGGCCTGCGGCGCTAGCCTGCCTTCGGCAGGCAATGCTTGTCCACCGTCGGTTACTTCTAATTTGTTGCATGCTGAAGGGCCCCCCAGACCCCCCTTCATTCTGTATATAGTTGCTTTATCTAGAAATTACACGATCTTGACCCTTGTAACATTATAACTTGTCGAGGCTGGGGGGCTCCACCCCCCAGGCCCCCCTTCCATCAAGGCAGGGGAGATCTGCCTGCAGAAATCTCGATTTTTCGCCGTTTTTTAGTTGTTTTTCGGCTATAAAAACTGAACCAGTGGAGCTAGGATAGTGATATTTTGCGTGTGCCGAGCCAAGAACACACCTTATGAGCCTGCAAAGTCTCAGCCAGATCGGCCAAGCCGTTCAGGAGGAGTAGTGCACACACACACGCAGGCAGACAGACAGACAGACAGACAAAACTTTTCAACCGCACTGGAGTAACAGGCTTCGCTATCGCTCAGCCAACAAAAATTTCAGGGACAGGTGTCCCTCTTGCATGGGACAGATGGTTACCTATTGGTGACATAGCCACTTTTACGACTGATAATAAGGCAGCTGATAGTGGCAAACGCAATGTCACATAAAAACGATGCGGTCATTCTATAAATACAGTGAAATTAAACAAGGTAGGTTTACGCCAGACCGAGTCTTGTCGTAACAGGCTTCGCGATGTCTCGCTGCCTGTTCCTCCAATCCGCGCCTGGCGTACCTACCTTGGCCTGCGGCGCTAGCCTGCCTTCGGCAGGCAATGGCTTGTCCATCGTCGGTTACTTCTAACTTGTTGCATGCTGGGGGGCTCCGCCCCTCAGACCCTCCTTCATTCTAGATCCCTTGTAACTTTTTACTTGTCGGGGCTGGGGGGCTCCGCCCCCAGACCCCCCTTCTTCAAGACAAAAGTGATCTGCCTGCAGAAAACTCGATTTTTCGCCGTTTTTTAAGGTGTTTTTCGGCTATAAAAACTGAACCAGTTGAGCTAGGATAGTGAAATTTCGCGTGTGCCGAGCCAAGGACATGCCAAAAAAAGTGTGCAAAATCTCACCGAGATAGGCCGAGCCGTTCAGGAGGAGTAGTGCGGACACACACACAGACAGACAGACAGACAGGAAAAACTTTTCAACCCCAATGGAGTAACAGGCTTCGCTATCGCTCAGCCAATTAAACACACATTGCAACAAATCTCCAATGTCAGCCGGGGGGAGAGGCCTTTATCTATCCTAATTTAGAACAGAAATCATCCTTCTGGGAATTCTGTTGTATTGGCCCCCCTCCCGACAGACGCTGATAGCGATATAAGCGATAAGGTGAGTTGACCATCACGAAAAGGGATCATGCTTGTCTGATTTTGCTCAGTCGCCCGCAGCTCGTTAATCACCTCAGAACTATTGCGCATATTGTTGTAAGTGCTACGTCCTTTCATGCAGTCAACTTTGGCTTTTTACATTTTCATTTGATTTCCCTCAGCCTTCCGAAAATCACTGGCATTTGTCGTGAAACCAAACTTTACTCACAGTTTTGCCGTGTTTCAAGCCCTCGCCATGGTTCTCACCCTGTACGGCACTGGGCCGAGCCCCCCAGCCCGCGCGGTTCGTTTGGCGTGCAAGGCCATGGGCATCGAGTACGACTTTGTGGTCGTCGACGTGCTGGGCGGAGACCTCAAAAAGCCTGAGTATTTGAAGGTCAGTTCACAGTCTTCGCAGGCTACGAAAACCTCCGTCTTATTTGTAGTTGCATAAAACATCTTTAGGAAATTTACTATGCTTTTCTAATTATTTGAAGAAAACTGAGCTCGGTCTATAAGCCATAATGATGCTTTTGGTTTTTTAGATAAATCCACACCACACCGTTCCGTTTATTAAGGATGGAGATTTCGTTCTTTGGGACAGGTGACTGAATGGGGTTTTGTTTTCCCATAAATGTACTTCGCCTTCCTCGAATGCATCTGAATGCAAGTGTTTCCCACAGCCACGCCATCGTCGCATACCTCGGCGACAAGACGGGCAACGACAGCTGGTACCCGAAGGACATCAAGCAGAGGGCCACCGTTCACCAGCGCCTTCACTTTGACAACGGGATACTGTTCACGAGGTTCAAGGACGCCGTGGTGAGTAAATCGCATCTTTAGACCGACACACATGTGACAGCATGTTGTCATGACCACCCCGTTCCAGGCACCTGTCTTCTACGGGAATGCCGTGGAGATACCCAAAAAGAAGGTGCAGGCCATGCAGGAGGCAGTGGACTTGGTAGAGCCCATCATCCACGAGGGCGGCTGGCTGGCCGGCAGTCGCCCCACCATCGCCGACTGCTGTTGTGCCACCAGCGTATCCATCATCGCAGTGAGTGCTGCACCTCGGCTGCACCAATCGCTTACTGGCTCACATTTTGCCTTTCCAGAAGTAACGCACAGCGTGTTTTCTTCCCTGCAGACTGTATTTCCGGAGATAACCTTGCCGCCCAAGGTGGTAGCCTGGCTGAGGCGGTGTGAGGAGGAACTCCCAGGCTATGACGAGATCAACAACCCCACGTACAGCAAGAACATTGCCGATGCCCTGGCTGCAAGGATGGGCAAGAAGTAGGCGACTACAGTGTTGTGTCCATCTCCAGATCACCCAATCTACACTTTCATTTTAATGACGCATGCCTTGAATGTCTAATAAGGAAAGTGAACGCATATTTAAAAAGAAATAAAACATTCAATGCGTCAAAAATGTACGTTCCAATTCCCTTCTCATTCACACTACTGGAAAGCAACCCAAAATGACGTAAAGAGAAAGATTTGGATTGCACCACGAGAGGCCTGAGCCACGTGAGACGGCACTATCAGCCATTTGGAAACACACGGGCAATCTCGTTCGCTCGCGCATAGGCGGTTTCGGCGGTCGGGCGAAGGAGCGAACACCTCCCGAGCCGACTGGCTGCCGAAGTCGCCGCGCGGTCTGACCGAGTCTGACCAGCCGGAGAGGCTGCGAGAGGCCCATCTTCATAGCGGAGGCAACCGCGGCGTCCCGTTGCGCGGCACGCCTCGGCCACGCCTCGGACACGCCTCCATCAAACAAATCGGGCAGCATTTCATTTGGATTACGGCCGGCCACGCCGCCGTGCCACCGTTACCAATTGGGAAAGCACGGCATGCCGATCGAGTGCCCTCGCGTCTTCGGATCCCCTCGCACAGCGTCGCACCGCCACCAGAACAAAGATCGTCAACGGGTGGATCGCGTTGGATCGTGCTCGCCAACATCGGCCCGGGTCGGTCCCGAGCCAAGCCCTGGCGGGCGTGGGCCCGGCCGGCGACTGGCCCAGCTTCGAGTCCCGGCAGAAGCCTGCATTTTTGTCGGTCTCTGGTACCCTTCAGGTTCTTGAAAAGGAATCTCCACGGTATTTATGTGTGCCGTGAAATGTTAGTTGCGGTTGCAGCTCTGAAATCGCGAAAAAAAATTATAGCGCCGCCGGGACTCGAAGCTGGTCAACGGTTTGGGCCAAAACCGGCGCTTCGGTTTGGTTCGGAACCGACCCGAACCGACATTCGGGAGCACGATCCATCGCGATCCACCCGTTGACGATCTTTGCACCAGAAAGCAGTAGAAGACCGACGACCCCGCGGGGAAAACAAATGCCATTTTTAAAAGTATCATCGTCACTTTCAGCACATATTTCGAACATTTTTTGCAGAGGATACATGAGACACAATGAAACGAAAATGAAAGTAGACTTTCGGAGTCGGTTTCCCCGAGGCGTCGTCGTCATCGTCGTGGTCCAGGACGTTGTCGCATCCAGGACGTTGTACTCACCAGAACTCGCCGTCGTTGCGCACGCGCACCGAGAGCAGCTCCTTGTCGCGCTCGGACAGGCCGTCCCACTCCCAGGACCGCTCGCTCCAGGCGCCCGTCCACTCGCCGCGCGCCCAGGGGTTCCGCAGCCGCACCAGCGGCGTCTCGCCCAGCGGGCCGCGGACGCGCGCCAGCCCCGTCACCGAGTACGCGTGCTGCGTCAGCAGCCCGTTGCGCAGCCGCAGCTGCCGCTTGTTCTCCTTCTCCTGGCGACAGACGGCGTCACTAGCGGGGGGGTCCAGCGTCCTTACAAGGCTGTGGGAGGCCCCAACACATCTACGGCAGAGTCCCTCTAGCACTCCGCGGGTGGTGGTTTGGGCCATTGCACGCGCTGCGTCTCCCGCTATGTGAAGCGAGGCAGATCTGTGTGTGTGTGTGTGTGTGTGTGGTGTGTGGTGTGTGTGTGTGTGTGTGTGTGTGTGTGTCCGCCCACACGCATTGCGCCGCGCGATATGCCCCGCCATCACTCACGGCCTGTAGGAGGAGCTAATGGCGCCTTTCCGAACGGCGGCGAGGAAACTGATTTCGAGGCGCTGCGCTCTGCGGCTCTTGGCGGCACCCCGATGCATCGCAGTGCATCGCGCAGCCTGGCGCGTCCTGGCGCAGCAGCGGTCCCCGGCACTATAACGTGCCATTTTATGCACGTCGGCCCGAGTCCAAGCGCCGATATGGCGGTGCCGGCCTTTGCCACATGGGCGGGCTGGCTGGCTGGCAGGGAGACCGCCTGCTATCCGGTGAACTAGGCACGAATCTTCATAACCATCCAACCAAATTTAAAAAAAAAATGAAAAAGAGAAGAGGCAAAAAAGGCAAAGAAAAGTGCCCAAGCTGCGGAGAAGAGAGCCGATTGCATCTCGGCTACGCTGCTGCTGCGCCTAATCGGTATCGGCCGCGGTCGAACCCGCGGTGCGCGCGTGTGAGTGCGTGTGTGTGTGCGCGCGCGCGTATGTGTGTGTGCGTGTGTTTGTTCCTGTGTAAGTGGAAAATGATAGGGGGAGGTTAGGACGCCCAATCTCGCGCTCGTTCCGTGTTGACGAGAATCGAGGCCCAGGGAGAAGCGAGAGAGAGAGAGAGAGAGAGAGAGAGAGAGAGAGAGAGAGAGAGAGAGAGAGAGAGAGAGAGAAGTGGGAGGGAAAATGAAGATAAAAAGAGAGGAAGACCGTGTTAAACGCTTTCATGATCGGAACCGCTTCGCACTTACTCAACGCGCACACGTACACTCTGCCCCCTCTCTGCACACGCACAATCTGTACTTTACACAAACTGTGATGCCGACCGACGAACAGCCAAACGTGATCGTAAAAACGAGACAAGACTTTGCGCGCACTCGTGTGTGTGTGTGTGTGTGGCCCAAACCGTGTGCCAAATTACAAGTACGCCGGTAAACACGCACAAGGAGGGGAGGGGGGGGGAGCTCTTTAAAATTATTAGCTACTTAGTTAAACTACCAAATGGTAAACAACTCTCCAGCCGTTGAAGGAAGGGAGACTGGCCCGGCGCGGCGGGAGCATTCCTGCGTGTGACTGATTGGGGAAAGGCGGAAGGGGGAGGGGGGGCCTCAGGTGAGAAAAGTGATCCGCTTATCACCCACCGTGACCCGCAACGATATACAGTGACCAACCAAGTCAAACGGTGACCGTGCAGAGTTTAACTAATTTTAATTGAAAATAAAATTTTCTAAAAGAGTCACCTTGAACATACCCTCCGTATTTTTCACCGTTTACGAGAGGTACACCTGTATTTCGTAACGGGTCACGTCGGGTCAGGAGCGGGTCACTTTTCTCATCTGTTCAACGAATGTGACGTCATATTCGTTAGAATGATACTTTTGTAACGTATTGCCAGGAAAGTTTACCGGCCTGGGAGGACTCTGGGAGCCCACTGGGAGTACCCACCGGCTGGATGCAGGCGATGAGCAGGGAGGACCGCGGCACGGCGCTGTTGAGCACCTGGAAGGTGAGGTACCTGTCCTGGCTGGACAGTCCGAAGCTCTGCACGATGCCGCCCGTCAGGTCCTGCAGCGCGCGCGTCGTCATGCCGCACTGCAGGCCCTCGTAGCTGCCGTACCACCTGCGGGTCGAGAAGACCAACAACGTTCAAGTTCAAAACAACGGTGTAAAAAAGAAACGCGGTGAGGCAAGGCGCCTGTGATCCGCGGGGTAGGCAACCCGTCCGACACTCCTGACTGCGGTGCAGGCGGCGTGCGAGCCACTACAGTGGCGTGACAGCGGCGCACTCGAAGCTGCTTCAAGTACTCTGGCCGCCTCCACTTCGCTCCAACTCACTTGGCGTAGGCCTTCTCGAGCAGCGCGGCCCAGAACTCGGTGCTGTTGGAGGAGTGCATGTGCACCAGGCGGCCCTTGTGCGTGGGCAGCCGGTCGTCCACCAGCACGTCCACCCACTCGCCGAAGTGCCAAAACCGGAACCTAAACAACAAAAACAACATATCGGGGTCAGAGGTCGCGGCAGCTGGGGGAACCCATTTTCATATCTTGATCTTTATTTTGCTTTGCACTTATTCGAGAGTGCGGCGCCCAGTGAGAGAGCGCCAGCGGAGACCATCTCCTCCGACAGACAGCGGTGCTCTTACGCGGACCCCCCCCCCCCCCCCAAAGTCCACCACACACCGCCCGCGCCCACCACACACCGCCTCACCCGCCGCTCCCCGTCCCACCCAATCCACCCCAACCCCTTCTACCCCAGCCCCACTTCACCCCCCCCCCCCCTTCACCCCACCCCGCCCCACCCAGCCGCCACGACGGCGGGGCGCTCGACGCGCTCCTTTAGGGGGACGCATCTTCGGCGCGGCGTGAATGGCCGCTGGAATGGGCGAGTTTGGCCGTGTCGACGGTAAAGGCGCTGTTTGCACCGGGACCGACCGGAGCGGCCGAGCTGCCGGTCGGGGGCCTCGGCTCGCACCACTCGGCCGCTCCAGAGTCCAGCGACTCCAGACTCTGAGCAGCTATCTAGCACACTGCCGGACCGCCAGGCACCGCCAGGCCGTCCCACCGAAAAAGAAGGCCGCGCGTCACTGCAAGTCACACACCCAGCAGGATTCCTCCTAGATCGCGGAGAGGAAACTAGTTTGGCCAGATAGGCATCCTTTCACATGCCTGCCACACACACAGTGACACGACAGAAGGCCACCTGCCCTGCCGGTATTGTCTGTCTCTCTGCGCTTTCTTTGTGCTTTCTCGACTGCGGGTCTCGTGTGTGTGTGTGTGTGAGAGAGGGGAAGTGTGTGTGTGTGTGTGTGTGTGTGTAAGGGCTGATTGGCGCCATCAGTGCGCTCTGCCGACAAGTTGCGGTAATTGGGCGGGGGCAAAGCTCGCGAGTTAGCGGTCACATAGCGAGGATGGACCGTTTCGAGGTTCAATTCGCAGTCGTCGTTGCCATTATTTTTCTCCTCGCGTCTTGCTTCCACCTTCCACAGCCCCACTTCTTCCAGCCGCGCTTCCAGAGTCTCAGTTCCCGCCTCGCGAGGACCGCGACAGGGAAATGTACTCCAGTGCCGTTCCGGACGCCGCAGGACCCGCTGGCGAGCAACTGCTGCAGTCTGAATCCGAGAGATCTTTTCGTCGCTCCGTCTCTCTCGCGCGCCCCGAGAGTGCGAGAGAGACAGAGCGACGAATACGACTCTTGGAATCAGTCTACTGGAGCAACTGCCGGAGCCGGAGGCTAGCAGTGGCGGGGCGGTTGTGCTGCGTCTTGCCTGCGCTGCTGGCGACCTGCCACGGCGTTTGTTCCGTTTGTTCGCGCGGCCGGACGGGACGGACAGGGCCACAGCAGCCACGGACAGGGCGGTCGCGTCGAGCCGCCTCAGGGGACCTCCAGGCCCGCTGGAGCAACTGCTGGAGCAAGGCGGGACCCAGAACGCAGCGCGACGCGGCCTGCCTGTCTCTCTCGAACTCATGGGGCACCTCGCGAGGAGGCGAGAAAGACAGCGACGATGGCGGCGCTCGGAATCGGCCTGCAGTACCGATGCATCCTGGGCGCGCATCCCCGCGCATTCCACGTCCCCTCCCCGCCCTGGTACGCTGGAGGCACGGCCAGGGCTCTCGGCCGCGACTCTTGGCCAGGACGCGCCGCCAGAACTCGAAGCAAAGGAAAGAGCGCCAACCAAGACCACTCGCGCGTCCGTCCATCTGAGTGCACTTTGGGCGGCTGCGAATGCGGCGAACGCAGCGAAGAGTGATTACTTGGAGCAAGACGCAAACACCGCAGGCCAGATTGGGATCGCAGCTTGGCGGCGGCGCGCGTGCCTCCCGCCGTCCCGCCGCCGCCCCGCTCGTCACGTACTCGATGACGATTGAATCGGAGAAGCTTGTCCCTGTCCGCCACCCGCTCTGCTGCGCCACGCCGCGCCACGCTCGACCAGTCCCTTGACGGGCTGTGGTGACACGGCCGCGAGGGGCTGGCCGTGCACGGCATGCCGCCACTGCTTTTGGACGCCCCCCCCCCCGTCCTGTTTTCGCCTGGCCCTTCTACCTTCGCAAGGCCTAAAATAGGAAGGGCCTTGCCCGAACGGGGAGCCCTCGCCCTCTCTAAAAGGGCGTGCCGCGCTCTTTCGAGTGAGTGCATCTTGTATAGACGGCTTCTGGACGCGGCACTGGCCGGCACTGCCCGCACTGCAGGCTGCAGCATTGCACAGCACTGCAGCATCGCCGCGCGGCCGGGCCGGCCGGTACGTGGGAAATTTTTTCCCCGTCATTGAATCCACCTCGGTGCGCTTCTTCTAGCCTTCTGGCGCGGAGCACTGAGCCGGGCTATGGGCCGCGCGGCTCGCAAGAACCCAGGCGGGGACAGTGCCGCGCGGCCCAGCCTGTGTAATAAATTGTGCTCACGACAAGCGCGCTCTCTATCTGGCAAAAGTAACAAATAGCGGGGCAACGACTCGGCCGTTTGTTTGTGTGTGTGTGTGGTGTGTGTGTGTGTGTGTGTGTGTGTGTGTGTGTGTGTGTGTGTGTGTGCTGTCGCCGCGCTGGACGGACGGCCCTTCCGCCACGCCGATAGGACGCGGCGACGCGGACGGTCCGGTCTCCCTCAAGAGAGGCGCGCTACTATCGTGATGGAAGGACCACGTCGACGGCGAGCGAGGCGCGGTTTGGGGCCCAACTTCGGCATGGCTGGGCATTGCTGGGCCAATTAAAGTGATGGCGGTGAATGGGGAGCCGTGGCGCCACGCCGCGCCGTGACGAAGGCCTCACCTGAAGATGCCCGCGTAGTGCGCGCTGTCGAAGCTCTGGTCGGGCGGCACGACCCTCTCCAGGAAGCGGGGCGTGAGCGTGAGCGACGACACGGCCGCCAGCAGCCATGGGTCGCCCAGCTCGCCCAGCTCCACGTCGAAGCGCGGGCCCGGCGAGTGCAGCTGCCCGTTGGGGCCGGCGGGGCCGCGGCCGGGGTGGTCGCCGGCCAGGCCGGCCAGGTCGTCGGCGAGGAAGCGCGGCCGCTGGCACATCTCGTGCGGCCGCATCCACACGATGGGCTGCAGCGGCGGCTTCTTGTGGTGGTACAGCGCCCGGTTGCCCGGCGGGAACTCGGGGTCCTCGAACAGCCGGCCGCGCTCCCGGCACGACCGCCGGATCGTCTCGTAGTCGCTGAGCGTCGCCCGCGGCCGCTCCGTCGTCCAGTACCTGCGGAGGAAGAAGCAATGCGTCAGTCAGTCCCCTGCCTGAGTGGCTGCACCTTGCTGCACGGCGCCCCGGGGCCCGGCGCCTCGGCCGCCTCGGCCGCCTCGCCGACCTGGAGCGGCTCGCGGAGTGCCTTGCCTGCAGGTCGCACCGTACACGGCGATATGCAAGTCAGCTGAGTGCCCCGCAGCCCCGTGGGGCCATGCATGGAAGCGCATGCCGAGCGCAGCCTGGCGGAGAGGGGGGGGGGGGAGGCGCCGATGGGCGGGCTGCAACCGCTGCGACCGCTGCGACCGAGCCCACCGCAGCGAAGGCCGCGGCGTGCCAACATGATCCCGGCTTAAATGGACTCGTCAGCCCCGCGGCCCGAGGCCGAGCAGGCCGAGCAGGCCCGATGGCTCGGCAGCCCATCGCCATTAATTAGCGGCACGGCCCGCACGCACAGGGCCAAACAATCTCGGAAAGCGGCGGGGAAATCCAACGAGAACTCGCATGGAATCTCATCAGATATCGCCGTGTCTTGTACGTTGCAATCCATATGCACCCCGTGGAAACATCGCTACAACCCCAGCCCAAGCAGCCAAACGTTTTGTTGTTTTGGTGGGCGGAGCAGAGCCTCTCAATAGCGTCTCAGTCCGTCGGAGAGGCGCCACAGAACCTCTAGTCGTGACCGGCTGGACTGCGACTGCGCCTCCGAGGCTCGGCGGCGGTGTCACCAACGGCGAGCCAATAAACACGTGCGCGGGACGAGTAGGGGCCGGATTCAATGGCCCGGCCGCCCCGCGGCGAGCCTCGCGGGGGGCAGGGCACTGCAAGGCAGGGCAGGGCAGGGCGCAGGGCGGGGCGCGGCGTGGGGCGTGCTTGCGTGCAGCGGCCGGCGTGTAATTGGTGAAAATGGGACGCCGCGGCGAAGCGGGCCCCGCGGGACGGGACGGGACCACGTGGTGCGGACGCGACGTCTGCCCGCGGAGGCCTGGACGCACCGCGGCGGGGTGGGGCGGGGCGGGGCGCACCTCCCGAACAGCTGGCGGGTAATCGGCTCGTCCCGTTAACGAGTTAATAATATGCAGCCGACGCGCGCAGTGCCATAGCGAGTCAGTCGAACAGTGCGCGCTGTTGCATCTCTTGCTCTCTCTCGCACGCTCGGTGCGTCCAGTAGGGGTGCGAGTGAGACGGAACAACGCATCAGCGCCGCGCCGGTCCGCCCACCGCGTAACAACGTAACAACGCGCGTGGCTCTGTAGCCACTGCAGGCAGCCACACCGCCAGTTTACTCATTCGCGGCACCATGGGACGGCCAGCCAGCCGCTACACTGGAGGCTGGAGGACTTCCCTGAGCGACTCCGTACGGCATAGCCGCATAGCGCACACCTGCGCCAACCCAGACACAAGAGGCAGAGGAACACACACACACACACACACACACACACACACACTCTTGTGCGTTTGCCAAGGCGTTCGCGTTCCCATGGTATTTGCCGCGCGAGGCAGTGCGGGGTTCAAGGCCTGCCCGGCGCTGCGCTGGGCAAGGCGCTGGGTTAGCGCCGCGTCTTGGCGGCCCCCGCGGCCGGCATGGCCTGCACGCCGGCCGGCCCGCGATCAAGCGATATCTCCCCGCTGCTCCCCCCCCCCCTCTCTCCGATTTCGACTGCGGTATTGTTATCGAATGAGCAGCATTGTTTGTCGAAACGCACACTCACGCGGCCACCGTCCGCACCACGCGGAGCTCGGCGGAGCCACGCGGCGCCATGGGAAGCGCAGCGGCGCGGCCGGGCGGCGAACCCGCGATATTCGTCGCTCCGTCTCTCTCGCGCGGCTCATCGGGACGGCCCGCGAGAGCGAGAGAGACGGTGGAGCCGGCTGCGGGCATTAGCTGCGGGCATTGGCTGCGCGCTGTAAGTGGGAGGCGCGGAGGCCCCGCGATTCCCTTTAAAGGTTGCTGCGGGAAACTGGAGCACACTCCGGCACCGCCGGCATCGCTCACACGACTCGACTCAACACCTCCGGTATTTCGAACGGGGCTTGATCACGGGCTTGCGGCCTCGGCCTCGCTTGCACTCGACGAGACCGCGACGCACCGCCGGCAAACGCGCTCTCTCTCTCTCTCTCCCTCTCTCTCTCTCTCTCTCTCTCTCTCTCTCGCGTCTCTGCGGCCCCGGCCGAGACGGAGCGGCGAAATGCGCCTTCGGCTTCGGAATCAGTGAGCAGTGCAGCAGTGCACTGCAGTGTAGCATCCGGTGGACGGGCGGACGCGCGACAGGCGGGCCGCCCTCGCTTTCCCTCTCGCCCCGCCGCGAGCACCGCGATGATGGGGACGACGCGGGGACGAGGGGACGCGGGGACGCCGTCGTGCCGACGCTGGCACACATTCCACCCGTATCAGTTGTCGCAGGCAATCGAGAGGGAAGGGGAGTATACCGGTCGAAGACAGTCGTTTCGTTGCACTCATGGGGCTCGCCATGAGGGTGCGAGAGAGACAGAGCGACGAACCGCGCTCTCCGGAATCGCTTGGCCGGCAGCGCGCGCTCCTTGTGCTGATCTCGAACCTCTCGGCCGCGTGCGTACACTGCAGGCAGGCGTGTACCGGCGGCGACGCGGTGCTGGCCGCCGTCCTGGACGCAGGGCGCAGGCCGCGGCGCGGCGCCCCAAACCCGGTGCTGCTGATTTGGTGCTGGGAGGGTCATCTCCAGTTCCAGTGGTCCGAGTCCGAACAGTGCTTCGTCGTGCTAGCCAACTGTCTGTCTGTCTGTCTGTCTGTCTGTCTGTCTGTCTGTCTGTCGCCATTGATAGGCCCCACCGAGTGCGAGAGAGACAGCGCGCTGCAGCGGAATGCGCGGCGAGTCATGGCGCGGCCGCTACAAGCGCTACAAGCTACAAGCGCATCGGCAGCGCGGCAACGGGACACCACGGCTAGCACACTGCCATCCCGGGTTACCGCCGCGCCGCGTACGGCCGTGCGGCACCGGCTCCTGCCGATGACATGCTCGTCCTGCCGGTCCAGCTGCCCTGTCCGGAGAGACGCCAAGCACGCACCGTCGCGTTGCATCCGAGTCGCGCTCCGGCGGGCCGCGCGGCCCCGAGTACTTACTCGCGCTGCTCCTTGCAATGAAATTTGAGCCGTGTCACAGTCTATTCCTCGCGCAAGCATAATTTCTCAATGGTGCGAATCTCTTTTGGAGTTTACTGAGCTTGTCTAGGCGTGTGAGGCCTGTGAGCGTGCGTGCGAGCGTGTATCCGTCGCACAGTGGGCCAGAAAACCGGTGGAAGCGGTCAAAACCCTGAACGCATTTTTAGCTCCAGAGTCGCTAAATGGGATTCGAACCGAACGTGTGACCCCACCAATGGATTGCTCTCCGAACGGGGAATCCATTGGTGGGGTCACACGTCCGGTTCGAGCTCTACTAAGCGACTGCAATCTCCAAAGGCGTCTAGAATTTTGGCCGCCTCCACCGGTCTTCTGGCCCACTGTGCGTCCGTGTCGCGGCTGGCTCGCGGGCCTCAAATCCAGCGATAGAACGCAGTCCGTGAGTGAAAAGGGCGGTCGGAACGCTTCCAGCACTTCCAGTCGGGCAGCGCGTCATTAACATCACCTTCCAGGAAGGCTGCCGCTCCGCTGTCCGCCGCGGGACACACTGCCACTACACTGCCACAACTTCGTTTCCCCAAACCGCCCTAATTGAAAAGCGCGGCAGTCAATCACTCGCGCTCTCTTTTTCCCTCCGGTGGCCCGCCAGCCTGAACAGTGATTCATTCCGTCGCTGTCTCTCTCGCACTCATGGGGCGTCAGGGCGCGATAGAGACAGCGCGGAATCACACCGGAGGGCCAGGTGGCCTAATAGCACGCTGCCGACGGGGCCTGCAGACTACTACGAGAGCCGTTGCTCTGTCTCCCTCGCACTCGTGGGGAGAGAGACAGAACGCCGCAAGCGACTCTCCAAATCAGTCCACTGCTTCGCCTTCGCCCTCCAGCAGCACTGCAGGGCCCTGCTGCTCCCATGTGACCGAGAATCGAGGATGGAGGGCAACGCGGCCAATGCGTCAAGACAAGTCAAGCAGTCGAGAAAGCCAAAGCTCGGCGGCGGCAGCCAATCCCCCACCATATTTTCCTCTCTAGAGCATTTCTTACACCCAAAAGCGTTTTTTCCGTCAAGAGCACTTCTTTTGCCCAAGAGCTTTTCTATCTGCCAAAGAGCATTTCCGCCCAAGAGCGTTTCTCTGTCCAGAACGTTTCCTCTGCCTAAAAGCGTCTTTCTGCCTAGAGCATATTTTGCTGCCATGAACATTTCTCCCACTCACTCGGGGGTCGTCTGCGGAACCCCCTGGCCGCCCTGGCCGCCCTCGCCAAAACAAGCGGCCCGCGGGTCTCGTTGTCTCGTCGTCCGGTTGGCGGTTCGCCTGTCAGACGATCGGATTCGACGGGCCAGGCGCAGCGCGCAGCCTGGCGTCTCGGCATGTCCGCGGACACGGGAGCAGCGTCGCGACTGGCTGCCTGTCTCTCTCTCTTTGTCCGTCTGTCCGTCCGTCTCCGTCTGCTGCAGGCGAGGCGGCAGCGCGGTGCGCAGAGTGAAGCAGTGATGGCTTTGTAACAAGCTCGGTATTGCGAGCAGCGCGGCAACATGACGCGGCAACCTCCTAAATTACAGAGACAAGTCCAGAGTTCTGCTCCTCTTCCCCCCTCCTCCCTCCCTGCCCCCCCCCTCTCTCTCTCTCTCTCCCTCTCTCTCTCTCTCTCTTCCCCTCTCTCTCCCCCTCCAATTCCTCCATTTTCTATCCGCACACTTCTTTTGCCTCGCCTTTGGGCTGCGCGCGGCCATGCACATTCTGCAGCATTAGTTTTTTTTTTGCGTCTTGGCCATTCCTTTTTGGCGTTCCCTTCTCCACTCCTTTTCTTCCAAAGGGCAGCCGTGGATAGAAGAAGTGCATCATCTCTATTCATGTCTATGCAACGAAATGACGGAGAAAGAAACGAACTGTGGCAACGGAGAGGAGGGCCGAGAGAGAGAGAGAGAGAGAGAGAGAGAGAGAGAGAGAGAGAGAGAGAGAGAGAGAGAGAAAGGTAATCGGAACACCTTCGGTGGCAACAACCCGCAACAGCAGCAAACAGCGAACATGGTTTCATCGTCCAGCAAGGCTCGGCCATCAAAACCTGCCCGTCCTCTCTCTCTCTCTTTTCTATATTTGTTTTCATTGCCTTTCACGTCGATTCTCGCTAGCTGCGTCCATCGCGCAGTAAGGCACGCCGAAGGCGCGGCAGAAGCAGCCTACGTCAATGGGACGACTAACATTCCGTCGGACAACCTCAAACCTAACACCGTGCCCCGACCGGGCCCAATCAACAGCCCGACGACGCGGCCCGACGGCACACTCTACCTCATCACCTTCCTCGGCGCCCCGCCCCGCCCCGCCCCACCCCGCCCCGCCCGCCACGACGGCTTCCTCGAACCGAATTCGCTCGCGCGCCGCCCGGCCGCGCCTCCAGGAGGGTGCTCTTCCATTCATCATCCTCTAGCCACGGCGAGGTGCGGCGGGGCGGGGTGGGGCGGGGCGTGGTGGGGTCACTGCTCCTGCGGGCGGGACGCGCAGTCTCTTTCGAATTCCTGTCCGGCGTGAGCAGCAGCCAGGCTGATTCCGAACAGTTCTTTTTTCTTCGCTTTGTCTCTCTCCCTTTCGCACCCTTGTGGGACGCCCGGTGAGTGCGAGAGAGACAGAGAGACGAAAGTGCACACCGCACGGTTCTGATTTGGACGACAGCATTCCCTTCTGTGAACCTAGCGGAGTGGTCCCGGTTCTGAGCGCCTGTCATGCGAGGGGTAGGCCGCCCGCTCCGCACGCCTGCTCAACGGGGCCGCTCCCTAAACCTGCAGGCGGCCGCGGACGACCTTAAGACAGCGAGGCGGACAGAGCGTCTCGAGTGCGGACGCACATTGAGCTCCACATCGGCAACTCAAAATACTGCAGGGAAAACCAAGGTGAAAACTCAGTGCACGCTTCAACCATTTTTTATAGGGTGGGCTTCGAATAGAACACACGACGGTCCCAGTGGCCTGCTTTCCCAACGAGGAACCCATAGCCATAGGCGAGGGGGTAAACACTCCGGTAAACCTTGTACAGACTACTCCCTATTACGGGGTATTACACTTGTATTACGCATGTATTACGCCTCAATTTCATTGAAAAATGACATTTTTTGATAATTTTGATCCCAAAATGTATTACTATTACGCGTATTACGGCGTAATACCCGACTTTTGTGTACAGGGTATTACGCAAGTGTTTACCCCCTCGGCCATAGGTCCCGTCACGTGTTCGATTCGAGTTCTATTTCAGACCCTGAGGCCTGCAGCGCTGCAGCGCCCAAACCGTGTCGAGATCGAGAGCCTCGACCACCGAAACTGGTCCCCTGGCCCACTCTGCCCACTGCGCGAAGTCACCCGCATGCCCCCCCCCCTTCCCCTCCTCTCTCTCTTTTTCTCACCTGGACAGCGTGGACTGCTTGTCGTCCGGCTTGTGGACGCCGCCGTTCACCCAATGCCTCGCTTGAGGCCCGCCGTCTGCAACAAACAACAAACAGGGCGATTAGTTTGTCTCCGCGGTGTGGCGAAGCAGGCGGTGTGTGTATCGGGTCGATCGCCAAAGTGGCCGGGCGGGCGGCGCGTGCCAAGGGGGAGGGCAGGGGGGGGGGGGCATTCCTGCGGCGTGCGACTGACTGGTCGCCCCGGCCGCGCGGGCGAAAGGAGACCTGGGCGGTCCCGCCACGCCCCGCCCCGCCACGCCACGCCGCGCCACGCCACGCCAAGCCGCGTTTGGATAACACAATGGCGCATTATTATTGGCTGGCGCTATCGCGATGAAAAAAGCAGCAACAACCGTCTGGCTGGTGACGGAATGGTACCGGGCGAATAGAAATGAGCGAGGAGCCGAGCCTAGACAAGCAGGGTCCTGGTGTTGGTGGTCCGGGCACGTCCGGGGTTTTGAAGGGGGGGGGGGCAACGCAAACACGGCCTGGGCCAATCACGACCGTGATTAGGACTTCCAGTGTACGCCGCCGTTATTGGTCTTCGTGGCTCACCCTACGCGTGAAACAATAGTAGCCATCAAAATTCCGGCGTCTAAGTCAGAGAAAGCGCTTTTAAGCGCCGTTATTTTTTTTTTAAAAAAAGAAAACAAATGGCGTGGAGGCGAAAAGTTTTTCCAAAGTTCCAAAATTTGTCGCTTTTATTTCACTAAAATCGTTGCTGAAAAATATAAACATGTGCTCCGGTTCAATTCCACCTTTTTAATTTTGTTGGCAGCGCACCGTACGGTCTTGCATGACGATTATTTTACCCGCGCGACGAACGCGTTTGCAATCGTCATTTCCATTGCTGCTGAGTAACGACTGACGCGCCGCCGAGGCGTTCGGCAAAGTGGGCCAGAAGCCGAAACGGGGAACGAGCGCCGCGAACATCGCTGAGCCGAGTCCGCGGTCCAGGACCCACACGGCGGCCCACGCTCGGAGGCAACAAGCGGTGGCAACGACGCGACTGCCGGAGTCAGAGCGACACAGCGGCTGCCGCGGGCTTCCGGCATCGACGCGGAGAGACATGCCCCTCAGAGGGCTCGGAATCATTCTAGGGGAGCGCCCCCCCCTGGGACCAGGGCCGCACAGGCGGGCAGAGGTGGCACAGCAGCCTCCCCGTATTGATCTGCCGGCCAGAGAGCCGGCCTCTGCGGCTCGCCACGCCCGGATTTCCTCTAGGGAGGCCCGCCCCGGAACCAGGGCCGCACGGCTAGGTAGAGGTGGCTTAGCCGCATCCCCCTCTGGCGCGAAAGCCGGCGTCATGTTTTGACTTCGGCAGTCCGACTCAGAACCACCGGAATCACTCTAGGGGCGCTCACCCGGTGCCCGGGCGGCACGCGCGCGCAGAGGTGGAATCGCAGCTTCCCCGTATTGATCTCCTGTCCAGAACGCCAGTTTCATGTTTGGACGTTGGCAGCCCGACTCAGAACGCCCGGATTCACTCCAAGCGCGCCCCCCTTGGACCAGGGTCGCACGGACGGGCAGAGGTGGAATTGCAGCCTCGATGTATTGATCTCCTGGACAGCGCGCCGGTTTGGTTTTGGTGCGGCTCGCCACGCCCGGAATCACTCTAAGGCAGCCTCCCCCGGGGCCAGGGGCGCACGGCCGGGCAGAGGTGGCGTGCGTTGCAGCCTCCCGGTGTATTGATTCAGGGGGTGGCTTCGCGCCCCGCGCGCTACCCCCTGCGTGCAACGCGGTGCACTGCCCCGCTGCGCCCGGGGTAGCGACTGAGCGATACCCTCGTCAACGCCCTGATGGCCACACCTTGCTCAAACAGATGGCAGCACTGGGAGGGTCCTCCCCGCTTAAAACCATCGAAGGTACAAACTATTCAGTTTTCGCGTTCCCATGACAGAAAATTTTCCCTTAAATCCACGAGTGTGTGTGCGTGCAAGACTGTGTTGTGGGGGGGGGGGGGGTTTACGAAACCGCTACGTCGCACTCCACCCCCCGGCGTTCCAGCCAAAGCCGAGCCGAGTGAGCATCACGAACCTCACAAGCACGTACGTACGCGTCCGTGGAAGCGGCGCGGCGACTGTTAGGAATTCCACACGGCAACCGGAGATCTAGCCAAAGGCAGCCAGGGGGGATGTTCCTGTTCCTTTCCTTGTCTGCGGCAGCGACAACGGCAGCCACAACGGCAGCGGCCACGACACCGCAAGAACAGCCTCGTCCGAAAACGGTCACACGCGGTCGTCAGGCAGGCCCGGATCTGGCCGCGCCGATCAGATCCAGTGCGTCCTCCACGTCAAGCGGGCCGGGCCGCTGACGGGCGGAAACGGGCCGGTGCTTCTTTCAGGCCTAGATGGCGGCGCCGAGATGGGGCACTGCTTGCACTGCAGCTGGGCGGCCGCGGTCGCAATTGCAGCTGCAGGTGAGGATAGCGGTGCGGTGCCTGGCGGTGCCTGGCCATGCCATGCCATGCCGGAGCGTTGACCCGGCCGGTTCTCACGCCGTGACGTCACACTCGCGGAAGGCAACACTGGCCGTGCTCTGGAAAACGGCAGAACGTGCCACGGCTGCCTGAAACGGCATCCCGCCGACCACGGGTCCAGCCAGGGCAAAAGGACATTCGCCCCTCCCTTCGGCACCTGGCTAGGCCTAGCCGCCTGGTTGGCCGAAAAACACGTTTTGCACTCAATGCGTCTCTGAATCCGCCAATGCATTCTGCGGACACTGACTGATTCCAAAAGCCGTGCCGTCGTTCTGTCCCTGTTGCACTCATGGGGCGTTCCACAGGGGTGAGTGGGACAGAGCGAAGCAACGGCAACGGTACACTACTGCACAGTGGGCCGGAAGACCGGTGGAGGCGGCCAAAATTCTAGATGCGTTTTGAGCTCCAGAGTCGCCAAACAGGACTCGAACCGAACGTGTGATCCCATCAATGGACTCCTCGTTCGGAGAGCAATCCATTGGTGGGGTCACACGCTCGGTTCGAGTCCTGTTCAGCGACTCTGGAGCTCAAAACGCGTCTAGAATTTTGCCCACCTCTCCTCTAATCCTGACCCACTGTGCGTTGCATGCACTGTGTGTACTGCCCTCCGCGGCGCCCTGGTTGCGTCATGCGCCGCTCCGCGTTGCGTGGCGCCGATCACCCTCTTTGTCGCGAGCCGCCGTGCTGCAGTGCAGGTCACTCCCGGAGAGCGCTTTCGTCGCGCTGTCTCTCTCGCTCCCGGGGTGGCCCGCGAAGGTTCGAGAGAGACAGCGCGATGGCTGTTTGTAGTCAGCCCGCCGCGTGGCGCCCATCCATGGACTCTCCCAGCGCCGGCCGGATTGACAATGGGCCAGACAGGCATGGACGGGCTGCAGGGACGATCGGCGCCTCATTCTCGCAGTGTGTCCACGGACTGTGTCCCGCGGCACAGACGGGCCACCATCTTGCCCAACGACACCGTTTCTTGGATGCGATTTGACCCGGAATGCTAATCGAAACAATTCCGCGGCGCGCGTTTTGAGCGCGCGACGCTCATGCAAACGAGGCCCCTCCCCCTAGACAGGCAGACAGACAGACAGACAGACAGACAGACAGACTGTTGGATTCAACGCACACGGGGCTGCGCCGGGCCGCGCTGATGGCACCAGTCCGGCCAGTCAAAGGTCAGGCCAGGCGGCGCCGTGAAAAGTAGGCAAGTTGGCCGCGCCGCTCGCCAGGCGTAGCCAGGCGGTGCGAGATGCGTCGGCGGCGCGGCCACGGCGTCCCGGCCCGTCCCGGCCTGCCCCAAGCACGCCGTCTGCAATCATGCAGATGAGCCCCGCGGCCCCGCGGCCGGAAATGTCACTGCACTGGCGCCACTTTGAGCCGCGCGGCGTCCGCGGCGTGCATACTGCCCTGCAGGGCCTGCAATGCGCGCGGACGACGACCGGAGAAATCGGCGAGGCCCTGGCTGGCGCTGGCTGGCCGATGTGCGGTGCGGCCCCGCCGCCGTGCGCGGTGTCCGCCTCCTTGGACGCCGTGAGAACCAAGGGGCACAGAGCACCCAGTGGTGGTGGTCAAGATGACGGCGGTGCATATCTAAGGCCACGGTTTTGCGGGCCACTCCTTCGCCATCAGCAACGACGCCGTGCAGTTCCAAAGATATTCGTCCCAGCGCACAGTGGGCTGGAAAATAGGCGCAGGCGGCCAAAACTCTAGGCGCGATGGCAAAGTATGGCTTTTTTCCTACCTTTCAGGCGGCTATCTGGGTGTCATCAGGGGAGGGGGCAAGCGCCACTGTGCCCCCCCCCCTTCTGCACTAGGCCGGCAGTGCACTAGGCCTATGCACTCAGGGAGAGGCGCGGGGCGGGAAGCCACCCCCCGACGAATCAATATAGGGAGGCTGCAATGCCATGGCAGAGGTGCACCTCTGCGCGCCCGTGTGCCCCTGGTCCCGGGGTTTTGATCGCCGCCCACTGTGCAGCGGCCTGCGGGGGCCTTGAGGGCCTTGAGGCGGTGACGACGACGGACTGCACTTGCAGTGCACTGCAGCGATGCGCCGGCCGCCTCCCCGCCTTGCTCCCCGCCCTCCACGGCGTCCTTGGCGGGGCGTGCCGCTCGCAGGAGGGAAGGCGGACCGCACGGCGACTCGGAATGTGACCCATTTCCCCAACGTCCCACTGCGTCGCGACGCGGGGAATGGGCGTTGCCATGGCGTTGTCATGGCGTTGCCATGGCGACGGGGTAAACGATAACCGTCCGTCAGCAAGCATTAGCCGCCAGTAACACTAAAACGCGCCCACGCCCCGCGACCAGCGGCAGTCGGCAGCGAAACAGCGAGGCCGAATTAGGGAAAAGGTGCCGGGCGGCACCGGGCGGCACGCTCGCCGCCACTGTGTTTGTATGCGTCGCTGCAGCTTGCCGCTTGTCCCTGCCATGCCGAATCGGCCCGTGTGATTCAGATACCCGGACAACAAAATGCTTCAAATTTACGGCTAAAAACCGTTCAATTTCAAGGTAATTCGGTAACTTCCTAGAGTTTTGGCTAATTTCAACGAATCATACCCTAATATCATAAA